GATATATATGAGAAAAATCTTAGGTGCTCTGAGCAGCCCCTTTAGTTATTTGGTCAGTGAGCTGATCAAAGTGGGCAAGGTGATAGGCTATGAATAAGAGAATGGAAGATTAGCAAGGGTTATCTTTAGATTGAAAAATAATTTAGAAAGGGAACAAACCAGAACTCTTAAAAGCCACAGATACAATAGTTTTCTATCAATAAATAAGAGTATTACTTTTGTCTCACTAAGTAAGGTTAGTTACATAGACAGCACAATGTTGTCGGAATCCGTTAAGAACCAAAATTCTCACGGATACTATTCACCATGGGATCCCTTTTAATATTCCATTCAAAGTCCTTGGTCTCCCTCTACCTCTTTTCTCAGGACTAAAATTAATGCAATGCAATGCAATGCGATCTACTCTCCTAAGCAGTACTTCCAATGGCTTTCTGTGCATATATCCAAACCACGTTACCTAATTTTGTCATTTTTGCTTGATAAATCATACCAATATATCCCCTTCATGTATGGCCACATTCATATTTCTACAATAAACACATTTTTTCAATATTCTAAACTAGTACCTGTTGCTCGCCTTGAGCTTCACATTTTTCTTACTCTATGATTGAATGTATTACTAATACCACTTCTATTGCAATATTAGTGTAACTAACATGGATGAGGGGTATACATCTATTAGTACAGAGCGAGGGATCTCTCTTCCTCAAGAGCAAGATATTCATGCATACATCATGCATATACACAATACCCCATATCTACCTTCCATTCATTTAAGGAATTGGGAGAAAATATGCCAAAAGAAGAGATGATGTATATAAGTATACATGTCTCAATATTATATCTGCAGGTATATCCAATATTACAGCTAAAATAAAATCTAATAAAATTATGCATTATGCATAAAGCAGCCCTAAATAACAATGCAAGTTCAGGACTTTACCGGACAATCGACAAATGAAACATGCCTCAGCAACTTCATCTTGCTGTTTTCAAACCCTGGCACATCACACATAGGACTATCTTCTTTCCCACTTCCATAAGCCCTGTAGAAAAGATCAGCTCACCAAAAGTTAAGATAACCTGATATCTTTATGGAAAATGTGAAAAAAAAAATAAATAAATAAAACACCCACTTATAGCACATAGGCCTTGGACACCGTTCATCTTCACACTTGTATACTTTTGCATTTGCATAGCCAAGCTTGATTGTAATGTTACGCTCCAACTCATTTTTGAAACGCACAGTCTGCACAACATTCATGGAAACAGCATACGTCAACAGTTTAAATATCCAAATAGAAAGGGAAATGTGTGTTAAGAATATATGGCATGCCTATGTGTGTAATCCTGCTTTTTATAACAGAAGATGAAGAAAAAGGTAACAAACAAAATTGATCTAATTGCTGTCAAAAAACCCCGTAGCCTCTACAAAATGATTACCACTTGTTAGAGTAAGGCTTCCATCAACCACAGAGTGAATCAAGAGAACCCAAGTCAGGCTTCCATACACAAACAGAATTTATCCATGACAAACTAAAATATACATATCGAAACACAACCACTAGCCAGATTTTACAAGCTGCATGTAGCCACGTACTTAGGTTGACTCAAATACATAAATCATCAGCAATAACCAGAGGGTTAAGATGATGAGTAAATACTCTTCTGTCCATATTAAAAAAATCATGTCAATTATAATCTATGTTTAAATGGGTTCCTGATAAAAAATCATTCCTGAACAGCATGTTCCACGGATTAATACATCCATTATATAGTGACACAATACAATCCTCAACCCTACTACCATACAAAAGAAGTGTATGGGAAAAAACCTAGTCTCACATCAACTAGAGATAGTATCAAATTACAGTATATAAGTGGGGTAATCCTCATCTTATAAGCAAATTTTGAAGGTTAAATTAGGCCTAAACCACTTTGTAAGATGGTGATTAAAACCTATCCTAGAGACACTTAAAGGGTTGCTCACCATATTATACATGTACTAAGCTCAATAGTGCTGAATGTGAGGGAGTGTATAGGAAAAACCCAAGTCGGGATGGTGCCAAAATACAGAATAAAGACAAAGGAATACCTGGACACCAGATATTGCTTTCACAACTGTTGACTTTCCATGTGCCACATGACCAATAGTACCTGTCAGGATGCAATTCAATACATTAGCATCAACAGTCACAGATGGAAAAGAAGCTTACACATTTTAAGTTGTACAGTTTAATTTTCATGTGGCATCAGTGTAAAGATTTCTACACTGGCAACCAATTAGAAATCACCCTATTTATGACTTTTCAAATATTTTTTACAAAAGTCAACAGTTTTAACATACATGGCAATATATTATTGGATAATAATATTAAAAACTTTTACACCATCAGTGTATTCAAATTACATTCTAAGTGCTAAATCACAAAATGTGAGAAAATATTACCAATATTAATAGTCGCTTGCCGAGATATGACTTCTGGAGAAAGTGGATGCAACTTTGTCACATCCAACTTACTCAGGTCTTGCTCCATCAAACCCTTCCGCGACATTTTGGCAGCTTCCAATGGGATCTTAAGTGGTGAAACTGATTTATAACTTGACAACTAAACTATCTGCATATATATAACACAGGACAAGAAAAAACGTGCATCAGAATCTACAATTTATTTTCTTTCTCTTAAAGTATGTATATAATATGTTAGATAGAATCTAATTCGCTATTGTATTATCCTACCACAACCCCTCATCAGTAAATTATGTATGCTTGCGCAGATTCATTATTTTCTCAACAAATAAAAAATGAAATACTTCAAGAGTGTCCAAAATAATATTGTTCTATTTTCTTTGTATAATTTTCTAATATACTAAAAGTATACCTTTTCTACTTCAAATCTTTTTGCAAGAAACATGAGTAGCTTGCGGATTGAAAAACTTAAGCTTGAGTGTGAGAGAAAGATGAATTAACCAAAACAAAAAATTTTAAGTCTTTTAAGAATAGACAGGAATTAATATGATTCTCCATTATCTGTTTATATAATTACAATATCCAACAGCAATTAACATATTGAGCAACAACATAGTTGATAACCATTTTATCTAAGGTGCTCTAATTCTACCACATTATCTATTTGGTTTTACGGACAGAAGAAGACATCGTAAACCTTTAGATATGTAATGAGCCATATAATAAATCAAACGTATGTTAATGCAAGTGAGCTTAAGGTATAGCTCAAAAAGTCCTATCACCGGGAGTTGCACATGCTAGGAGAAGAAAAATATAATAGCGTACATACAAAATGTTCAAAAGAAACCCATTAACCAAATGACAGCAACTAACACTCTCTTCACATTCATCCATAACCTTCAAACCACGTTTATAGGCCCCATTGTAAACAACGCATACAACCCAGATCCTCTCTAGCATTAAGGAACACTTGAAAACTAACCCACACCTACGGGTTTATGATACCATATCAATTAGGCGCAGTTTCTTAAGTAAATTTTCAGACGATAGAATCATTTGTAAATGTATAAAGATGTTTCAAATAATAAAAAGGGAGTAGATAGGGAAAAAGCAGCTCGAGGCAACCAAAATCAAAACCAAACAATAAAAGTGGCATGGACAAAACTCTCAACTAAAGCAGGAACCGTATCATCCCATCCCTTTTCATTCAGAACAACATTTAGGAACAAAATGCACAAAGGAAATTTACCACTGTATGGTAGGTAATGCAGAATTTACAAGAATGTTATGACGATTTTATACATATCTATGACTTAATATTAGATTAGGATTACACATTTAATCATCTAGGATTTTTCCTATCTTTGTGGTAACACATTTATAGACACACTTATGTTATAAAGACCAATTGCATAATTAATAATATCCATATCATCACTTCCTCATAGAGTATCTAAATCCCAAATCAGAGGCATAATTAGCCCTAGCAATAGAGCAATAAGCAAAGGGCAATCCTCTTGACACATACACCGATACAAATGAAAAACACATTAAAAAATAGTATTCGACAAAAAATAAGGGTGATAAAAAAAGAAAATAAAAATAAAAATCAAATTACCCATTAGTGGTGTTCCGGAGTGGGTGAGTAGTGATCAAATTCGGCCTCGAAAAACATAGACCAAATCGGGTTCCTCTTCCAAATCGGATTCCTCTCCGAGAATGAAAGCTCAAACAACATTTGCGTTCAGAAGCAGGTGGGCCACTGGATCTTTTGGGCTTAGAAAACCTTTTGGGCTATAAATGGGTTAACAGTGCAATCGCTTTTGTCATCTCCATATTTTCTTACAGAATCTCAAATTATACATCCTAAAACATTTAAAAATATATATTTCGGAGTCTAATTTCCAGAATACATAATCTGAAACAAAAATTATGAATATTCAGGAACGTTTCATGATAAAAAATTTCAAATAAACTATAGTATAATTTTTTATGCGCAGGTTTTGTTGGTGTGAGAGCATTTGACGTTAAGATAAAAGCTCCAAGAAATATTGCTTCGTAATAGTTTGGGATTGTAAAGGATTGGGAAGAAAAATAAAAGTTCCGCACAGATTAGGAATAGATTATATTTATTTTTTGTATGAAATATAAGTAAAATACTAATTAACTAGAACTAAGTATTGTGATGACAAATAAATCAAACTAAGAAGTTATAATGATATCAATGAAAAAAAAAACATTAATTTCAACAAAGATTATAGGAATATTAAAAAAACCAAGACTATAGAAAAAAAAAAGTGCAACAAAGACATTAGTAATTAAGTTTTTTCATTAAAATCCCCGAGTACAACGATAGAATCAGACTTAAGGAAGAGAACCTTAAGAATCAGAGAAGTTCAGATGATAAAATAAAGAGAAAATCCAAAGTGGCATGAAATAAATCTCATGATTGAGTGAGATATTGAAGTAAAGAACAGCAGAAACATTCCACTCGAGTGAAGTTGAGAGGTGCATAATCTAGTAGCAGCCCCTAATGCATTATCTGAGAGTGACCTCTGAAAACATGAACAGCAAGTGTTACATCTTCTCTATTGACCAGCTCAAAGATACAAACATCTCCCATTTGCAGATTATTTTCTCTTGAAAACAAGGGCCAACCAGCAGAGAGCGTGCCTGAAGCATCATTTTGATGAAATACAAACGTTACAGGCCACAAATTATTTCCGAGCCGTAGCATCATCACCTTCATGTGCTTGTTTATAACATAATTTCTCACAAAGATACTTGGCACACGCTGCATCAAGTTATATACATATATGTTCATCACTATTAGAACAAAATACAAAATTTATGAAAGAAAAATAATACTTGGAACCTAGCATGACATTAAAGTTTTACACCTAGTGCTTAACTAAACCTCACCGGGCATCTGGTTGTGTTTCCATGCAATTTTAGAGTGGCCATGAAAAAGGGATTTTCTGATGTGAATTTGCTGGCTTCTTTCTGACCTTCGCCTATTATGAAGTTGAACTTGAGGTGACTTTCAACCCGTGAAGTTCTTTGACTTGAACTCCCACCTCTCGAGCTAGTTGAAGGATGATGCACTATGCTGAATTTTGAATCATCTATATTTGCATTTTCACAGAATTCATGTTTAGCTTTCATAGAGAATAACAAAATACAATTTGCACTCAAGGGATAGATAAAGTTCTAGCATGCACCTAGTACCAATAAAAATCTAGAAAGAGATTTATATTCGTTGTCAAGCATTCTCTGTGGTTGAAAATAAGCTAGGATTTGAGTAGTCTAAAGTGAGAATATACAAATGATTGAAAAATTAATGGTTTAGATTGTGGTTGAATGCATACATATGTAAAATAAACTACACTCAATGGATACATAGTTAAAAAAAATTATGTAATTATCTAATTAATTGTTATACATCTCCATCACCTGATTCTAAATCTTTGTATGTTTAGATAAAAATAGAATAATGGATTACCCTGTGAAATGGGGCCACTTGGTTCTTCTGCAGATCGGAAAATGAAAACTTTGAAAGCAACACTCTGGATCTTCTTGATCAGTTCAAAAACACAAACATCATCCACATTCAAATTATTTTCCAATGCAAATTTCTGCCATCCAGTAGTAATTCTAGAAGCGTAACAAATAACAGGCCAACTTCTCCCATCCATGACTTCAAGGAGGATAACTGCATGTGTTTTCTTCAAATATTGTTTTGAAAATTGTGGCGGAATTTCCTGAGATTTTTGTTTACAATGTCACAATATAAACACTAAGGGTTATATTTCCGCTACAACATCCTTATAAAAAGAGCGAACTCATGACAATGGATATATTAACTGAAATGCTTACCAGGTAATTTTCATTGATGAACGCTGGTTTCATAACAAGCAAGAAAGAGGGATGTTCAGATTTGAAAGAAGTGGCTCTATCTAAAGCCCTGGAGGTTAGTTCATCCATATTTGGGAATCCAGCATGAAAAATGTCTTTACCCTTGTCTTGAAAAATAGTCCTCCTAGTTTGACCATGCTGATGCAAGTTTACCCCGTTGCTGCTTCCTCCAACAGTTGTAATTATGCTATCTTTCATTCTCTTACAGGGTTGAGCAGATGAGACTGTATATTTGACTCCTGTCTTTTGGCAACATTGCTCACGCAAAATTTCAACAGAATCATCATTGATCTGCACAAGTTTGTCCAAACTTTGAACAGAATCATTGATAATCTGATGAGGGTTGTCATGAGTAAATAGGGATGGATAGTCTATTTCAACGGCACTATTGTCAAATATGTGCACATCCAAGTGAGAAGTTCTCTCATATTCAAATAACAACAAGTGACCATGACCCAGAGAATAGTATGTGGCAAACTCCTTCCATCCTTTCTCAAACCAAATCTCACCATCATGCCTAATCCAGTGTATTTTCCATTCAGCGCTATCTGGAGGCTTGAGAAACACCGGGTTTGACATTCCATCTCCACATTTTGTAGTGAAATTGCTTGGGAGTTTCTGCAAATATTTTGTTCTAAGTATGGTTGATGATGAAATTCACATGCATGACAGAGAAATCATAAACCCCAAATACCCATCTTATCAACTTAAATAATTGAAATCCCATGTTAACTAATTACATTACCAAAATAATGAGTATGCATGATGCAAGCAGACAAGGTGTGGTAGTGTTTTACATACTATAATATTTTATAATTAACAATCAACTATAAGAAACACTCATTTGATTTGGTGCTACTAAAATGAACATGAACTTCACCACTAAAAAGTATTAAATAATGATGCTTACCAGTTTTCCAACTACAAGACTTGGCCCTGTAATAATCTTAAAGAAATGGATTGCAGTGAGTAAGGAATTCATATCGCATGTGGAAGTCATGGACGCTGAGATGACACCTTTTTTATATATTGCAATTAAGAAAGAACCCGTTAGCTTCTTGAGACTATAAAACTTCGTTTTCTGTGGCGCACACCTTGAAGAATGAAACCTGCAAGTTCAAGCTGTAAGAGACTACCCTCTAATTCTCTGTAGCCGACTCATTAAATGTGCTGATTGGACAGGACAAAGGTTGATTTGGAAGGGTATATTTATTTTTGATTAATTTTTTATATTTTTTATATAAACAAATATATTTTAATAAAAATCTTATTGTTTTAATAATATACTGTTGGTATTAAAAGATTGACTGAAATTGTTTTATCAATCTGAGATTTATACATTTTACTAAAAAATCACCGTCAAAATAGGTCTTGAAAATAATTTATCAAAAATTTTGATGCCTCCAAATTCAATGTTGTTGTCTTGTTGATTTTCAAGATTATAAAACAATAAGTTTTTAAAAACAAACTAAAATAGGCTGGATGTTTCTAATATTAACTTAAATTTAGTAAAAAATTAACCAAAAAAATTGTGTTATCGATTTGGAAACCAATAATTTTTAATAATCTTTAACTTCGTACTATTCACTTTTTCTTTTTGGAAATATTTTTTAAATGCATTAAAAAAGTATCTAATTTTTTTAATAATTTACTTAATTGATTATAATAATTAATTATAAATGGTGGCGTGATATATATATATATATATATATATATATATAATTTCAAATTTTTTTTTTTAAGATCTTAATAAAAAGATTATTTTTTTTAAGATCTTAATAAAAATATTTATTAATTTTATTTTTCAAAAAACAAGATACGTGTTACTAATATATATATACTATTTTCTAATACAATGTATTTACTTGTATTTTAATTTTTTTTCTAATTATAAAAATAATATATGCAATAAAAGAAAACCTAAATAAGATATATAAAATACAAAGATAAATAAATAAAATAAGTTATATGTTTCTAGCACTATTATTATATGTAATATTTGTTGTGGACATTTTTCTCTTTATAGTAATATTTTATTTTACTCTTAAAAATAGTAAAATAAATAGATATGAAAAAATAAAGAAAAATATAAAAATGACGTTTATAAATTAGAAAAAAAAAGACTTTATAGAAATTAATTTATAGAGATTTTTTATATAACTTCTTACATTTTTATTTATATTTACGTAAATGTTAATTTTAATTTATAAATAATTAAATCTTTTTAATTTTTTCTTTCAAAAACCTTCATCGAAAAATTATCCAAAGATATTAAAATAATATATATATATATATATATATATATATATATAGAAATCATTTTATTGGTGTTGTTAGAGAAGAAATAATTTTAGAAAAATACTATAAAAATATATGAAGTAAATTAATTAATCATATTATATTTTAAAAATATGAAAATATGTATTACACAAAATTCAAGCATTGTTAGATTAAGAATATATTAACCTAAATGTCATTCTGAATTATTATTATTATTATTAGGATTATTATTATTATCTTAATTATAATAAAAACTATTTAAACCAATTAAAGATTTGTTTTTACGTATAAAAAGAGCTTAATTTGAATAAAAATATAATCATAATCATATTCTTTTATAATTTTTTCACAGAAGTTTTGAGAGTAAAAACATTAAAATATATTTATTTTGTAAATTATACTTATTATGATTATAAAAAAAATTATTACAAAGTTAGAAAGGTTTAAAATTTTCTATATTACTTCATGGTTAAAACTGAATAATTCAATCATTGAAATATGGTCTAATTTAATCATTTATGTAATCACTTATAATTTTTTTATCATAATATATGAAATTTTGATTTATGTATTAACAAATTTTAGTATAAGTTTATAAAGATCTTATAAAAAATGTTTTTTTTTATCATTTTTTATCTTAATTGAATAAAATTTCATATATCATGTAATATCCAGACTAAATAACTATTTACAATTTAAATAAATAAAAATTCATATGAATATAGTAAAATAAGGAGAAATTTAAAATATTGTAATATATTGAGAAAAAATTGACTATTTGAAATATAATTAAATTGAAACTTTCGTAACATGAAGAAACTTTTGTAAATAAATGATTCGGATAACTTTTTAGATAAATATAAATTTAAATTTATGTAATGATAAGAAAATTTGTAAATAATAATTCCATTGAAGAGTTGAGATATTGAAGTATCAACTACAACGAAACAATTCCATTGAAGAGTTGAGAGGTAGATCTACTAGCAGCCCCTTATTCATTATCCTACTCTCTCTAAACTTTGAAAACATGGACATCAAATGTTACATTTTTTCCATTGACAAGCTCAAAGATGCAAACATCTCCAGGTTGCAGTTTATTTTCTCTTGCAAATGAGGACCAACCAGCAGAAAACGAGACTGAATAACCACGTCCATGAAGTACAAGCTTCACAGGCCACAATGTCTTTCTAAACTGTAACATTGTCATCACTTGCTTCTTCACGTTTCCAATATACTTTTTGAAAAACTTAATTGGTACATGCTGCATCAAGCCATATATATAGACAATGTTCATGTGCCCATCAGAGTCAGAACAAATTCAAAGAGTTCATGCATGAAAGTGTATTTATAATACCAGTAAAGATATGGACAAACAAGATGACAGAGGAAAGAGATTCTAAACATGAATAAGTGAATTTGTGGCTCGTAAGTTGTATCCATGAACCCAAGCTGGTCAAGGTGACTTTGACCGTCACCAGCTTGTAGGAGGTGTTAGAGGATACTCAGTTCTTTAATTGAAATTAGTTATCATTTTCAGCATGTAGTGTAAACACTCTTATTCTGCAAAATTATTCAATTAATTTCAGAAAGATTCTATAGGGTACTGTTCTTCTCTTTTATGATCTTTATGGTCTATGGCAACGCCATGTTGGTGTTACTTGTGTTGGTGTTTGAAAAGTAAAAAAAAGGTGGTCAGTGGTTGGTTTGCAAGTGGTTGGATGGCAAGTGGTTGGAGACAAGAAAAATTGGAAAGCCTTAAATGCACAATAACCATTTCTTTTGCTATAAAATGTTCTTTCACTTCACTTATTTCTATCATCCAATTCCAAAGCAAACATTACAAGAGTTAGCCAGCAAGAAGCATAAAGAAAATAATCTAGTTTCTGGATGTAATTGGGTTGAGGGTTGAGTGTTTTGAGAGTGCTTTGTAAACACCTGTGTATTTTCTTTTCTCCCAGTAAAATATCTGCAGTAGTCCGGAGACGTAGGCAATTTTGGCCGAACTCCGTTATCAATTAGTGTGTCCAATTATTCCGTCTTTATTTCATTTTTATTTCACTTTCATAGATCTGACTACATGAAAAAGTTATGTGTATTTTTCCTAACAACTGGTATCAGAGTTGGTTGTTAACTCTGCAATTTTTGTGGTGACACTATTCATATGAATAGTGAATTTACTATTCTATGAATACTAAAAATGTGAATAGTAAAAATTTTGTCGGTGCTACAAAATTATCTACAGACTTGTTCCGAAACACGGTAGTTCACAGAAATTGTCAGAAACGATCCAGAAAAGTCAGATCCGAGTTGGAGTGATGGCTGCAGATGAAGGAAAGGTGAAAATCGAGAAGTTCGATGGTGCGGACTTTGGGTTCTGGAAGATGCAGATCGAGGATTACCTGTATCAGAAGGATATGTTCGAACCACTCACAGGAAAGAAACCAGAGGGTATGAAAGAGGAGGAATGGACTCTTCTCGACAGAAAGGCCCTTGGAGCCATTCGACTGACGTTATCCCGTAATGTTGCTTTTAACATTGCAAAAGAAAAGACGACAGCAGGTCTTATGGATACTCTTTCCAGTATGTAGGAGAAACCATCAGCCTCAAACAAAGTTCATTTGATGAGGCAGTTGTTCAATCTACGGATGTCTGAAGGCGCTTCAACGGCGCAACATATCAATGAACTCAATACTGTTACAACTCAGTTGAATTCAGTTGGGATCGAGTTCGATGATGAAGTACGAGCTTTGATACTTTTGTCTTCTCTACCAGAAAGTTGGAATGTTACTGTCACAGCTGTGAGTAGCTCATCGGGAAGCAATAAGTTAAAATTTGATGATATTTGTAATTTGGTTCTCAGTGAAGAGATCCGACGGAGGGAGTCGGGTGAATCATCAACCTCTTCAGTATTGCATACAAAGTCAAGAGGAAGAAGTTCAACCAAAGAAAGCGGACGCGGAAAATCAAAGGGCAAACGATCCAAGTCCAGAAATCATCGTAGTTCCCAAAACTCGAAGCAAATCGAGTATTGGAATTGTGGGAAGACCGGGCATTACAAAAATCAGTGCAAGAATGTACGAAAGAATCAAGAAGCGAAGGACGAGGCAAATGTTGCCTCTACCTCAGGGAAAGATGATGTGTTGATATGCTCTTTAGAAAGCAAGGAGGAGTCTTGGGTGTTAGACTCTGGAGCATCTTTCCATGCTACCTCACAAAAGCAACTGTTCGAGAATTATGTTCCCGAAAATCTTGGTAAAGTTTACCTTGGTAATGAGCAATCGTGTGAGATTGTAGGTAAATGTACAGTAAAGATTAAGTTGAACGGGTCTGTATGGGAATTGAAAAATGTCAGACATATTCCCGACCTGACGAAGAACTTAATCTCAGTGAGTCAGTTAGCCAGTAAAGGTTACACAACAATCTTGCATGGTGATGATTGGAAGATCTCAAAGGGTGCGATGACATTTGCTCGAGGCAAAAAGAGTGGTACTCTTTACAAGACTGCAGGAGCATGCCATTTGATTGCAATTGCAACAAATAAAAATCTCAATCTATGGCACCAAAGACTTGGGCATATGAGTGAGAAAGGGATGAAGATCATGCACTCAAAAGGAAAACTACCAGGTCTTCAGTCAGTAGAAATTGACATGTGTGAAGACTGCATACTTGGAAAGCGAAGAGAGTTAGCTTTCGGACAAATAGAAGAATTCCAAAGAAAGAGAGACTTGAGCTTGTCCACTCGATGTTTGGGGTCCAACGACTGTCCCATCCGTTGGTGGGAAACAATACTTCGTGACGTTTATTGATGATCACTCCGAGAAGGTATGGGTTTACTTTACGAAACACAAGTCGAAGTATTTGAAGCTTTCAAGATTTGGAAAGCTATGGTAGAAAATGAAACAGGATTGAAGATTAAGAAGCTCGGATCCGACAATGGTGGTGAATATGTAGACACCGGATTCAAGAAGTTTTGTTATGAGCACGGAATCGGAATGGAGAGGATCGTGCACGGTACGCCTCAACACAATGGTGTAGGTGAGCGTATGAACCGAACGTTGATCGAAAGAGTCGAAGCTTGCGTGTACTGATCGGACTTACCAAAGCGATTCTGAGCGAAGCGGTTAACACAACGAGCTTACTTGATCAACCGAAGTCCATCGGTACCATTGGAGCACGGAATACCGGAAGAGGTATGGAGCGAGAAAAGAGGTAAAACTCTCACATCTTAGAGTTTTCGATCTGTGTAGCATATGTCCATATCGGTGATAAAGGTAGAAACAAACTTGATCCAAAATCAAAGAAGTGCACTTTCATTGGTTATGGTGAAGATGAGTATGGCTACCGCATATGGGATGATGAAAACAAAAAGATGATCCGCAACAGAGATGTAATCTTCAATGAAAGAGTGTTGTACAAGGACATGCATAAAACAGGTATTAGCAATTCAGAATCGAGTGGGTCAGTTTTTGCAGAAGTGGAAGATGTCCTAGAAAATCCTATAGTGAGGAGTCCTCGATCGGAGGAATCAATTGAAGAAGGTGATGTGCAACGGAACCTCTTACTCCAACTCCTGTATTGAGAAGGTCCTTTAGACCTCATGTGCCAAACAGGAGATACATGGACTACATGTTGCTGACTGATGGAGGGGAGCCCGAAGATTATATAGAAGCTTGTCAAACCACAGATGCTAGCAAGTGGGAGTTTGCCATGAAAGAATAGATGAAGTCTCTGATCTCCAATCAGACATGGGAACTAGTCAAGTTACCCATGGGAAAGAAAGCACTTCATAACAAATGGGTGTATCGGGTGAAGGAAGACCATGATGGTTCCAAGAGATACAAAGTCCGACTAGTTGTCAAAGGATTTTAGAAGAAAGAAGGAGTTGACTACACTGAAATCTTTGCTCCAGTCGTAAAGCTCAATACTATCAGAACAGTGTTAAGTATTGAGGCTAGTGAAGTGCTCTACCTAAAGCAATTAGATGTGAAAACTGCATTTCTCCACGGAGACTTAGATGAGGAGATCTACATGCACCAACCTGAAGGATTTTCAGAAGGAAAGAAGGATATGGTGTGCAAATTGAAGAAGAGCTTGTACGGTCTGAAACAAGCTCCAAGACAGTGGTACAGGAAGTTTGAAAGCTTCATGCACAAGGAAGGTTTCCAGAAGTGCAATGTCGATCACTGTTGTTTCTTCAAGAGGTATAAGTCCAGTTATATCATATTGCTACTTTATGTTGATGACATGTTAGTAGCAGGTTCAAATATGAGGGATATCAGAAATTTAAAGATGCAGTTGTCAAAGGAATTTGACATGAAGGACTTAGGACCAGCAAAGAAGATTCTTGGAATGCAAATCACGAGAGATAAGCAAAAAGGAGTTTTGCAGTTATCTCAAGAGGAGTACATCAACCGTGTTTTGCAAAGATTTAACATGGACAAGGTCAAACCAGTCAATACACCTTTGGCCAGTCATTTTCGTCTATCCAAGGATCGGTCTCCTCAAACAAAGGAAGAAGAAGAAATTATGGCTAAGGTTCCGTATGCTTCGACCATTGGAAGTTTGATGTACGCAATGGTGCGTACAAGGCCGGACATTGGCCATGCAGTGGGAGTTGTGAGCAGGTTTATGGCAAATCCAGGAAAGGCTCACTGGGAAGCCGTCAAGTGGATTCTAAGATATCTACGAGGAAAAACAAAAAATGTCTGTGTTTTGGAAAAGGAAATCTAAGATTACAGGGCTACGTAGATGCAGACTTTGGAGGTGAAGTTGATCACCGAAGAAGCACCACCGGTTATGTTTTCACGGTTGGTACTACAGCTGTTAGTTGGATGTCGCGAATACAAAAAATTGTTGTTTTATCCACTACAGAGGCTGAGTATGTAGCAGTGACAGAAGCCAGTAAAGAATTGATATGGCTTCAAGGACTGTTAGCAGAGCTGGGATTCACTCAAGAAGGGAGTGTTTTGCATAGTGATGTCATAGTGCAATACATCTGGCAAAGAACTCAGCATTTTACTCCATAACCAAGCACATTGATATTCGTTATCATTTCATCAGATCTCTACTTGAGGATGAGGTGTTAACGTTAAAGAAGATTGTAGGAAGCAAGAACCCAACAGATATGCTAACGAAGGTGGTGACCATTGACAAACTGAAGTTGTGCTCAACTTCAGTTGGCTTGCAAGAGTAGCAGACCAGAGAAGACTACTGCATTAATCAAGGTGTGAAGACAGATTGAAATCAGTCCTCAAGTGGGAGATTGTTGGTGTTTGAAAAGTCAAAAAAAGGTGGCAAGTGGTTGGTTGGCAAGTGGTTGGATGACAAGTGGTTGGAGACAAGAAAAATTGGAAAGCCTTAAATGCACAAGAACCATTCCTTTTGCTATAAAATGCTCTTTCACTTCACTCATTTCTATCATCCAATTCCAAAGCAACCATTACAAGAGTTAGCTAGTAAGAAGCAGAAAGAAAATAATCTAGCTTCTGGGTGTAATTGGGTTGAGGGTTGAGTGTTTTGAGAGTGCTTTGTAAACACCTGTGTATTTTCTTTTCTCCCAGTAAAATATCTGCAGTAGTCCGGAGACGTAGGCAATTTTGGCCGAACTCCGTTATCAATTGGTGTATCCAATTATTCCGTCTTTATTTCGTTTTTATTTCACTTTCATAGATTTATTTCGTTTTTATTTCACTTTCATAGATCTGACTACATGGAAAAGTTCTGTATATTTTTTCTAACAACTTGCATGTATTTCAGAGTTTTGATAATCATATAAAAAGGTCCACACCTATGAACATATATTCAGGAGCTTAAGTACAGCTTACCGGGGATCAGCTACCATTAACGTTCGATTTAGAGTTAAAGTGACCATGCAAAAAGGATTTTCTGATGTGAATTTGCAAGCTTCTTTAAGAGGTCTGTCTGTTATGATCCCTGAATTGAAGTGGCTTTCCAACTGTGAAGATCTTTGACTTGAAGTTCCACCTGTGTCCAGTTAATCGAAGGATGAAATAAGCAGAATTTTGCAAGATTTATATAATTTTCACTGGATTCAGTTATGAAAGATTGGTCCCAAAAGTTTAATGATCTAATCATGACATACATACCATCTAAATTTTGCTTCATAGATGATGTCTTCTGAGATCTTTTACTTACACTTTGGGCATGTTTATGCAAGTTTACTCCATTACCGAACCTTTCAACAATTGTAGTTGTACTTAAGCTATTCTTCATTTTCTTACAAGGTTTAGGAGATGACACTGTTGATTTCACTCTAGTCTTTTGGCAAGAAAATTGTCCATCCCAAATTTCAACACAATCATCGTCAATCTCAGCAAGATTGTCCATCGCATCATGAGTACTGAAGGGAGGATAGTCTATTTCAACAGCACTATTGTCAAATATATGCACATTAAGATGAGCTGTTCCTTGATATTGAAAGAACAACAAGTGGCCATGATTTAGAGAATAGTAGGTTTCAAACTCCTTCCAACCTTTTTGAAACCAAATATCATCATCATGCTTGGTCCAGTATATTTTCCATTCAGTGTCATCTGGAGGCTTGAGAAACACAGGGTTTGACATACTATCTCCGTATTTTTCAGTGAATTTCGGCGGAAGTTTCTGCGAAGATTTTGTTGTTAGCATTTATAATGAAACTCACAAGAATAACAGAAAACATAAACACCAAATCAACTCAAATATATGAAATGGAGAACCTTGTGTATACCTAGTACCATGAATGCATACAGAGAGATTCAGAAGTGGTAATTTCATACACCTTTTTCACCCATTGTAACATTAATAGTCTGTATTGTTGATTCTAAAGATGAAAATAGCAAGACGACTCAAACAAGAAGTATGAAAATAATGATGCTTACAAGTATTCCATGTTCAAGACTTGTTCTGAGGATAATCTTAAAGAAAGCAAAGGGATGTTTCTTGCAGACAGAAGTCATGTAATGGATGTTGAAATGAGATCTAAGGGTCAAAACAAAACAGGATTTCTAACTCAACAATTGCAATTGGTACTAAGAAACAGAGTTACCCACAGATGATGAAATAAAATGTTGCAACCTTTTCTGACTGTTTATAGAAAAATTAGAGAAGAAAAATTTAAGTTTTTTCTTTTTAATATAACAAAAATAGAGGATAAAATAAAGGTGGATTCTTCTTTCTAACATTTTTCACTATTCTAAAATTCTTGAAATCAATTCTAAATATTTATTTTGATGAGATAAAAAATAATTTTTCAAATAAAATTAATAATATTTAAAGTTTCACAAAGTGAACTTCTTTTAAAAAAATTACAATTATTATCTAAATTGGATTTTAGCCATTTTTTTAAAAGAAATTACCAGTAATAAAAAATATTTATGTTACAATTAAAATATTTTAACGCGAATCTCAATATAATTTATATATTTAAAATATTGATTTATCATGAGTTTTTATTATATAAAACTTAATATTAATCAATGAACTATAAAAATTAAAATACCAGTCTTATAATAATGAAAAAAATAATTTCTCAATGCTAAAATAAAACAAAATAATTAATGAGTCTTGATTATTTATTGGTGTTTAACATAAAATATTAATATAGTTGTGATATATAAATGATAAGTTCCAATATTCACAATTTTAGTAAGATCAATATTCATTATTATTTAGTGTGGAAATCATAATTGAAGAATGAAAATGAATTATAGTATACGTAAGGAGTTTTAGGACAATGCAATACTATAATATTCAATTAACATTTATAAGTCATGATTCAATATTTAAAAAAGAAAAAAATACATTAGTATATAAGCAATGTTTCAATATGAAAAATTAGGAATATTAATTCGTCTAGGTTAGCTCGCCATGAATTATGATTAAATTAAGTTTAATCTAATTGATTTTTTTAAGTAAGAAAAAAATAATCAAGCTTACTGATTTAACTACTATTCGATATATGAATCAATAATATAAATAATATATTTAAAAAATACGTAAATAAATTTTTATTAATTTAATTAGTTAATTATTCTTTTTTTTATACACACATTGGATTATAGAAAATAAAATTTTCTGAAAAAAAAGTTATTTTTGGCTCTCATTATTCATTTTTTTTCTTCTCAATTATTTTTTTTTCTTTTCTATCTCTTATCATTTACTAGTGGTTGTTCTCTTACCCCTTTTATTCTACTTTTCTTCCATTTTATTTTATTTTTTAAATTAAAAATATTATATTAAAATTTAAAAATATTTTTTTAAATCAAAATTGAAAATAACAAAATATTTTCATTGAAATATTTTTTATTAAATAGCTTTTAAAATTATTGATTAATTATAAAAACCTAACCTAATTATAATTAAATTAAATTACTAATAAAAAATGGATTTTATTTATGTTTAAAATTTTAATTAAATAAATAATTAATTTGTATGATAAAATAGTTTTAAATTAATTATTTTTTATTAAAAAATATTTATTTATTAACATCATAATTTTAAGTAATTAATTAAAAAAATTCAATGTTAATTTAAAAAAAATACTTTAACACATTTTATTAAACATTGAAAAAAATAATATTTTAACATGTTTTATTAAATTTAAATGAGAAGAGAAGAAAACAGATAGAAAAACAAGAAATGAACTGAGGAAAGAGAGAAAAAACAGACGAAAGAAAGAAAAAATTTATTATATATAAATAATAAACAAGTATATTTAAATAAATAAATTAGTAAAAATTATATTTAAATAGTTTTATTAAATTGAATTATTTATGATACTAATTATAAGGAAATTGACTTGCTAAATTTTTTATAATAAAAATTATAAAAAGTGGATATATATTTTAAAATAATGTGATAAAACATATATATTGTATTAAATGTTTCCTTTTAAATTGAAAGAAAAACGGTTTAATTTGACTGGAACCGTCACTCGGGAAAGTAAATTGGGTTTAAAATGGACGTCATAAATGCGGTCAACTATATTTTAGCAACCCAATGTTGGTCTTTTTCCAGTTTAGAAATTTCTTGGGAAGTGACCTAAAAGTTTTTGAAAATACAAGAATGAACACCCCAATGGACTCAATTCCATGAACTGAGTTAATTTTGTGTTTAGTTTCATACTTAGAAAATCACTCCATCTATGTAAATCATTTATGATGATGTCAATTGAATTCGAATCAATTTCAAACGTGGATTTGACCCTAGATTTGAGTGATGATCAGTTCCAAAATCCCCCAAATTAATAAGAAAAATAAGAAAAAAAAAATATCAAAAGCCATGCCATGTATGCACAAATATACATCAAGACCACCAATAAAAAAATCGTAAATCAAGTATATGTTTAAAGAATTTTCTCAATAAGCAATTGGAAGTATAACAAATTTTTGTAAGTATTAGCACCTTCTTAAAATAAATAAAATGAATTTTCATGTTTTGTAAGTATTAGTAAAATATTCAATTATAAAATGTTTGTTTATTACTTTATGCAAAATAAAATATTTTGTTTTAAATAAGTAAATACATACTAGAAGATAAATTGATATAATTAAAATAAAAAAGTGATACGATATTAAAAAAACGAGATAAAGATTATTAAAATAAAAAATAAGTGATTAGATATTTAAAATTTAAATTATCAATATTATTATACATTGAAATATTAAAACATAACACAAAAAAATATGTTTATTTAATTATTTTAATAAATTAATTTAATATATATATTAAAAAATATTCACAACCCTATTTCATCTTTTATATATATTATTTCATCTTTTATATATATTATTTAATAGTCGAGATTAAGAATAATTTAAATATATTATTTTTTTAATTAATCAAGACGGATGAAAATATTTTAAACAAAATTTTAAAAGATCTGAATCTTTAATTAAACATATAAATAATATGATCACAAACTTATCTCATTTTTTATCTACATTATTAACGTATAGATAAGATAAATTAAAATAGGTTAATAAGTTAGATAAAATGGAAAAAATAAAATAAAAAAAAAAAAACTTTTTTTATAGAATAAAATTATACAAAAAGTTTTCTCGTCTTAACATCTCCAAAAAAAAATTTTTTTAACTTATAATTATACATAAGTTAATTTTAACTTAAAAAACATACCTCACCTTTTCCTTCTTAATTTTATTTTTCAAACTCAATATATAAACTAATTTTATTTTTCCTTCTTTTTTTTCTCTTAAAAGTGTTATGGATAAGCCACTACCTCCTCGAGCAACCTAATGAAAGTGAAGAAAACATGGGAAAAAGTTGAAGAGACCACTTTTACTTTACTTTGTGAAACAATGTTGAAATAATACAAAATTACATTGTGTAAATTCAAGCAAATAACTAAACATCCAATTGAAAAATGTTCATATATACTATGCCCATTAAATGAACTTCTCAATTTTCATACTCTATGTACCGTGCCTCCATTATATGAGCTTCTACAAGTGAGGTAGTGACAACAACATTACACTATCTTGTGATCTTATCCGCCATGAAACAACACTCATCTCAGACACATATTCTCATTCCATTGTCTTCAGTCTATGACCTGCTCCTCCTCAAGCAGCATGATGGACATTTATAGCGCTTTAGGGTGTCAGCCTTTGCAGGATTGATCATAACGCACTTCCCATGGTACCACCACTCACATACGTCGCACCCGATCCAAAGTTCATCTCCATTGTATTTTTCACCACAGCTTCCACAAAATATTCTAACATGATCATTTCTCATCACAGTTCCCTGTGATTTTGTTTGTCAAAACAAAACAAAACCATTATACATTTTATATATAATAATGGCATTAATAATTTGACTTTTGTTATTATTTGTTTTTGTGGAACTTCAGCTTTACCAAACCATACCTTTGATCAAACCAATTACTAACCAGCCAAAAGAAACCATCATCACTGGAAAAGAAAAGGAAACCACTAACCTCGATGCTTACACCAGATTTGGTCACACTATCCATGGTGGGCTTCTCCTTAATTGGTTTATTGCCAGTCACAACTTGAAAAACGGTTTGAAGACCATTGATCAAACCAAATAAACGTTTTCTGCCGTAAAAAAAAAAGTCAAGAAAAACATCAATAGAGAGAACCCTATGTTGCTGATGACACTGACAAACGTGCTACAATAAAGAAATCCAATAGAAATTTTATATACTGATATCTATGCCAATTGGCAATTGCCATAGAAGCCAATTCCAACAGTGTTATAATATTACAGTAGTTTACAAAGCAGCTACTATATCCCAGATAACAGATTGCCAAGCATCTACTATATCAAAGATAGCAGAAATAACATAACCAAATTACATGGCACACTTTTGAATGCGCAAAAATCAAAAGTAGTCAAAATTCAAGAAATTCAAAGTTAATAACGGAGTCAATTTTTTTATAAGCCAACAAATTATACAAAAGCTAAGTGGAAGCAGAAGAAATGCTCACTTAACTGAGTACAAGTAACAGCCCAAATACTGAAAACAGAGTCACAGAAGATAAGAAGCATAACTTAGCAAGGGTCCTGCCATGTCACAGAAGATGAAAGCACGACAAATGATGGATTGGCAAAAGACCCAAATAACACCTAGCCACTATTAGCGATGCTGCATTTCATCTAAGCATTAGTATAAAACAAAACCAAGCATAATCCTTACTAAGAATTAGACCAAATATGGAACTCCCAGGATAATAGTGAGCCAAAACAAAACTAAAGTCATAGTATAATAAAGGCCTTAACATCATTAGTCTAAGGCTGAAAACAATATCCAAGGTCTGAAACAAATGGAATGTCTTTTGACACCATAATCTATCATAATGATTTAGATGAATGTTGAGCATAAACCTCAGTCATAACCATAATTTCTACATTAAACAAGGTGCATAGGGACGTCCTTGGTGGATAGACAGCCACGATGGACTTGCATTATTACATATGCATCTGTCTGTCAATGTTAGATCATACCTTTCATTGTGGTTAAGACGAGTTCCAAGGTAAAAGGCCACAGAAAGAAGCCATGAGTCACTATGCACAGCAACCAGAGAAAGCCAGTCCTTGCGGCTCACGTCGTCCCTGGCAAAATTGATTCCAAGAGCTGGCTCAGGGAGCTCCGGCGGAACTTCCTCCGACGGCAGAGTTACTTCCCAGGCCCCGTTTGGATGGCCATAGAGACACAAGTTATCCTTACCTTAAGGAAACATACATGAGACATCAAATTTAATGGAAGGACACAAAATATGATGCAATAATTACAAAACCACATAAATTAAAAATCTAAATCTAGCTGAAATTAAAACCCAGAAAAATGAACGTGGATGTGACCCTCTGTTACCAGACCCAAATGCCATAGAGCAATCCCAATACTATTATTTTCTCATTCTCACGAGAACGAAACAGCCCATGAACCATGCAAAAGTTCACCTTCTTCCCATTACTATGTAACCATTTTAGACTCCAACATGCACGAATTCGCACACACACAGCAGTTTTTTCTTTTTTCTTTTTTTTACGCAAAACATAACGAATACCCACAACAATTTTTTTTGTTGACGTAGCATAAGCCAAAGTACAAAAATTAAGGGGGAAAACAGAAAATTCCTTTTACCTGGATCACAGAGTCCGTAAAATTCATCAACGTCTGAGAAAAGAAGGCAAGGGTGAGAAAAGAAAGAGAGAGAAAGAAAAAACAAAAGGAGGCGTTGGAAAGATAAGAGGAGTACCGTGAGTGAGAGCGCGAATAATAGCGGTTCTTCGAGCTCTATAATCCATGAAGATTTCTTCAACAGTGCGGGGTTTGGAAGCCATGCAGCTGGAGGGTAGGGATCAAAAGAGCGTAGACAATGAAAAGAACATAGGACGAGAACGTGGGTTCATGTTTTATAATTGAAATATGATTTAATTTAGTTTTATATTATTATTATTACGATTGAAGATAAATGATTAATTTTCTTTTTACAAATTCGACATTAATAGTATATACTAATATTAATCAGATGAGAAAATTATCCATCAAAAATCACTCAAATCACCAAAATCTTTTCAAAACAATATCTATAAACAAGTAAAAATAATCAACACTGGTTGATATAAATAGTAGTCTTTTTAAGTAATTTACGATTCAAATAATGGAAACAGTGACTTTAAATATGAAATAAACAATATTCATCTAGTGTACGTTTAAAATCCTCCACTGTGTCAATCATTAATTTTATCTTGATTTTAAAATACAAAATTTTCACTAATTATATAATAAGTAAAATAATTAATCAACATTAACAGCATAAAGAAAATTATCAATTAACATATGAAGATTAAAAATATAATTTACAATCTAATTAATTAAACACATATTTATAATGAATATATAATTAATGTAATTAATAAATACATATGAAGAAATTTATATAGGTATCCTTACCAATATGATGATGGTAATTTTGCAATCAATCCTTGTGAGTTGATAACCCAAATTAGGAATATAAATAGTGAGTGAGGGAAAACTAGATGAGACATTTACTTTCCCAGCCAAAATAAGAGATTATTATATTTTAATGCGACAAATTTATTATAGGTAATAAATATTATTGGATATTACTAGAGATTATTTTAAATAATAAATTACTAATTTATAATAATTAATATAAATGTTATAAAAATTAGATTTAAAAATATATTTTTATAAAAATATTAAATATATATATATATATTTAAAGGAAGGAATCCACTAATTTTTTAAAGATTAATTTTTTATTTCCATAATTTATATTATTGATAATTTAATAAATAAAAAAGGTTATTATTTTAAATTAGTATATTATTTAAAAATAATAATAAAGATGAAAAATTAACTATTTATTATATATATATATATATATAGATAGATAGATAGATAGATAGATAGATAGATAGATAGATAGATGTAGGTAAATAGATAAAGAGAAAGGAATCCACTTAATTTTTAGAGATTAATTTTTTATTTTCATATTGATAATTTAATAATTAAATTAGATTAAGATATTAATTTAAAATAATAATAAAGATAAAAATTTAACTATTTAAATATATATAGAGAGAGAAAGAGAGATACATAAATAAAGGGAAATGAATAACTTAATTTTTAGAGATTATTTTTTTATTTTCATAATTTATCTTATTGATAATTTAATAATTAAAATAGGTTAGATTAATATATTATGTAAAAAATAAATAAAAAATTATATATAAAGAGAAGATAAATAGATAAATATAGATAAAAAAAACGAAGGGATTCATATCTTATTGATAATTTAATAATTAAAATAAATTAATATATTATTTCAAAATAATAATAAAGATGAAAATAATCTAATTATATATATATATATATATAAAAGATGATTAAAATATAAAAAAATTATCTATTTGAAATGAAATTTCTTTCATTTATAGAATAAAGTCCTAAGTTCGTTGTAACTGTTTATTTTTAAATTATTATCTTAATTCATACAAAGTTATGGTTAACAAAATAATAATAATAATGAATTATTAAAAATTAATATAGTTTATTTGAGTGGAACATATTGGAAAAAAATCTATAAAATATTGATTAAGTAGAATAAATAAAAAAACTGTATATATTTATTTAAAAAAACAATAAAATTTAAGAATAATTGGAACAAAATTAAAGTTTAAGGTATTATTTGTAAATAGGATAAAGTTTGAGAATCAATTAAAGCAAACTTAAAATTTAAGGTGATAACAAAAGAAATCTTGTAGCAACTTATTTAAAAATGTATAATGTAGTTAACGACACTAAAAAATAGTTAAGTTTCCTTGAATTTTTCTTTAATTTAGTATGGTCTGGGCAATATTTTTTTTAATTTGGTTAAATTTTTACACAATTCAATTCAAAATGATTCGTTTCTAATAGCTATTAATGCAAATTATTTATCTTCATCATTTTCCTTATTTTAATTTTTTTGAAATCTGTTTGTTAAAAAAAAATTTATTAAAGTATTAATTTCAAGTTTAGTTTCCGAAAAAAAAACCCTCTAGTAACTAAAATAAGTTTGTTAAAAAATATATAATTTATTGAAATATTAATTCTCAGCTCAGTTTTAGAAAAATATATAATTTAGTTATGATAATAGCGCAGTTTATTTTTCCATGTAAAATTATTTAATTAGGATAGATATTTTAGATATTTTATTTATTAGAGATATTATTAGTCATAATATATGCATTTATCGTATTTATTTGTATGACTTTTAATTATAAATATATTATCTTACATGTATTTTAGACACAAAAGAATTAATTATATATCTAACTTTTCACTATATTCAACATTGTATCTACAACTTAGTTTTTTTTTTTCGTCGTTTTCGATGCCTTTGCACCTGCCGTCGCCACCACGATCATCGTCGTCGCTCGAATCACAATTATGACTGACAACCATACCATTCTACTCATTTCGACTAGACAACCACCGTATCAAAGAGATTGTCGCGATCAAAGTCTCAATGCGCTATTTAAAGTTTTTAAGTTTTTTTTTTCTCTTACTCCGTGACTTCTTCCACTGTCCCACAATCATCTATTGTGGATCCTACGTCATCTTATAACACAGACAAATATACTATTTTCAATGAATTTTTCAAATGGTATGAAGCTCATTAAAACTCTAATTTCATTACTTCTGTTGCACTTACATGTACATCTTTTATTAACCTAACTTAATCTCCTTTTATTAGACCTTGGATTCTTGAAACAAATCTTTGATTTTTTTTTTTATCTTCTTCGAATAATTTACCTTTGATTACAATGACTAATGAGTCTAGGGTTTTGCCTTATGGTATTAGTATTTTTAAACTTTTTCCATCTTTATCTATTGATAATGTTCTTTATATCTCTGGGTCTCCCTTTAACTTATTATTCATTAGTCGTCTAACTCGTTCTCTTGATTGTATTATTTCTTTTACTAAAGATTTTTGTTTTTTTACACGATTAGAGTTTGAGACAAATGATTGACATCGGATATGAATCTCATGGTTTTTATCATCTCCGCCTTATACGCATGTTGGTACAGTTATGGACTCTCATGGTCTTTATCATCTCCGCCCTTCTACACATGTTGACACAATTATGGAGTCTTTATCTCTCCCTCAAGCTCAGCTAGGTCACCCAGTCTTGCCAAATTATAACAACTTATTCTCAATTTGTCCAATTTATTTAGTCTATTATATGAGTCATGTCAATTAGGGAAACATAGTCGTAGTTTATTTCCTTGTAGTCATAGTTTTTTTTCTCGTAGTTCACTCTGACATTTTGAGACCAAGTCGTGTTAAATCTAATTTAGGATTTTTAATGAAAAATCGTTCTGAGTTATTTTCTATATTGTAATCTTTTTTAATGATATTAAAAACTCAGTTTAGGATTTCTATTCAAATTTTGTAAAGTGATAATGATTGTGAATATTTTCTCATTCTTTTAAAAATTTTATGGCTTCTCATAGCATTCTTCATCAAACATCATGTGTTTATACACCACAACAAAATGGGGTGATTAAGCATAAGAACAGACATCTTGTTGAAACAACTCGCACTCTTTTAATTCATGATGAGGTTCCTAAACATTTTTTGGGATGACGTTGTTCTTACTACATGTTATCTTATCAATCGCATGCCATCTTCGATTTTAGATAACAACATTTCTCATTCTCTTTTATTTCCTCATGAACCTCTACATCCCTTACCTCTTAAAGTTTTTGGGTTTACATGTTTTGTTCATAATTTTAGTCCCGATCTTGATAAGTGATCTTCTAAATCATAATAATGTGTTTTTTTAGGATTTACTCGATCATAGAAAAGATATAAATGTTTCTCTCTTTTTCTTAACCGTTATTTTATTTCTAAAGATGTCACATTTAATGATTTTTCCTTTTATTTTAAGTTTTTTTTCTTCTCCATGTGTGTCGTCATCTATTACTGTCAATATTTCTATTGTGTGTGATTCTCTTGTTAGCCCACCTTTGAATTCTCCTCCGCCACCACCACTTTAGGTTTATAATCAAAGACAACAATCCCAACAACCACCAAATGACTCGCGTCTAGTGCCAACTCGTTTGTCTCCTCTAGCTCCAATAACTGAGTTTGACCTTCAAATTGGCCGCCATAAAAGTTTACGTTCTACTCGTAATCCCTCTCCTCATTATACTGCTTTGAGTTACCATAGATCATCTCCACCTTTTTATACTTGTTTTTATCCATTTATTTTATGTCAATTCCCAAATCCGTTGGTGATACCTTAACCCATCTTGGTTGGTGTCAAGCTATGCTTGATGAAATGAGTGATTTTCAGAATAGTGGAACTTGGAAACTCGTCCCATTATCGTCTGAAAAATTTGTTGTTAATTGTAGGTGGGTGTTTGCTATCAAAGTTGATCCTGATGGTACCATTGACCGTCTCAAAACTCGTCTTGTGACCAAAGGTTACACGTAAATTTTTGGTTTGGACTATGATGACACCTTTCTCTAGTGGTGGCAAAGGTGACTTCTGTTCGCTTATTCATAGTCATGACTGTTCTTCACAACGGTCACTTTACCAAATAGGTGTCAAAAATACTTTTCTTAACGAAGATTTGTAGGAAGAAATTATATGGAGCAACCTCTAGGCTTTGTTGCTCAGGGGGAGTCTTCTAGATTGGTATGTCATCTTCACAAATTTTTATATGACCTAAAATAATCTCCTAGGACCTGGTTTGGAAAATTTAACAGTGTTGTTCAGTAGTTTGGTATGACTCGCAGTAAAACAGATTATTCGGTATTTTACCGCCACTCAAGTGTTGGGTGTATCTATTTAATAATATATGTTGATGATATTATTCTTATAGGGAGTGATCACCATGACATCTTCCAAATGAAGCAACACCTTTGTCACCACTTTTAGACCAAAGATCTTAACAAACTTAAATATATCTTGGGGATTGAGGTAGCACAATTCAATAATGATATTGTTATATCTCAGAGAAATTCTGCATTGGATATTTTAGAAAAAAAAATTGGGTTGATGAACTCAAAATATGTTGACACACTCATGCATCCCAATACCAAACTCCTACCTAATCAGGAGGAGTCTCTCTCAAATCCTGAAAACTACAGAAGATTAGTTAGAAAACTAAACTGTCTTACTATTACTCGTCCTGACATTTCCTTTACAGTTAGTGTGGTGAGTCAATTTCCCATGTGTAGATTATTAGAGTGCAGTCATTCGTATATTAAAGTACATTAAAGGGTCTCCTGGAAATGGTTTGTTATATAATTATAATAGCTAGGTTAAAGTTGTTTGTTATTCAAATGTTGACTGGGCATGATCTCCTTTTGATAGAAGATCTTTCTATTGGAGGTAACTTGATCTCTTGGAAGAGCAAAAAACAATGTTGTAGCAAAATCTAGTGTAGAAGCAAAATATAGAGGTATGACCTCAGTCACTTGTGAATTTGTTTGACTTAAACAATTATTTAAAGAAATGTAATTTTGAGATATCACTCAAATGACACTTATATATGACAATCAGGTTGTTCTTCGTATTAACTATAATCCTTTTTTTTATTAAAGAACCAAATACATTGAAGTTGACTCTCATTTTATTCGAACAAAGATTGTATATGAAGACATTAAGACCGCATTTGTTAACTCAAGTAATCCGTTCAAAGATATTTTTACCAAATCTTTAATGGAACCTAAAATTAATTATATTTATAACAAGCGTGAGACATATGATTTATATGGAATAACTCGAGGAAGAATATTATATATTTTAGTTATTATATTGTATTTACCCTATTTATTTGAATAACTTTTAATTATAAATAGATTATTCTATATATATTTGGATAGAAGGAAATTAATCTTATACCTAATTTTTTACTATATTTAACAAATTAAAATTGTAAATAATTTTCTTGGATTTATTATTAAAGTTAACTAATTTAGTTCAATTTTTAAAACTATTTTATAATTTAGTTTGGTCTAGTCAAAATTATTTCTTTTCTCCTAAATTTGGACACGTGTTATTCTCACAAATATTTTGACAGTTTCTATTAGCAATTAAATATCATATTTTTGTTGGAACAAAATTACCTAATTTAAAAAAATTAGAAAACCAATAGTGTAATTAAAAGTTTATAATACATTCGCATAAAAAATAAAATTTAAACAGCCAATTTAAAGGCATAGAAAACAATTTAAGTGTCATGAGTAGACTTCAACTAAGATTTTAAATGCAGAGAACCAAATTTAAGTGTCATAAATTTGGAACAAGTGGCATTTAATTTTTCTAGGTGATGTTACACAAAAGCAATGTCATCATTTCAAAGCAGCAGGTTTTGTTTCTTTCTACCAGTTCTATTTGAAATCCATCCCCTTTTCACTCACACATCTCATCTCAACATCCATGACTTCTCCAAGCAATAAGCACCTCTTTCCCACTGCAGTTCATTTCTTTAAGATTATCCTCAGAACAAACCTTGTGCATGGAATACTTGTAAGCATCATTACTCTCATACTTCTTTTTTTAGTTAACTTGTTACTGTTTATGTTTTGCACCACCAAATGAGTCTACTTTATTATCTGTAGCTGCTATTGATAAATAGTACGGTTAAATATATGTTTAGTTGCTTCAAATAAGATAATATTTGGTTTTTTACAAAATAAATCATCTCTAGGAACACCGTGTTTTTGAGATAGAAGCAAAAAATGTAATGACGAACACCTATTATTGTAACAGGTGAAAAACTAATTTGAAACTACCACTTTTGTATCTCTCTGCTTGCATGATCATGAATATATACAAACTTCTGCATAAATCGTATGTGTGAATTGATAAGACTGCTATTTGTAGCTTTTGTTTCTTTGTTATGCTTGTCCATTTTATTATGCATGCCAACAACATAATCCTTTTGCAGAATCTCCCAAAAAAGTTCACTAGAAAACATGGAGATGGAATGTCAAACCCGGTGTTTCTTAAGTGTCCTGATAGGACTGAGTGGAAGATATATTGGACTAAGCATGATGGTGAGATTGGGTTCCAAAAGGGGTGGAAGGAGTTTGCCACATACTATTCTCTAGATCATGGTCACTTGCTGCTCTTTGAATATGATGGAACTTCTCATATTGATGTGCACATATTTGACAGTAGTGCCCTTGAAATAGACTATCCTTCCCACACTACTCATGATAGACTGGACAACCTTATCTACATTATTGATGATTCTGATGAAAGTTTGTTGGAACAATTTTCATGCCAAAATGCTAGTGTGAAACTATCCCGGTCTTCACCTCAACCTTGTAAGAAAATGAAAAATAGCATAACCACAAGTGTTGTGAAAAGCCCCAACTGGGTAACTTTGTATCAGCATGTCCAAACTAGAAGTTCTAGCTCTCGAGAGGAAAAATCTATAAAGCAAAAATTAGATGGTATGTATGTGTGTATGTCATGATCAGATATTTTTGTGAATCTATCAGCTTTTTGAGACCAATTTTTTCATAACTTGCTCATACCATGTTGAATTTTCAGAAAATGAAGTTAAAGACCCTCCTAACAATGAATGCTCAAAAGTGGAGCAGTTAACTTCTACTGCTTTAAAGAAAGCCATAACTTTCAAATCTGAACACCCTTCTTTCCTGCTTGTCATGAAGGAATCTTTTATTAATGGATATTACCTGGTGAGCACTTGATCAAATATATGCATTGTTAAGAGTTAGCTTCTTTTACAAGGATGTGGCAGCAGAAATATAACTTGTAGTTCTTTTATTTTTTTTACATTGTAAAAAAAATTCCAGAAAATACCACCCCATTTTGTAAAAAAATATTTGAAGAAAGCACATGCAGTTATCAGCCTTGAAGTATTAGAAGGGAGAACATGGCCTGTTATTTATTCTGCGCCTAGAATTAATGAGGGATGGCATAAATTTGCATCAGAAAACAATTTGAATGTTGGAGATGTCTGTGTTTTTGAGATGATCCAGAAGATCCAAGGCCTTGCTTTCAAAGTTTCCATCTTTCGAGGTGCCGAGGAAGCAAGTTGCCCCATTTCACAAGGTAATCCATTTTTTATTTTGTATGCACAATGAGAACATTAGAATCCATTGAAGGAGAGGCAGTTAATTATAATTTTTTTTAACTCTTCATTCATGAGGGGTTTATATTTGAGAATAAAGGGAAGAGTTATAAATTGTTTTTCATAATTTACGATTCCTCCCTTTGAATGAGTCAAATATTGGTTGAAAAAGAGAATCCTCTATGCTGAATCTATTTCATAGGTAGCTTTTATTACACTCTACAAAAAGCTAAAACTGAATCCAGTGAAAATGCAAATATAGATATTTCAAAATGCTGCATAGTGTATCCTTCAAGTATTAACATGACAGGTGGAAGTTCAAGTCAAAGATGTTCACTGTTGGAAAGTCACTTCAAGTCAGAGATCTTAACCAGAGCTCATAAAGAAGCTGACAAATTCAAATCAAAAAATCCCTTTTTCATGGTCACTTTACAAGGGCAGGGAAACACAATCAGATGCCCGGTAAGGTTTGGCCAGGCACCTAAATATACTAACAGGGGTGAAATTTTTTATGTAATCATAGCCAGCAAGTATTATTATTCTTTGTTGAATAGTTTGATTCTGTTCTAACAGTGGTCAACATGTATGTGCATGAGTTGATGCAGTATGTGCCGATTGACTTTTCGAGGAATTATTTTGTAAACTTGACGAAGAAAATGATTATGATGCAGTTTAGAAACAAATTGTGGCCTATGAAGTTTTTATCTTATAAATCTTCATCTTCAACTAAGCTCTCTGGTGGTTGGGCCTCATTTACAAGAGAAAATAACCTGCAACCTGGAGATGTTTGTATCTTTGAGCTTGTGAATAGAAAAGATGCAACACTTGATGTTCATGTTTTTAGAAGCCGTGGTAAGGTAATGCATTAGGGGATGCAGGCTTCTTTGTCAAAGGTTTTATCATGTCAAAAGACTTAGTTTTATCAATTTATGGTTTTTGAATGGTAGTGTTGATGTATTTGCATACATATATATATGGAATGTAATTTCATGTTATCAGATACATCATTTATCACAGTCCATTATCTATAGAACTTCTACTATGCTGAATCATTCATATATATTGTGCTTGAGGATTTCAAATCACTGATTATCAATGAGAAAAAAAATTGGACTCATTCCACCTTCACCCTGGTTCATCCAAGTTGAACTCGTGGTGGGTGATATGGACTCAACCTCCAAAAACAAAAAGAAAAGAAAAATATTCACCTTAATGTTAAATTAAAACTTTTTTTTTTTTTTAATTTATCATGCATTATATAAAATTTTATAGTTGATGAAAAAAATAATGTAGAGCTTGAAAGACTTGTGTTGAATTGGTGCATATTTCAATTCTTTAATTTATTAATTATTATGTATTATTTAAATTTTTAATTCTTAATTGTGGAAACTTAATTTTTATATAATATGCTTTGTTTTTTTTTAATTCTTACACTTAAAATCATTATCTTTTAGTGTCTACACATCTTTTTTAAAAGACAAATCTTATTATAAGTACAACTGGTGTTATTTTTTAAGTCAAATTTTAAGTTTCACATTGATAATAGAATTGGTTAAAAATAATATTCCAGATTAATAAAAATAAAAGTTAAAAAAAAATGATACTGAAAGAATCAAACCAAAGAGTAATTAAACAAATTAATTAAAGCAAATTGTAAACCAAACTATCTTCGGTACTCTCTTCGTTGTGCTCCAGCACCTGATGAAGTTGGAATGGGACGCCGCTTTTGCATAGTCTCCAGAGCCGCAGAGAGAGAGAGAGAAATGGGGAACAAAGAAAAGGCTAAGGAACGAAGAGAAAAGCGATTGCAAGATATACGCCACCAGATGACGATTCCTTATTCTGATCGTCAGAGGTTCATTTTTCCTCTTCTCTTTTTCGTTTCGGATTTTGAAACCCACGAGTTTAGTAACAACTCGCACTGTCTTACGCTTTAATTTCTGCAAACATAACCCGTTTAGTTTTCAGTTTTTATGTGTATTTCATTTTTTTTAACAGAAATATAATTTGTCGTACAATTTCATTCGTCCTATGTATTCTTCAAATGTTGAGAAAGTAATTTACACCCAACCCAACTCTTGTTATCATAATTGTGCCCCATGTATGCCAACGTGCCTCATTATACGTTTATTTGTTGGGTAAAATCTTGAATGGGATACCTTAATCTTAGGCCAAACCATGAATAAGAAAAGCAATGGTTTCATATTCTAAATTACACCTGCTACTTTCGAAATTTTGTGAATTACACAAATTTCTCCTGCTTTTTTTTTTCCCTTACACAGAGTGGCAGATATAATAAGAATCTAGATCAGTGGGAACAATTTATTTTAAAAAATAAATATGATTATTACATTGTATGGTTTTGAATATTCTTATATCAATATATAGTTCTGTCACTTGGTAGTTGGATCAGTATATAAGTTTAAAGGGTGCAGAAAAATAAAACTTAATATATTTTTAGTAGTAATTTTATAAAAAAATGGGAGGATGCAACTTCCCACACTCACATATATAGGTCCGCCACTGCTTAAACTAGTATCCTAAATTGTTTGAAAAACAATACATCGACTCCTCTTTATACATTATACTAACCCCCTTTGTCTGTTTAAAGTATTACACTGAGTTCTACAAAGAAAATTGTTATTAATGTGAGAAAAGCAAAGAGAGTTTGTATAGTTTCATGAAATCTCTACTCTAGAGTAGTTAGTGTAATTTACTCTACTCTTTATTGTTTGGTGGTGTAACAAGTCAATCCCACTAAATAGAGAGTAGGATCCACTATATATGGGGCAGGACATACACCATTTAGTGTATTACACTAAATAATAAAGACGGTGTTAGGAAAAAATGTGTTGTCAGTGATCCTGGGGGAATAGTTATGAATACAAAGTTGATTCTGTTTTATGTCTTGGTGCCAATATGTCTAGATGACCTTTGCACAGACCTTCATTTTCATGCACGTTCAGGCCAGTAAGGAGAAAAACTGTTGTTGAGCTTCAAGTGAAGGTCCAAATATTGGACAAATTGACCCAGCCTGAGAGTGTTGCCACTGGGCTAGCATGTAACCCTCGGCATGTATTTTGATGACAAAATTGTTGTTCAGCCTTTAACCATCCATAGTTTATGGAATTACAGATATTCTTCTGATCCCCATAGCTTGTTCTAATTGTTGTTGATTTGAATATTCATAGGTGGTGGTCCAAGGAAACTGTTGCTGTTGTTACCGGTGGAAATAGAGGAATTGGGTTTGAGATTTGTAGACAACTTGCCGTTCATGGATTGACTGTTATCCTGACATCAAGAGACTCTAATGCTGGTGTTGAATCAATTAAATTTTTGCAAGAAAGGGGTCTTAATGTGGTTTATCATCAACTAGACGTAGTAGACTATTCATCCATCAACCAGTTTGTGGAGTGGTTGCGGGAAAATTATGGTGGTTTAGATATTCTGGTAAGTTTCTGGCATCTGCTGTTGGGATCTATCTTGTTGTTGCATCCATTTTGTAACTGTTATATTATCAAATTAATTTTATTTAGATTTTGTTCATTGTGAATCTAAATATGCTAAACATGGAATAAAACACAACAAGATGGTTAAATTTTACAAGGAAGTACGTAGAATGTGGTTTAACTCATTCTTATTTATGCTTCTGAATAATATCATTAACCTGTAGGTAAACAATGCTGGTGTTAATTTCAATCTTGGGTCTGATAACTCAGTCGAAAATGCTCGTAAGGTTATTGAAACAAATTATTACGGCATCAAGCACATGATTGAAGCTATTATTCCATTGATGAAGCCATCCCTTGTTGGTGCTCGTATTGTAAATGTAAGCTCACGCCTTGGTCGACTAAATGGAAGACGGAATGTAAGTAAAGCTCTTTATACTGTTTACTAAAAATGCTTTGAAGAGTTTTGATCTTAGAGTCTTTCCCTTTCTAGTACTCTCATGTCTTCTTCTTGGGGTTAAAACTTTTCATGATTTTCACACATAAATGTTCATGTTCTGAAATATAAAATGCGCAATATATTCCTTCTGGTATATTAATCAAAATTCCTGTGATCAGACATATGCTTCCTTAATAAATAAAAAATACTTTGAATTGCTGCAATTCCTTTTTGCAATCTTTAGTGATGTATTTGTAAACAACATATTTAGAAACATACCGTTTGTGGTAAAATATTTTTCTTGTCTGAAATTGAATTAGTGATATAAATTTGATATTTTGTTTGAGTGACAGAGAATCAGCAATGTAGCCTTAAGGGAGGAACTGAGTGACGTGGAATCCCTTTCAGATGAACTTATTGACAGGACTCTATCTACTTTTCTGCAACAAGTTGAGGATGGAACTTGGACTACAAGTGGGTGGCCTCAAGTGTATACTGATTACTCAGTGTCCAAACTAGCTGTTAATGCCTATACAAGGCTTACGGCAAGGAAGCTTTCTGAGAGACCAGAGGGTCAGAAGATTTATATTAACTGCTATTGCCCAGGTTGGGTGAAGACAGCCCTTACAGGTTATGAAGGGAATAACACTGTTGAGGAAGGGGCTGATACTGGAGTGTGGCTTGCCCTTCTTTCGGACCAATCATTCATGGGAAAGTTGTTCGCTGAGAGACGGGAAATTAACTTCTAAGAAGTTTTGCTTCTTGGCATTACAAGAATTTAAGTTCTACTATACTGCAAATTTTCAAAGGAAAAGAAACTTGGAATTTTTCTGATGGCATTAGTTTGCTAGCAGGTGTACCATGTAATTTTAGTTGATAAACTAATTCTTTGACTTTATTTATTTATTTTTGTTTCAGCCCCGGCTTTTTCGTTCCCATTTTATATTTTGTTTCGTTTTTTTTGTTCACTTTAAATCGTTCTATTAACTTTCTTCATTTGATGATATCTTCATAATAATATATATGATGAAATAATGATGACCATGTCACGAGAAGTGCTACAACAATTGCTTTTGGAAAAGTGTTTCATCAACATTATAAGGTACTTTTATAAAAAATAATGCATTTATAAATATTATAAGAAAAAGAGTGATATATTTAAAGAAACTATGATAAAAAAATCATGTACAAGTACTAAATTATTTAAAAGTAATATATATATATATATATATATATATATATATATATATATGAACTAAAAAAATCATATTTTTTATTATATTTCAGAAAGTAGATATTGAATTATTTGAAAAAATTATATATAATAGAAAAATCGTGACGACTAACCTTTCTGTACTTATATATTAGAAAAAAATAGTAAGAACTAGTTAATCTTTTTTGTAGACTTATTTCTTTTATTTTTTTTATAAAATAAAAAAAAAGTATTATATAGGCATGGTAACGGAATGGGAGGCAGGTTTTGCCTCTCTTATTTTCATTTTTTTTACTTTTTTTAATTCTCCTCATCTTTGATTTCTACCATGATTAAAAATTAAGTTCTTATCTTTATTGAGTTTTCTTGCTCCATTTTCAATTTATATTTTTTTAAATAATTATATTTATAATAAATTAATTTTATTATTTTATATATTAAATAAATATTTATAATTTTATAATTTGTAATTATTATTAATTAAATATATTTTTTAATTTAATATATGTATATATTAAAAAATATATGTAAAATAAATATTTAATTATTTTTTATTTATATATATATATATAATATTTATATCATTATTATTATTATTATTATTATTATTATTATTATTATTATTATATTATATTTAAATATATGACAAATAAAAATAATAAGATTCAAAAATATAATATAATAAAATTTAATAAATATAAATTAAAAATAAAATAATATTAGTTATTATTAAAATTTATTTATGTAAAATATTTAGAAAAAGATTAAAAAAAGAAAAAAATTAACTTTATATTTATCATAGTTGAAAAAAAAGTTAAATTAATTGAAAAAATTAAAAAGTATAAAAAAATAAAGAGAAAATAAATAATGTAATAAAATAATTAATATAAAATATTAAAAAAAATGATCTTATATAAAATAGAAAAAGAAAATATTATATTTAAAATTTAAATTTAAATATAACTCGACGATTATATTATCATCTCTACTCCCATAGCAAATTTTTAAAACGGTAAAAATCCAAATCCGATGCATCAAACTCGTAGCGGGACGGATGGTCCTGTACGGGTTTAATTGTAATACTTGAGATTGGAAGTGTCTTTAATTATGACTTCACTTGAGTTCTTGACTGTAAAATAATCTACCGTCATCATTTGCTTTCTGAATTCTCGTTCACTTCTTCTTCATCTTCTTCTACTTGTCTCACCAAAGACGACACGCTAAGGTTTCAAGGTTTAAAGTCAACGCTCTTTTCCTCTCATTCTTTTTTCTGTTTTATATTTGAACCTCTTTTCATGTTTCATTTTCATTGTTAGATTAAATCATGATGAATCTTCTACTCGGTGCTATAATTCTTCTCGTTTTTTACACGGTAAAATTTTTCTACTCAAATTTCTGGGTCCCATGGCGAACGGACCTTCACTTCAAGAAGCAAGGGATAGGGGGCCCTGGCTACCGTCCGCTCGTGGGAAACTCGTCGGAGATCCGACGGCTCTACGAGGAAGCGAAGTCAGGGGCGACCCCTCCGTTCGAGGACCACAACATCTTGAGACGTGTGGTTCCATTTTACGAAAGGTGGTCTCGTACGCACGGGAAAACCTTCTTGTACTGGTTCGGTTCAACGCCCCGGTTGGCGATAACTGAACCGGACATGGTTAAGGAGGTGCTCACGAACACGCGCGGGGAGTATGAGAAAGTCCCCTACAACCCTCAGTCGAAGTTGCTCTTTGGACAGGGCCTTGTGGGCCTGGAGGGTGACCAATGGGCTTTGCACAGAAGGATTCTAAAGCTGGCCTTTAACTTGGAGCTTGTTAAGGTAACTTACTTCATCTTGTGTTGGATTAAATACTTTCAACTTTTTTTTACAATTCCTACTTTTCAAGTTTCATTTTAAGAGTAAATAGTTAATTTTCTTTTATATTGTTTATTAATAAAAATAGAGTAAATTACGATATGTTTCGAGATTTTCTCGAATTACATTTACATATCCGGAACTTTTTAGTATTAGAATGGTTTTCCTTAAGAGGTGTAAATATAATGTTTTGAAGATTTAAGATGTACATGTATAAAATAAAAATGAGTGACTAATATAACATTTTAAAACAAATTGAAATTTTATGTAGAATTTTAAAAAAGCTGAAATTTTAGTATATACTAATGTTATATATATGGAGAGAGAGAGAGAATACTTTATATATGGAGAAAATACTTTACTTTGGTTTCTGGTCATTAGAAAATAGAAAGTTATTAATTAATGAGTGAATCATGAACACTTTTGCAGGGATGGGTGCCAGATATTGTGGCAAGTGTCACAAAGATGGTGGATAGATGGGAGGACCAAAGAGGGGGAAGAGATGAGTTTGAGATAGAGGTGCACAGAGAGCTTCTTGATCTTTCTGCTGATGTGATATCAAGGACTGCTTTTGGCAGCAGTTATGAAGAGGGCAAGCATATTTTCAACTTACAGGAGCAACAAATGCATCTTTTCTCAGTAGCAGTTAGAAGTGTCTATATACCTGGATTCAAGTTACTTTCCCAACTTTTTAATTTTTATATTTAGTTGCAATTGAGAATTTATTTCTATACACTCACACTAACAGACAATCAATTAGAAATCATAATAGATTTGACTTTTATGCTAATTAGTTATTGTAAAAGATCATACATGACAATTTATAAGTACATAGACAATGTATTCTATATATCCTAAAAAAGATAGACTACCTGATATTTACCATAAACTACAATAGGCAAGTTATTTTACAGTGATGCAGTATGCATGCCACGACACTAAACAGAAAACAAGAACAGTAGGGGGGTCCAGGAAATTTGCTATGTCAAAATACAATCTTGTATAACTTTATTTTCTTAGCACCAGCCTTATTAGCCTATAAATTAGAAACCTAACATGCTGTACGTACCAGCAGAGCAGTAGCAGGTCATTTCTCAAATAGCAAGTGCTAAGGATTTGATCCATGAGTTTTCAACTTGTAGGTTGTTCCATTTAAGATCTTGCTTTAGCTGAGTTTAAGATGAGAAATACAACTGCATATAAATTTATTTGTGCCACGCCATAAATATTCGAAACACGATTTTGTTATGGATGTCTCCAAAATAAAGTTTGTAACAGACCTGGTATTTTTCCCTCTTGACACATAATTATTGAGTTTCAGTGTTTTACCTTTTTTTTTTTTTCTGGAACTTTGATATAAAAATAGGTATTTGCCAACTAGGAAGAACAGGGAGAGGTGGAGACTAGAAAAAGAAACACGTGAGTCAATTCTCAAGCTTATTGAGACCAAGAACACAACGAGAGAAAATACAAGAAATGTACTAAGTTCTTTGATGTGTTCTTACAAGAATGATGTTGGTGGAGAGGAAAAGTTAGGGGTGGAAGAAATTATAGATGAATGTAAAACCATCTACTTTGCTGGAAAGGAAACTACAGCTAACGTGTTGACTTGGACACTTCTTCTATTAGCAAAACACCAGGAATGGCAAAGTAAGGCACGTGAAGAAGTTCTTCGTGTCATCGGACACAATCAACTTCCTGTTGCGGACAATTTAAGCGACCTTAAGATTGTAAGTTCATTGTTGTTGTTTGATTTGCCTTCAAGAGAATCAGAACAATGCATCTGTTTATTCTTAGAATTAATATTATAATGCATTTACTCTGTTGGATGCTGGTTTGATCATAGATGATTGCGCGTTAGTCAACTGGTCTATTGTCAAGATTCAATCTAGATGCTGTATAAGCTTTATAAATCGAAACAGACAGAGATGCAGAAAAGTTTGGCCGTGGAGAGAGAAACAAAATAGTGTAGTATAAACAAAATAGTCTAGGAATCAATTTCTGCGATGGATAAACAAATAAACCAAACAATTGAGATCATAGAATAATTAAAATCCTTGAGTACAAAATTCTGGTCCATTTTCATTGATTATTTTTGGTTCACATTTCCCAACAGGTTAGCATGATAATTAATGAAACACTTCGGCTTTATCCTCCAGCAGTAATGCTAATGAGGCAAGCCTCTAAAGATGTGATGCTTGGAAGTATTAACGTTCCTGCTAAGACGCAACTCTACTTGGCATTGACTGCTGTTCATCATGAAAGAGAAATCTGGGGTGAAGATTGCCATAACTTCAATCCAATGAGATTTAGCGAGCCTCGGAAACATTTAGCTGCATTCTTTCCTTTCGGATTAGGCCCTCGAACCTGTGTTGGGCAAAATCTGGCAATCATTGAGGCAAAGATTGCTCTTTCTTTGGTCATTCGAAATTACAGTTTTGTGCTATCTCCAAACTATGTGCATGCTCCTGTATTTTTTATCACTTTGCAGCCTCAATACGGTGCACAAATCCGGTTCAGAAGGATTTCATACTGATGATTGTTACTTTCTTTTTCCTTTTCTGTTCGTCTGTGTTTTTTACCCCTGCATGTGAGAAACACTGTAGCTATAATATTTTACCTCTTTTGACTTGTAAACCTTTTCGTTTTTTATAGCTAATCTATTTGGCTAAACCAAAACTTGAGAAGTTACACTACTGTGCTTCACTATCTCATTTCTCTTGCATTCCATTTATTACGTTATCAATCACACTTGTTATTTCTTTTTCCTTTCTTCTCCGCATCCATTTCACACGTCATGTCATGATGGGGTGTGATAAAAACATTATTCTAAGGGGTGGACTTTAAATATAAACCCCTAACACCAAAGTAACTGTTTTTGAAGTAAGACTTGTCGATTTATTACTTTAAAGAAAAAAAATCTAATTTATTCCTTTGAATATGTAAAAAATTGAAATTGTTCCTTAATATTATGCTTTCAATACACAATATTTATTTAGACTAGATTATGCTTTAAATATTATGGTTTATCATGAATTCGAAGAGAAAATTTGTTAAAATATCTAATTCAATCTTATAAGATTAACATTTAAAATAGAATTATATTTACTTATATATTATTATATATAAACTTTATGAATATATTGTACTATACGTTACTGCATTGACATTTGTTTATATGGTATACATTTGAACCAACTTTCATGCGAACAAGTTTATTGCAATTATGAATACAATCAGAAACAAACAAATAACATAACGATAAAAAAATAGCTATGCCTTGGAAAAAAAATAAACTGAGGAAAAGTTTTGTCCTATTTTGTGGACTAACCACATATCACAACTGCTATAAACAATAGTATATATTCGAAGCCTTTTGTAGAGAAAACAACGAAGCAACAGAATGAAAAATAATAGAAATAAAACAATAGTATATATATATATATATATATATATATATATATATATATATATATATATATATATATATATATATATATATATATATATATATATATATATATATATATATATATATATATATATATATATATATATATATATATCTGTTGTCACCTTTAAAAGAGACGTATCCAAAAACTAATTTGAAAGAAAACAAGTTATTACACAACTATAATTACAATCTATAGCAATAACACAAAGTATTTTTTTTTCTTGTTTAAGTCACATTACTCTTAAGATTCATAATAAGTAATTATTATAAATAAATAAATAAAAAGCGTTTTTTAACCCTCTAATTTAAAAAAAATTCAATTTGAGTCTTCCAAAAAATTTGTCTTATTTATCTTTGTAATTTGGAAAAGCTCTAGTGTTAATCTTTACGAATCATTAGCGGAAAGATAGAAATCAAATTTAATTAATAAAATAACACAATTCTTATACTATTGATATATAATATACATAAACTTGGCCATGGTCTACAATATCACTGATTAAAGACCTTGTTTAAGGGAATTTAGCTCAATATTATTAGAATTACTACATATTCAATAAATAAGATATCAATTTGAGTGTTGCATATAATATAAGACTAAATTAATTAATAGTATATAATTTAAAAACCATTTTATTAATTTAAAAACTATTTTGATGAAGTGTTGCACCTACAAGTTGTAAGTGCAATCTTATGTAAGGTTTATAACAGGGTGACGTGTATGCTACGCGCGAGAGTTGAACTGAAATTTGCACCTTCATTAATTAACCTTTATTACTTTATCGTACTGTTTGACATTATTTAAAAAAAAAATGCTTCGATCCATTTCCATAATCTGAGGCAGTGAAAGTCAACGCCTTCGGTGGTGGTCCCCACCGCTTTTTATTTCATTTCTTTGTTCGTTAGTGCTCTCTCCGCGTGTTCATCTCATTCACTGCGTCACCATCGGCGCACTTTTTGCTATCTTGCGCCCTCCTTCTCACATCTCTCTTTTCATCGCCTGCACTCGATCTCATTTTATCCCCGTGAGCCCTCCCTTCGAAATGAATAATCTCTCCTCTCTCTCTTCCATCCTTTTCTCATCTTCAAAACTTATATTTTTTTCAATTTAGTATTTAAATGAAAGATAAATATGAAATAAATTTTAAAGATTTTAGTTTAATTTTAAAATTAAATTAAAATTTCGTATGTTTTAAAAGATCAAATTGGTAATTATGTAAAAAAAAAAGGTAAGGACGCTTATTCATTAACAATAATAATTTTCAGTTTTTTTAACTTTTAAAAATTAAATTTTTTTTTATTAATTGTCTTAAAATCTTCCATTTTTTAGTTTTTATTTTTAATTTTGATAAAAATTATTTTCTAATCAATATAAATTGTTTCACCATATGAACAAAATTAGTTTTTAAACATTAAATTGTGAAATAAATTTAGTTTAAAATTATTTCTAAAATAACCTTTAAAAAATAAAAATAAAATTAAATCAAGTGCTAACTTTTTTCTTGTCCTTCTTTTTACAACATTATTTAATTGTTAAAATGTATATAAATTTGTAGATAATTTTTATAGGAAATATATGTAAAATTATGTTATATATCACAAGTGAATTATTTTTTTTTAAGGAAAAAAAATTTTAACCTATCTTTTTATAACATAGAGAAAATGTTTTTATAATTTATTGAACAGTAAATAACATAACAGATATAAATTATTCAAAACCTCTTTAATTTTTTTTGACTTTTTATAATTTTAGAGAAGGCAAATTATAATAAAAAAATATGAATTAATTATAAATTTTTTAGTTTGAGTATATTATGCGTAAGGATAGTTAGTTCTTATTATTTTTAATAAATTTATTAGTTTTTTACTAATATTTTTAAATCAAAATACTTTTAAATAACTTATTATTTCTTTTTTAACTTCATAACAAAATTACTAATATAATTTAAAATTTTTCAAACTTCATAACAAAATTTTCTACTTGAGAACATATTATATTTTGAAACAAGTAGTATTTTTTATGGATAGAATGATCTAGGATCATGATTAAAAAAAATATTTAGTTTTGAGATGAGTGATGAACACGTGTTGGTTGGTAAGAAGAAGTGGGAGAGGAAGAAGAATGGATCGGGGAAGCATGGTATGATTCCCAGGAGCATAGAGGAGAGAATAATAAAAAGGGTGGATTTGGTGAGAATCTCAAAACTCCACCTTCACCTTTTCTCACACCACTCTCTCTCACTTCTTATCATTATTCTTTTCATTCCCATTTTCTCAACGCACACACCACCACTCTCACACACTCCCACACACACACACAAATAAATAAAGCGCAAGAGGGTAGTTACTCTTCTCTTCCTTCCACCATCTTTCAGCACCAAGCCATGGAGGGTCTTCCCCAAGGTTACCGTCCCAACGTTGGTGTCTGTCTCATCAACTCCGATGGCCAGGTTTCTCTCCCTCTTTCTTTCTTCATTATTTTTTTTTGCTTTTACCAAATATTAATGCACTCCGTTTCTTTGTTTTGGTGATCTCTACGGTGTCTGGAGATTAGTGCCATGAATTTCGTATATGGAGAAAACTTGTTTTCAGAAAAAAAAAAAAATCTTTTGTTTCTTATTTATTGGAGACGGTATGTGTTTCTGATCTTAAATTTTTGTGTTATGTTCAGGCGGAGTTGCTTTTATTTCTGCGGATTTAAATTGGCAGTAATCGAGTTAAATTTTTGCTTTTTTCTTGAAAAATATGCTTTTTTTTTTCTGATGTTAATTTGTGTCTTTTGATTCGGTGGTTAAGACTGATTTTTTCTTTTGTAGTTTAAAAGGTTGTCATATTTAATGTACCCACCATAAAGTAGGACTCAACTTGGATAAATATGTTAGAGAAACACTCCCTGGTTGATTTTCTCTTTTTTTTAAGAAAAAGAAATTAAGCAAAGTGTTTTCGTTTTCTAGATTTGAAATTTTTTTCCAAGGATGAACTGAGATCCTTTTCTCTGTTCTGTTTCATTCAAAGCCTTTCCTTGACTGATGAGCATTTTTAAATGAGCTAGCAAACTGGGATTTTAGATTCGATATTTTGTGGGTTTTTATTTTACTTTTTTGTGTTTGTATATATTTAGAGATTTTGCCTTGCTGTTAAGTAATTCATTCAGCTTTTATAATTCTATGATTTGTTCTGGGTTTATTATATTTTATGATTTTAGCTTGTTCAGTGAGTTGGAGACGATATGTTTTGAAAGTAAAAACTTTGGTTACTTTCCAACATAGTGCTGCAATTTTGTTACGTGATAGTTGTATGTGTGAAAAGGGGGAATCAATGTTTTCAATTTTGTTTTTCAGATTTTTGTGGCCTCTAGGTTGAATGTCCCAGGAGCATGGCAAATGCCTCAGGTGAGCTCACTTTATGTAACATATACAACACCTTGGCCTAACATTTTTTTTCCTTAACATGGATTCCAGAAATTTGAATAACTTAAAGAGGAAAGATCTTTGATGAAAAGGCATCATGTGGTTTTTATTTTCACATATTTACTTCTGGTCGTGCTGGCTTTTTAGTAGAAAAGTACTGTTGCAAGAACCATTACTGTTACCTTAGTGGTGGTGAGAGCTTGCTAATGCTTTTCATAAATATCATTGTCTCTCTACTGTTGATGATGACAACATAGCAATGTTTGCAATGCCAGAGACACTGTTGTGTCACATTCGCATATCTCTTGATCATAAGGAATCTTTCTATATGTGTTGCCATATTGCTTGCTTAAAAAAATAACCTTAAATTCATTTTCATTGCCACTCACCATCCATTTTCCACGATACAAAAAATTCCTTTTGTATCTAGGTTTATTTTGGTTATACAGTATACTGAACAATCTTGCTTCCAGAAAGAACTTGTACTGTTATTGAAATTATATAATTTTGGAGAATAAAAGAGAGAAAAAGAAGACTCTAAATAATTTTGTGAATTTTTTATATTGGGTTGATATGATGTCCTTAAACTTATTAATCCAATTTTTTTAAAAAGGACCTTTTTACTGCTTGTAACAAGTAATTTATTTCCTATCACTTTATGATATTAAATTTTTCAGACATAATTGACTGTCCTTTTTGGTTCTTAGGGGGGAATTGAAGAAGGTGAAGAGCCCAAATCTGCTGCCATTAGGGAACTTCGGGAAGAAACTGGCATAGTATCTGCTGAGATCATTGCTGAGGTTTGCGTAAAACCTTTTCTCATTTGGATTCAGTTTCTTCTGCAATCTGTTGATTATATATAACCTAAGCTTTATCCACAGATCAGTGATATCTTAAAACATTCAATTGAGTTTAATTTAGTTTTACCAGTGTGTACTAAAATAAACAAAATCAATGTCCGCGAAGCATGAAACAATTAAACTTAAACATCCATCAATTTGATAACTTGGTGGCTTTAATCTTTTCATACATTGACCTAGCTTGTGCATTACAGGTTCAGAAATGGTTGACATATGACTTCCCTCCTGCTGTGAAGGCTAAAGTCAATCGCCTTTGGGGGGGTGAATGGCATGGACAGGCGCAAAAGTGGTGTGTATTTTATTTTACTTTATTTCATGTGCTTGAACATTCCAGTTCAGTGCTAACCTCTGAAAAATTACCTTGTGCTGTATGTCTAAAACTTTGGTTGCATATCTGTATACTGAAAAATGTGACCACTCAACTGGGTCAAAGATGATTGAAATTAAGTCAATTTGGTCCATAGCACTTGTTAAGACATTTGGAATTGAATTTATGAATACATGAAATATTATGCAAGGAGAAACCCTCATACAACTTGTATGGGTACTAAAATATTAACCTGGCAGTATAGAAAGCATGGTGGGTGGATGGTTGGTCTGCTTGACTTTGTAAAACAAAATGTAAAAGACAGATAAATAATGTCAAATCTGAATTCAATGTATTAAAGTTTTAAACTCGATATTTTTCTTTCTTTTAGCTGAAACAAATGTAAGCAACCGGAAAAGAGAATAGTCTTCAACAAAAAACAATGAAGGCTGAGAAAAAAAGGCAAAATGAAAATCTTGAGTGAGTGAAGAGAGACCTGTAGTATTAGAGTCTGGATATTACATTGTGATCCTTTTTCTAGTAAAATTAGTTGGTTGTGTTTTGTGCATCTTTGATATAGAGTTTTAGGCTTAGTGCCCTTTCGGTCAATTGTGTACTTTAATGTAGATATTAGTAATAATCACCCCCTTTTCCCAATAGGTTTTTCCCTACTTAAGATGGATATCCTGTTTACTTGACATGCCAAGTTAGGTGAAAATATGAATAACTTACACATGGATAGTCTCCCAAACTTACTCCTTCTCAGCAGTGAGAATGAGAATTGTAATAATTATCCAGCTGTGTGATTGTACTGTTAGCATAGTCCGTACTTCTATTGGTTCTTCAGTTGAGTGTTTCTATGTGTATATTCCCCATCAAAACTATGCTTTTTCTGACATTGATTATGAACATTTGATAGGTTTCTTATGAGATTAACAAAAGATGACAGTGAGGTGAACTTGGCCAATGGGGAAGCAGAACCTGAATTTGCAGAGTGGAAATGGGCAGACCCTGAAGAAGTTATTGAGCAGGTTAGTTGGAAAATGAGACTTGAAATAGGTATAAATTTTCTTCATTTGAAAAACTAATTACTGATAACTGATTGCAGGCAGTCGACTACAAGAGACCAACCTACGAAGAGGTTATAAGAACCTTCAAGCCTTACTTTCAAGGGAGTGCAATATCAGGCAAATGTAAATCAACGAAGTGGTGAATGCTATGAGTGTGCATTGTAGTTCAATCCATTTTCTTATCTAATTTCACTGAGTTTGGATAACACTCAGCTATTTGTAAAGGGACGATAGTTAGAACTGTCCATTAGGTACTTGCCTTCTTGTAATAAGCTATGTGCAAATGCCTAATTTCTATTTTAAACCTTGCTACAAGGATGATTGTGAATGTGTATAGAAAGAACTGTTCAATAAAGTAGGAAGCATCGTGCGGCAGAATAGTGTTCGTGACTAAGTGCCTAGGTATCACGAATGGATTTTATGAGACAATGCCAAGTAGTTTCTACTTTCTTTGACAATTTTTTCCGGTGAAAATGTACATTTGGTTATGGCATAAGCTTTTTCTGGTTAGGTTAGTTTTGGTATTTAGATTGGTTTAGTGTTCTGGTTTAGGTGTAGGATAGTAGTTTTGGTAGCCAGGTTCAAATTTGGTTCCAGCATTCAAACATGTTTATACATATTTGGTTTAGCTTTCTTATATAGTGTCTATATTTTAGGTGTTGGTTAGGAGAGTTTTTCTGCTTTAATATCCATTTTTGGTGTTGTTCACTGTTATTTCTTCAGCCTTGGATTTGGGACATTCTCCTCTCCAAATCAACCAAACTTCTAAAAGGTCAATTAAGTAGTTCATTCATGAAGAAAACCTACTTTTTATGGTTAAACCAATTGTATCAAACTTTCAATGCTTAAAGGGGAGTCCTGCAAAATTTGAAAAGAGTGAAAACACGTCTCTTATTGGCTCCATATTCGGTATAAACTGCATATAGTTTCTACAGCGAGCTATCATGCAAATTATAGTAAAAATGTCGTTTTCCAAATTTGCAAATCAAGTAGTTAATGTTTGGATGTAAGGTCGTGTTGTCCTTACATTGTCTGACAAATACAAAGAGATCAGGAACAACGGTTAATAAAAAAATAAAATTTTAGGAATTAAAATTTTTGTTTGGTTCTTAGGATAAGAATAATAGAATTAAAGGATTTGTATATAATATTTTTATTCGATATAATCTAAACTTATTATTATATTTTTAGTTAATATAAAATTTCTTAACACCTTTTAAGGAGATTTTTTCTTCACATTTCTCACAAAAATAAGTAAATATATATTAATTTAATAATGGATAATTTATTCTATAATAATTAACAGATAATGTTATTAAAATTATTTTTATATTATCTTAAAAATAGTAAAATATGTAATTCGTTGATATATAAATTCTTATGGATTATTTATGTATTTTTATTTAATATTATCAGATGTTATTACATTTTTTAGTCTATTTTTTTTTCATCTTATCACTTCTTTTTAAATATTTTCATATTCATTTTTATTTTCATGTATTTTTGATTGATTCTTATTGAACAAATCCTATTATTAGATTATTCAAAACAAGAAAAATTATGTCTATAGTTTTATTTTTGGTTTTTATACTGATAGATCATAAATTGCAAATCCATTATCTGAGTTTATATCATCGTCCAGGTTCAATTCGTGACTAAAAAAACATCATTGATAAGAACTTATTTACGTTCGGACCGAACTATATTAGTTGGAGACAAAGTTTTCGAATTGAACACTAAGGGGACCAATGTCCATGAAAAAAAAAAAAAAAGTTTATGCTAGTTAACATTGTGGACCAAGAAAAAAATATATCACAATCAAGTTTAAAAACAAATAATGCCTTTCAAAAAGGAAAAAAAAAAAAACAAAATTTAAAAAATGGAACAAATAATAAATTTGGATCATCTAACTTTAACTAAACAAAAGTTACAATGACGTTAAAATAATTTGGACCATTAGATTATTAATATTAATGGGCTTTTTCACTAGTGTACTTGTTAGATCATAAACAGAAGTTTAACTGAGAAGAGAAAAAAGGACGAAAAGGAGAAGAAGGGAGGAGAATCAAACTTAAAGAAACTTTAAAAATTTAGTATTTAATTACATGAGAATGGTTAAGAATAAAACTTCCAACACATTCTTCTAAATATTTTCTTTAAAACTTTATAGTTAAAAAAAAATCGATTATTTTATCAATTTCACAATGGATATTAATATTTTGTATAAAAAATAAAAATGTTTTACTCTCATTTATTATGATATTATAATAGTTAAAATTTATTATTGTATTTAAATATTATTTATTTTAAAATTTTAATCTATACTAATTTTATCTTTAAATAATGTTTTGACCGTGGTTAAGAAATGAATAAGAGAAAAAATATATATAAACTTTTTTTATCAAGTAATTTAAGATTCTTTCCTCAACTTTAACAGATCCATTATTATTAATTAAAATTTATTAAAAACTATAAAAATACAAGTAAAGAGGATTGAATAAAATATAAATATAAAAACAATTATTTTTAATAAATTTAATCTAATAGAAAGATTATGTTAATAACATTTTTCTAATTTATATGTGAATATTATATTTTTTAAAATAAAGAACTTTTAAAAACTATTTATAATATATATTTATATATTTTATAGTTCGTTCGGTGCTGACAAACACTACAATGATATTCTTGCAGTTTCGTTTTAGTTTCTGAATTTCTTCTTCACTGGTCAGGTCCGACACTAGACGCGACGCCTCCGACAACACCGCAATGGTAATTTCTAGGTTTCGCATTCCTAATTATTTCACTTAGCTTAAACTTTGTTTCTTTGAACTTCTTCCTAAAGTCACTGATTCCTGCGTCTTTTCAGTGTATTTGTGGCAAGCAACTCGCAACTGTTCTGTTCTTTCAAGGCACCGTCCTCAATGGAATGAGGTGCGTTGCGTTATTTTCGCATTTTAATCTTTTGAAGGCTTATGTGACCGAAGTTGAGGCATGTGTCATTGTTGTTGCAGGTATTGTAATTTCCTACCTTGGAAAATGTGTTACCGGCTAAAGCATAAGTTCGCAGAGAAGAAGTTTGTGCGAGGTGTTGGAAGCGGTTCCAAGTTGCGGAATAAGGTAGGAATAATCCGATATGTATTGTTTCGTGAATGTTTGAAGTGATTTTATTAATGTCTTTTGTTCAGTTTCCAGTGATTATATTTTTGGGTAGAATGTGTTTTAGTTCCCTCTATCTTCGGTTAAAATTGGTCTTAGTTTCTGCTGTATGAAATGATGATTTTGGTTATTATGTTTTTTATAATTGGTGAATTTCGTCTCTCTTTACGAAACTTAGAATATTAGGTTGAGGGAGGAAATTCACCCATTACAAAAATTAAAATAAATACATAAATGCTGAGAACTAAAGCATAGTTTCTAAAAGGGTAGAGATTAAACCTATTTTGACCAAAGATTGAAGGACCTACAAAACATTTTATGCTTTCCTGTGATTGGTTGTTTATGCAAGTTCAATTTGGTGTTATCTGATTGATTGACATTGATGTGTCTCAAGAAGTCCACGTGCGTATTCTCTTCATCTTCCTCATTCTTGTATGAATCTAATGTAATCATTTATGGATTGTTTTTATCACTAATTTTAAGTTTGCTATGTCTGACTAGACAAGAAATGTTAATAATTTGATTATAAATGCTTATGGCTGCCATATGAATGTAGTATTGACTGAAATTCATTATAGTCTCAGGTAGTTGCACTTATGGATTACAACCTTTCTGACCTAATTGGGAACGGAACTGGTGAAATAAAATCTGAAACTAGTCCAAAAGATTCATTAGATGATGTGGACATCTCCTTGATATGTAAGAGGTTTCCATCAATTACGTTGGGTAGTGCTCCTCGAGTGGATTTGTATGATGGGACTACATCATGTTCTGATACAATGAACTCTTTAGCAACAGAAAATTTTGTACATTGTTTTTCTGATTCTTCAGAGGCAAGGTGGGTGCAAAGTGCTCTGTCTGAAGAATGGCCTTCTCTGTATGGCAAGCATTCTAGTGTAGCATCTTCTACATTAGGAAAAGATGATTCATATCGTTCTCCTATGCTGCCTGATTTAGTGCCTAAAATATCTGAAGAAAAATCAGATCAAATCACGGGGGAAGATTCTCAAATGAAAGTGGGGATGGACTCACAATCAAATCCTACACCCAGTGAGTTATTTCTTGACAATTCTATAAGTTGCATACCTGGATTAAGTAAGAGGCACTACCGGCAGCTGGATAACTGTGGGTTTCACACGGTGGGTTCCTGAAACTTGATTTTACAAAATGTGTAGTTATTTGGATTTTCAGTTTTGAAAGGATGGCTTGGATTAACATTAATCCCACTCTTGATGTGTAGTTACGGAAATTGCTACTCCACTTTCCACGATCATACGCTAATCTGCAGAATGGACATGCTAAAATTGATGATGGGCAATATTTGATTTTTGTTGGAAAAGTCTTATCTTCAAGGTGACTCTAATTCATTCATTGACCAGATTTATGATCATTTGTATCCTTTTCTCTTGGGCATCGGGTTCTCTGGGTTCTCTTGGTGCTTGATCTGGCACTTGAATTAGATATTGTTGTGGCTGATGTATGCTCACACATTTGTCGTTATTCAATTGTTTTAACGTCTTTTCATATGCTTATAATGTGTTTGGTTGAGAGGTGGAAAATGGAGGATGAGTTTAAAATGATTTTTGAATAAGATATATAGTACTTTTCATTCCATCTTCCTACATTCCACCTGCTTAAACAATGATTGTACTTAGCATATCTTCATAGGACCAAATTTTCTACAGTAACCATAAGTAACCGTTCATGAAAGTCTTGATTGTTATTTGAAAGCTAATAAAATATATAGTTTTATCACGTCTATCTAAAATGCATACTTATCACATACGCACCTGCATAAGCTGGTACGCACTTGCATAAGCTGGGGAACCCGTTAAATCGCCTCTTCTTGCTCTATTCCTGTTCTGCTTAAGTGGCTTCTACATCGTCATATAGTGAATTTAGTTAAACTGGTTTCCTAATAATAGTTTGCAACTTTTGAAATGTTCAAACTTTTAAACCATTATTTTCATTTCTTTTGTTGGAGATTGAACCTTTCAGGAGTCTGGTGTTAGGTCAACCTCCTTGACCAAGTGATCAAGATTTTGATCCTTTTAATCCTTGCTCTCAGTATTCTAAATAAATAAAAAAATGAATTTCAGCATATCGTAAAAATTGGTAGCTCATTGTCTATCTTCAAGCCTAAATGGCATTTGTGCGAGGGGGTGTGTAAAGGATGGCATAAAGCTGGTCATGTGCCTTAACCTAGCACCTTAAGCTTTTGAGGTAGGAAGGCAGTGGGGCTCATCATGACATCACTGAGTCTTTTGTCTGTTCCCATGCTTGTTATTGATTGTAAATTTACAGTTCAAAACTGATAGTGATTTATTATGTTTTAAGTTGATAAATTTTAGTCTTTCCTTTGCAGGGGAGTCAAAGCTAATTATTCATTTTCATTTCTTGAGGTGGTTGTGGGCTGCCAAATTGCTGAAAGTGAATGTGATTTTGAGCATGTGACTAGTGATGTGCAAGAGAAGACAATTTATTTGCATCTGAAGAAATTTTTTCGTGGCTCACGTTTCACCTTTAAAGCTTTTCTAACAAGCCTTGCAGAAAAGTATCAAGAGGGAGACATAGTATGCGTTAGTGGAAAGGTCAGTTTGTTCTCCCCTTCTTTCCCCTTTCAGCTTTCTTATTATATTTCCATTTTTCAATAAGGGTGTTGAAGAAGGTGATAATGGGTGGACTACGTGAAATAAGCATCTATATTATAAAATAAACTATAATTTTTGGTATGACCTAGTTGTATGTTAGACTGATGGATCATTTTTGGCCTAGTTGAAAAAAAAATCATAAAAATAATTTATCCAAAAAAGCTAATCTAAATTTTTTTTTGAAATATATATATATATATAAAATTAAGTTATATTAATAAAATTAATTTGATTTTAGATATAATGATTTGATGTATAAATTATAATGAGGAAGGATCCACTAATTCTAAGATTAAGATTTAGAGACTTATTTTTAATTTTCAACATTCATTTTTTTATTCTAATGGTCTAAAATAATAATTCATCTTAAGCATTAAATCATAAGAAAATGAATGGTGAGAATGAAAAGTAAATCTCTAACGTTTTACTCTTAGAGTGAATAGATCCTTTCTCAATTATAGTGTATATGTATGTATGTATATATATATATATATATATATATATATATATATATATATATATATATATTAATAAAATAATACAATCTTATAAAACTGGCCTATAAGTCTATGGGTTGACTTAACCTAAATCATTTAGGTCATAGATCAAATGGGTTAGGCTAAAATTGGCTGAGTTCAATTTAGACAACACTTTTTAACTTGCCTAATCCATTGAATGAAATCTATTTTGACACCCCTAATTCTCTATATGGGTGTTTTTTTTAATCATGTTTGGTTGTCTATCCCTAAATTAGAAAAATTGCCGAGACTCTTTGAAACTTTTCTATTTAGGATCTATTTGGCAGAACTTTTTAACAATTTGGATCAATTTTGTGACATAAATACTTGTGTAAATGTTAGGGAGAACTTAAGAAAATAGCTTATGATGTGACATAATATGTTTTTTTTAGCGTATTTTAATAAGTTTTCTTTGATTACAGAAACAAATTATACATAAGTGTTTAGATAGTAAGTACTTATCTAATATGTTCTTATGTAAGTTGTTTACCCAAAAGAATCCTTAATATTAGATTTTATCTTAAAACAAATTGTTTTTAAAAACAGTTTTTAGTTTTTTAAGTTTTAAAAACTGCAAAACTTATTTGATAATTTTTTTTTTGTGAAAACAGTTTTTAGAAGCAATTTGTTTCGTATTTTTTTTACAACTAAAAAAATGAAAACTAATAAAATGTGTTTTCTGTTTTTAATAAGTGTTAAGTAATTGTTAAGATTCTACCATAAAACCAATTGACAATATGTGGAGTAGCCTAATAGTAACTATGAAAGAAAATATAGTTTTTAGTCATAGAATAATGGGATAGTAAATGACATGGTGCATTATGATTTGCTATGGAAGACAAAGCGTTATGCTAGGCATTAGATTAAGCACTAAACTTTGAAGCATGATATACAGGAACAAATAACTTATATTCAAGATAAAATAAAATCCTTTAGAATAAGATAAGGCTCTATAAGATAAGATCCCTAAAAGTAAGGAAACACAATTTTCGCCAAGTAACATTCATTTTCTTAATATAATATGCATCATTCTCATCCTCTAAGATATTCAATTATATTCTAACACGACATATTTTTTAAATTTGTATTATATTAATATGACCGAGTATACTTTGCTTTTGTCTCACTTATTTTCATACTCGCAGGAAGATGAAACATTTTTTCCTTTACTTGTACAATATATATTAATATTCTGTTTTAATTTGATTTTGGAACTTTGTAAGACTGCACATGATTGTTGCTTGTTAACATAGGTCAGGATTATGGGTGCAACGGATCACTATGAGATGAGAGAATATAATATTGATGTACTTGAAGATGGAAAAGATTTGTCCATTTTTGCCAAAGAGAGGCCGTATCCTATCTATCCTTCAAAAGGGGGTTTGAACCCAAATTTTCTTAGGGACACTATTGCGAGGTTTGTGATTTTGATTATTAACTACTCAACATGATAAGGATGTCAGAATGGATCACCTAGTTACATGCTTAATTTTTAATTGTTCACAAATAGAAGTATTTCTACCAAGATTTTATTTTTAATGCTTCAATATGTAGCTTGAGTATGCTATGTTTTTCACTGTTGAAAGAGAGAAATATATGCAAGAAATATTGAAACCTTCTGTGAACTACACATCAGAGTTCATTTTATGTAGGCTGATTACAATAAATACAAATATTTATATGAGATTTTATTCCTACATACATGATATGCCATAATTACAGAGATCATTGTTAACTAAAGAAAAATAAACATAAAATATGATGAAGAATAGATCCTAAGAGATCATCTAGCATACTCTAAAATATTCTATGATATAAAGGTGATGTCATATTGGGTTTTCTATCAAAACAAAGGGGTCGCTGAAGTCTTGAAAGATGGAGGAAAATTTTGTGAGCATGAAATAGAGGGTAAGAGAAAGTCTTGTAGTATGGTGGGTCCAATGATGTGGTGGAAGCAGAAACAAATATAAAATCAGATGTTGGCATCAGAGGATTCAAACAAAGGATTGCTTCCTGTCACCAACAGAAATTAAAAAAAAAAAAATATGCTTCAGTGCAAAATATAGGAAAAGGGCATTTTAATGAGGGAGAAATGGAAAAAAATAGTTGGTGAAAATGCACTGGTTAATCAAGGCAGGCAAACCAAATTTCATCAAAGTCACTATGAGGAACAAATGTTGAGGGATGGATCATAATGAGGAACAGTCTTCCACAGATATGGTCATCCTTTGTACTGACCATCAGAAGATTCAGAACCGTCAGACTAAGCTCTTTGCAAGGAGGAGGACAATGAAGGGAGAGTGACCAATGAAGGATGAGTGAATAAATTTCTGAATTTTGAGTCAAACTCAATACACTACAGACTGTGAGTACCAAGGGGGAAGTTGTCATATTTAACTCATGATCTGCAATCATGTGCAGCAATAAAGTTCACGAGGAAGATAAGGGATCTTAACAATACTATATGATGATTCTCTGTTTCACGGCCAAAACCCCCTCAGAAAATGGAGCATTAAAGAAGAATGGAGGCATCCTGATCGAAACCCATTATCATATCCTATTAGTGAAACAAACTATGAATTACAAGAACATAGGATAATTATCCTATCATATCCAGGCTACAATATGGGTCCTAAAAGGATTATGAGGAGCATGTTGTCTGCTGTACATGTGCAGGCTGTCTAATGGGTTGGCTGATTTGTCCTACCTCTATTTAAAGACTTAGTCTTAGATAGACCTACTATAAAATTCATAACTTCAAATTTTGTTCCCTTGCAATTTGTGACCTTATAGACTCTCGTTATGTTGGCATCAGAGATCTTATTGCTGTACCGGAAAATTTTCCTTGTAGATTATGAGGGCACCTTTCTATCAAAATAATACCTTAAACCTTCCTTCATTTCATCTGCCCATCTTGAATCCTATAAATTACATCTCTCCTTTTATCCATTCCGCTGTATGGTAGATCAATATACTTGTACTATGTGACTTGTGTTTCGGCGGATCTCAAATTTTGACGTCCAAGTGATAGTGTGTGTCGCATAACATGCATTCTATACTTTCTGTTTTATTTATGCTCACATAACATGCATTCTATACACCCTGTTTTATGCTTGTACGGAAACTATGTTATCCAATGCTTCTCTCCATGTCTGGTACATCAGTGTGGCAACATGGCATGTGCATTTGTTTCTGTTTCTATTTTGAGTTCCAATTGTATCTAATAAGTTTGGGTTTTCACAATACTCTTATGTAAACAGGTAACAAAATTCCGTGTACTGATATGTTCAATATTTTATTCTTTTATCTTGTCCAGAGCTTTACAAGCGTTGCCTGTCAATGTTGATCCAATTCCTAAAGATATCGCCGAACAATTTGGACTACTAAATCTTCATGACGTAAGGATCTCTAGCTTTAAGAATTCCTTATTCTATTATGAAATTATTTGCCTACCTGCCATATGAAAGTCTAAGTATTTGGACCTACGTTGGCAGTATAGACTTTTTGTCTGATATATACATTTGTGCCTACTGCTTGCTGATGAAATGCAATAGTGTTATGGTTTTAGGGGAATTTAAATTTAGTGAGTATTTGAATTAGAAATAATTACAGAGAAAGAGGATAGAAAAATTAAGGAAAGAAGTACATGTACTCTTATAAATACTTGATTTTAAAGAAGGGCTAAAATCAGTCAGCAATGACTAAGCTAATGTATATATATTTATGAGAAAGGTGAGAACAGGCACTGAGAAAAAGAAAAGGTTTTAGCCTCTAATCCTAACCGTAAAGCTAGATACATCCAAAAACAGCTTTATCAAGCTGTACAACAAAAGAGAAAACAACTATTTTAAGATAAATAAAGTTGCAGTGGCCAGTTACGTGCTCTGTCTTTTAAATCTTTGATATATTTGTCTTTATTCTTTCAATATTTCTCTGTAGTACTTGCCTTCTCCCCTGGGTGCATTTCTCAAGGGGAAGTGTTCTACTTAATATTTTGGGCTACAAATTTGATTTTTGAAGCAAAAGTACACAAATAAATGAGAGGGAGGGGGGGGACTTGGTGGTGGTTGTGTGCATTTATGATGTCATGATTTTTTATAATTTAATTGTAAATTTAATATAATTCTTTTCTTGGGATTTCACTTAGTATTTAGGGCTTGGAATTAGATTATCCTTTCAAGTTGTAATTATAATGTTTGAAAATCTACTATGCTCAACCTAGGCTAGGACTACAGAATTAGGCAAGCTTTGCTGAACCTAGGAAGGGCTTCTACCTTCCACAATGCTCCTGATTAATGTTGTTTTTAATGCCTTGAATCTTTTATATTTATCTGTTTAAACTGCACTTGTGAATCTAAGCTAAAGTTCTCTAATAACTATTTAAACTGTTTACTAGTTTTTGTGGTTTATGCTGTGTTGTGGTGTATTTGGTGGATGACATCAAGGAGTGCCCATATGGATGGTCTCTTTCTCTAAGAAATAAAATACTCTTTCATTCCTATTTTTCTGAAACTTTATTCCACCTATTTCCGCATATTTTCACTGATTTAAAAATTTTAAATGATAACTATATAGGCATATTTTGGAATCCACAAACCGAAGGACATAATTGAAGCTGATTTGGCACGCAAGAGACTTATATTTGATGATTTTTTTTACCTGCAGGTGAGGTTATTTTTTATCTCAGATTTTATTTGTAGTATCATCTATTGACAATTCTAAAAATTTTCCATTATGAGAAATACTAGCAATACATTCTCTAACACTCTTTTAAACACTGTTACAAAATACTCTGTGGAATCTAGTAGAAGAATCTATGCAGATTCATTGAATCTTTTTAGTGCAATGAATATTCAGATTCATTGGATCCTTTTTTAGAACAACAAATCTGAATTAATCAATTCAGATACATTCAGTATTAGGTGCATTAATTTCTTTTATTCTCCTGATTTTTAGGAAATTTTCTTTTTTTGTTTATTTCCATATTTGTAGCAGAATCAATATTTAATTTCTGCATAAATACCTATGTACTATGCTTCTGAATTATTGAGAAGAACAAAAATTGTTTCTCTAATTCCATATGGTATCAGTATATGGCTCCGACCTCTTTCAACCATGTTGAAGATGACAATGACTAGTGCTTCCACAAACACATCCAGAACCTCAAAAGAGGTTTGAAGGAATGTTCAGACAGCGTTTTCCATTAAGATAGTCATGCTTTCCAAACCCCACTTGAGGAGATTCAAGAGCTCTCATCTACTTCTGAGGCAAACCTGTTAACGGAACTACTAGAGCACATGTAACCTATTGTCCATTAGTAATTGACTCGGGACATGGATTGTTGTGTTACCTTTTACTCCTCTAGTTGTAAATTACAAATATTTACATTGGGGAGGATCATTGGCAATTCTAAGGAAGTTGATGGTCTTTACATCTTTGAAGATGGATCTACCTTGAGTCGAGAAACTCAAAGTATTTGTTTCAATTCATTTCTATTCCTTGAGTGGACATGCTTTAGCAGTCTCATTTTTATTAAAAATACCTTGAGCAGACAAACTCAAAAGTATTTGTTTTAATTCCATTTCTTGTTCACAGGACAGTGAAAAATGACATGACATTATAGATTAGGTCATCCTAACTTGAGTTATTTACAACGTTCCCTGATTTTTTTCAAAAATAAAAATCCATGTTTATTTACTTATGACACTTGTCAATTTGCTAAACACCATTGCACGGTTTATCCAGCTCAAGGATACAAATTGTCTAGTCCTTTTACCATTATTCATAGTGATGTTTGTGGACCAAATTGTCTAGTCCTTTCACTATTATTCAGTGATGTTTATGGACCAAGTTGTATTACTACCCCTACTAGAAAAAGATGGTTTGTTGCCCTTTATTGTTGATGACCATACTAAGTTAACTTGGGTGTAATTAATGAAAGAGAAATCTAAAGTTGAAAGCATTTTTAAAACCATTTTTAGAATGGTTCAAACACAATTTCATCGAACAATTCATATTTTTAGAAGTTACAATGGGAGAGAATGCTTCAACTAACATCTCAATAATTTTTTTGCTCAAAAGGGCATTATTCATTGAAGTTCATGAATTTTTTTTGCTTAAAAGGGCATTATTCATTGAAGTTCATGAATATTTTTTTGCTTAAAAGGGGCATTATTCATCGAAGTTCATGTGTTGATACCCTAATAGAATGGCCTTGCTTAAAGGAAAAATAAACATTTGTTAGAATTAGCTAGAGTCTTACCTTTTTAGACCATGGTCCATACATACCTTTGGGGTGAAACCATAGTAACAACTTATTTGATTTTTTTTTTTTAATAAAAATGAGTGCTAAGGCATCACGATATTGTTTATCATCCCAACTATGTTGGTACCACAAACAACATCAATCATAAATAGCATCTCTGAATATCATAAAAAGGAAGACATTACAGAACTAGTGGGGGACCAAACATGATCCACTAACCCCTGATCATATAAAAAGGTAAATCAAATCCTGAAAAACTTACTAAAAATGAAGCTAAGAACATTATCCGACCAAGTACAACCTTGAGATCTAGTGCCAAACACAGCAAGTTTATTACCACATTGTTACCCTTTCTAAAAGTATGTGAAAAAGGACCCATGTAATATTATTATTTACAAAACAATTCCATCATCTACTACGAAGATTCCAAGGAACAATAGAAAAACTTATTTGATTAATAGAATGCCTATTAAAGTCTTAAATTTTAATACCTTAAGTATGTTTTTAAAACATTTTCCAACAAAAAAGCTATCATCTAACTTAGCCCTAAAAATTTTTTGGGAGCACAACCTGTGTGCATGTGTTTGAAGGCTCTTGAAAAGAATCGGATATGGCATCTAGTGGAGCTGCCAATAGGGAAGAGTATAGTGGGATTCAATTGGATATTCATTATAAATTACAAATCTAATGGATTTATTGAAACATAAAAGGCTTGGTTGGTTGCCAAAAGCTTCACTCAAGGGCTTGGTCTGTGTATCTCTTGCTCTACTAATTTGGACTGGCCACTGCAACATTTGGATGTGAAAAAATGCATTCCTCAATGAAGATTTGGAGGAGGAAGTGTACATGGAGGGACCCTGGGGATTTGAGCAGAAGTTTGATTCAAAGGTTTGCAAGCTAAAGAAGTATCTATGTGGGCTAAAATACTCACCATGAGCATGGTTTGATAGATTTACACACTTTGTAAAGGGACAAATGTATACACAAGATCAGCCTGACCATACTATGTTTGTAAATAGAAAAATTGCAATTTTGATTGCATGTGTGGATTAGGAGATGACTTAACAAAACAAAAATGAACAGGTTCTAAGAGGCTCTTGCTGCAGAATTTTAGATAAAAGATCCGGGACCCCTATGATACTTCTTGCGAAAGGAAATAACATGCTCTAAAATAGGGATTAATCCTTTCTTAAAGTAAGTACATTCTTGATCTTCTCAAAGAAACAGCAGCTACTGCTAGTGATCCAAATCATAAATTTGGGGAAAACAAAGAGAGAACACATTCGAGCACTTCCAAATATCAAAGTTAGGTAGGAAAATTTGGGGAAGACATTGCTTTTGCAGTCAGCCTAGTAACCTAACTAATGAATTAATCCTGTCAGAAACATTAAAAAGAATACATAACAAACTATAGAGGCTTACACTGGAACTGATTGGGCAGGATCAGTTATGGATAGGAGACCTACATCAGGGTATTGTACATTTGTTTGGGGAAACATTTTTACAAGGTGTAGTAAACAGCAAAATGTTGTGGTAAGTAGTAGTGCTGAAGCCAAATATGAAGGATAGAAGAAAGAAATACATTAAGCACATGCTGTGCATTATACATATATATTTTGGTTATTGTAGCTCAGCCAGTTTGTTTCTTTAATGGCTTTTAGATTCAGAACTGAAAATTTGATATATATTTAGATGAAGTTGAGATCTTTTCCTTTCAGTCTATGTTTATTTGTATATGTTCAGGATTTCTCAAATGCTTTTGAATTATACTTCATGCAATTTGAATGCTGGGTGTGTGCATTATTCAGTAATTGTTTGACCTTATCACAAGTGGTTTATTGCATGCTATCATGTTTTGTTATAATACTTTATTGCTCTTTTAAATGCTTCAACCATCTTCTAACTACATCTCTACCGTCCATTTGTCAGTTAGGACGCCTATTTCAAATGCTGGAAAGTCTTGGTACACAAATAGAAAAAGATGGATTGCTAGATAAGTGCAGAAGACCAGAAAATAATGCTGTATGCACTGAAGAATGGTCCTCTCTTACCAAGAGGGTTTTGGAGGTCCTTCCATATACTCTTACTACTGGTCAACAACATGCTGTTTCAGAAATTATTTGGGATCTAAAAAGGCCAGTTCCAATGAATCGGCTTCTTCAGGTTTGGATTTGTCTTGTCTTGGTGTTGCTTTATTGTCATATATTCATACAGCACAGTATTCACCTAACTTCTAATTGCTTCTTGCTTCATGTCCTTCCTACCAATAAAAAAGCAAACAGTAGAAATCATGTATTACAAAACAAGCTCCTCAAGCATTCAATTGTCAGCTCAATTTAACATCTTCATCTGCTTTGAAAATCGGGAAACATTGGTAGCCCTCAAATCAGAACTCAAATCTTTGAAAATAGCTGATAAGAGATGTTCATTGTTAAAAGTTCCTCCTAAGATTTGATAAATGTTGGATATATTTTCTCAAAAACAAATTTGGATATTCTTCTTTCTTTTCTTTGAACCTTAAAACGTTCATTCATACAAAAATTCAGTAATGTCTCTTGCTTTCTCTTCCTTTTGACACTACCATTAAGTTCACCATACCAGGACATAAAGGGAGAGTACTTTGGGTTTTTCTAGAATGGAAAGGTTGTATTTCTATTTTGTACTAATGTATTGTCTTTTTATTTTCATTTTGGCTCTTCAGTTAAACTTAACAAATACTCACAGGAGAAGAAAATCAGATCAATTATTAAGATAAAATGAATATGGATCAAACTTTTCTTTAAGTTAAATGAACTTAATCTTCTCAAGAAGTTCCCTCATTAAACTTATCCATGGGTTAAAATCCATTTATTCATAATTTGATTTTAATTTAAGAGAAAAGATTGATTTATTGTACCTTATTCATTTTACTTTTTTCTGCTATAAGTGTTTATTGAGAAGTTTATTTAAATGGGTCCTTTATATTGTTGCTTTGGGGACATCCTGTACTGCCATTTTTTTTTTTCATGATTTGTCATGTAAATTGAATGACAAGGAAGCCTGATTTGAGCTCTTTATGCAAACTTCTTTATTTGTTTCTTAAATCAATTTACACTCTAGAATGTGTATTCTAAATAGTAATAGCTCATTTTCTTGTAAATTTTACTATATTTGTGGTTTGTTCTCTCCAATGTTTATTTTTCACTAAAGGAGTAATATAATGTCTAAAGTGAAGCACTTTATATGGACGTGCTGCAGTCAATAAACCAGCAGTATAACATGTTATCATCTGATCTTCTTTTGACACGTTTAGGGCGATGTTGGATGTGGAAAAACTGTTGTAGCTTTTCTTGCATGCATGGAGGTTATTGGCTCTGGTTATCAGGTTGGTCTGCCAACTATACTTTGCTTCCTTTGTGTTTCTTTATTACCTTGATTTCTCATTAGATTCTTAGCATATGGTAACTGTGATTTCAGGGTTTGTTTGTTATCATTAGGGGTTTTATGCATTACAACTTTTTTTTTAATATTTAATTTATTTTAGAAAAATTATGAACATTTTCCACTGGGAATTGTCCACTTAACATCCACTCAGACAGTTAATCACTTTTGAAACAATTAATTATTATACACTGCAATAATTTTAGATACTATTAACCATTCGTGCGGTACATTTTTAACCATTAATGCCGCAAGTACTAATTGATAGTTGTGTATCGTCAACTTCTGAAGCAACACTAAAAACTATTAGATATTTCAATAACCTCATTACATTATTAACCACTTATGAGGCATATTTAACCATTAGTGCCACAAGTACACAACGATGATTGTATTCTGTTTTTTTTTTTTTTTGTAAACGGAAATATATCTTATTTATTGGAACAAAATTTTCGATAATCAATAGTATTGATTATTTTGAGACTATAATAAAGTCACAGCTGTATATCTAGGACACGCTGCATCCACTAATCTGACCTTCTCTCACTATATACAATCACATTCATTTCTTCTTAATGACATGAGACTAAGTAACCATACTAACGCATGTGTGAACGGGTGGGTACTGCTTGAAGAATTCCCAAGGTAATGAATATCATTACTATATATATTAATATTAGGCCTTCTTGTCTGGTGATAGGCTGCTTTCATGGTTCCAACTGAGTTGCTTGCAATCCAGCATTATGAACATTTGCTTAAATTGCTCGAAAACTTGGAAAACTTGGATGACAGCGTATGCAAGCCAACTGTTGCTCTACTCACTGGTTCAACCCCACTAAAACAATCACGGATGATTCGTAAGGTATGCTTTATTAAAAAGTATGTAATGTTCACATGATGTGAATCCAGGTATTCTTTTGTTGAACCTGCATGGTATTTTTTTAATCTTACCTGTTACTATGTTGAAGGGTATCCAAACTGGAGAAATCTCAATGGTCATAGGAACCCACAGTTTGATAGCAGAAAGTGTGGAATTTTTAGCCTTACGTATTGCTGTGGTGGATGAACAGCATCGCTTTGGTGTGATTCAAAGAGGAAGATTTAACAGTAAGGTGGTTCACAGCTTTTTCTTCAGGATTTAAATATGGTTACATTTGCATGCACAAATGCCCATATTGTGCATGTTACTAGATGTGATCTTTTGGATCAATTTTGCCATTGAGCTGTATCAAAATCATGATCTGAATGAAACAATTTTTTAGATAGAAAGAGATGCAATACATGTTTGAAGATTTTAGTATATGTTCCTTAAATGATTAGTAGATATAATATATTGAGTTAGTAGCTTCCTTTCAGATGGTTGATTCATGGTAAATATTTACCATGATCTAAAATAACTAAATTATGTAGTCAATTAAACAAGATAAATTACTTAAATTTTAGTTCTTCGGAATCACTCTAAAAAAGCTTATTAATGATCACATGTAAGGCTTCACTAGAGTTTTTCCTTTGTGTAGATTGGAGAAGTGTTGGTAACTATGAACATTCATGCAATGTTTACGGGGAATTGTCTTCCTTGCTACTGCAAATTGCATCTTGCATATGGCTTATATATTTTATTCCTGAAATAATGTCTTCTTTTTTTTAATGATGTTATTGTTGTGGTCTCGAAACTTTCTCTTTTAGTTATACTATGCATCTTCAAATTCAAACATGGAAGAGGCCATCACAGATGATTCCTCAAAAAGTGATGCTTATATGGCTCCACATGTTCTTGCAATGTCTGCTACTCCCATTCCAAGAACACTTGCACTTGCTTTATATGGTGACATGTCTATGACACAGGTGCTTAATTTTTCCTGTTCAGGATTTTGATGCTAGATATCTTTTAACTCCCTCCAGATGTGTTCTTAGAAGCCTTAAAATTTGCATTTGATCTTATACGTTGACTGGTTTCTCTTTTATTTGTTTTTACCAATTTTCACACATAATGTGTAAAATCATTTTCTGTTGCAAATGCTTTTTTCGAACACAGATAACTGACTTACCTCCTGGAAGAATTCCTGTTCAAACATTTACCATTGAAGGAAATGACAAAGGATTTGAGGATGTCTACAAGGTAACAGTTCTTCTGAAATTGTAGTTTTTGTCTTTATCATTCTTTTTTCTGCACTCTATGACCTTTCTTCCTTTTCCTTAAAAGTAATTGATCATTTCACAATGTACTTGATGAAATTATCTAGATAATGGCTTTAATTAGGTTTGCTGAAAATGTTTGTTGAGACCACACATACAATGCTTTATTTATAATCAGTAATGGTATAGTTAAGGAAACAAATAATGGATGTGTAGAGAAATAGTCTCGTATTTATGCAGATCAAGTCTGCCACAAATTAGGAAAATAAATCACACGTTACCTGGTCTGATTCAGATTTATTCCCCTTTACTTGATCGTACAAATTTGGACATTTGTAACCTACTTCAGCCATTTCTCCATAATTTATTTTGAATCATAAAATCCTAATATTCATAATTAATTCACACTCCTCTTGAAGAATCATACCCTACTTGGTGACTTGATTTTCAAACGGCTATCTCAGTAGACCCTTTGTTAAATGTCAGCAATTTGCTGATTGGTTGGGACAGAAGGAGTGCATATTACTCCATCTTGAAGCTTCTCCTTGATGAAGTGCTTTCAATCTCAACATGCTTTATTTGGTGATGTAGGACTGGATAATGAGAAATATTTATGATAGCCTTGTTATCAGAAAACAACCGCATAGGGACAGCTATTGGTTTTTCAAGCTCCTCTAGAACACGATTCAGCAATGAGACCTCACATAGCCATTGATCAAACTAGCTTCAACACTACCCCTAGCAATATAACATGAACACTTCCCTATTTACATATGTTGAGTATTTATTATATTAGTTGTATCTGACTATTGACCTAGTTCCTAGAATGTATCTATTTATCTTCTCTAGGTTTAATCAATTCCCCCTATCTATTGTATCTCAGAATTTGTATCTTTATCTCCAATGAATAGGAGAACACAAGAGAAAAGTTTCACGCTCTCAAAAACATCTTTTATTTTCCTATTATCTATTTCAAGTACATAAAGATAAAATCATATCTTTGACAGGGTTCAACATGCCCCTCTATGATGTGGAGTAACATCTACCTCTAAGAAAAGATAAAACAAACATTTATATTTCATAATCAGTTTTTTTGTTGGATATCTTTGAACCTGTTGAAGTCAATGAACATATTTTTGCTGTCATGTTCCTAAGCATAACAACAATGTTAGTAAACAGAAGAAATACATTTTATTTATGTTTAGGGTTTAGGGTTTAGAATGTTCGTAAATAAAAGAAATACATTTTATTTGTTAGAACTATTTTTATGAAAAAGAGTAAAGCTAATGGAAAATATAGCATACATCAAGCTTTATTTTGGCCGTATTAATCTCTTTTGAAGCACAGTATGAACCAATAGTTATGACTAAATAGTAAATTATGCATTGTATTGAGAAATATCTTGTTCTATCAATTGATTACCTCAGCTTCAGATGTATTCTATGTCGTTTATTTTGTTAAAAAAATTCTTATTTGAATGTAAATATGTTTTTGTAATACAGATGATGTTGGATGAGTTGGAAGATGGAGGAAAAGTTTTTCTTGTCTACCCAATTATTGAACTTTCTGAGCAGTTACCTCAGCTTCGTGCTGCCTCTGCAGATTTTGAAGTTATATCACACCGATTTCAAGGATATAATTGTGGCTTATTACATGGAAAAATGAAAAGTGAAGAAAAAGAAGAAACGTTAAGAAAGTTTAGAAATGGAGAAATTCATATATTACTTGCCACTCAAGTAATTGAGATTGGTGTTGATGTTCCAGATGCATCTATGATGGTTGTGTTGAACTCTGAGAGGTTTGGAATTGCCCAACTACACCAACTTAGAGGACGAGTTGGACGTGGTATAAGGCAATCAAAATGTATACTAGTAACATCAACTGCCAGTAGCCTAAATCGTTTGAAGGTATTAGAACAATCATCAGATGGATTTTATCTTGCTAATATGGACCTTCTATTAAGGGGACCTGGTGACTTGCTTGGAAAGAAACAATCTGGACATCTTCCTGAGTTTCCTATTGCAAGATTGGAAGTTGATGGAAACATTTTACAAGACGCTCATGTTGCCGCACTGGTAATTGTTGTTGAATAACACCCTCTAATACTTAAGAGTTATTCTTGAACTATTTATTAATTGTTTATGTGGTGATTTGTTACTTCAATGTTATGGCCATCCAGATAGTAAATTAGTAATTGGCTAAAGTGCGTATTTGATCCAGCTCTTTTGAAGAAATAATCACTTATTGCTGATCTAAAAATATCACTGGAAGTTTTTCTTAACTACCACTTGAATGTTGGTGAAGTAATCACCTATTGATTCTTGATCAGTCTAGGACACTGTTAGCCTCCTTTAGATATGAGTCCTGTAGATATTAGGTTCAAAAGGTTGATATTAGGATCAATTAAATTGATTTTATATCTATGCTATGAGCCTAAATAGGGAAATTGAATTTTTCATAATTATGATTTTCCCTATAAATTGAATAGGTCTGTTGTGCTCTAAATACAGAATGAGTTTGTGTCTTCTCAACATGGTATCAAGAGTCTAACAATATATATATATATATATATATATATATATAGAGAGAGAGAGAGAGAGAGAGAGAATGAGAGAAAAACTTATTTTTTCTACTTTTTTTTAAGTTCTTGTGGAAAAATTTATATACCAAGTCAATAAATTTTTGGTGTTCTTATGGTATTTGTTTTTAAGCGTTTAGCTTCTTCTATGTTGATGTGGGTTCTAATTCTAATTTCCAAGTCCCACTGCGTATTATAAGAAGGTTTACCTGATGAACTAGTTTATGCTTTATATTTATTGGATCTATTGATAGTGGTATGCTGTTTCTTTTAACTATAACAAAATAATAATTTCCATTTGTCCAAAACTGACTGATTGCAGAAAGTATTAAGTGTCTCCCATGATTTGGAGCAATTTCCTGCACTAAAACTGGAGCTTAACATAAGACATCCACTTTGCCTACTAGGTGACTGAATCTTCATGCGGTATGATATTCAGCTGTTAAGGTGCTCATTGGATTATTTTGTCAATGTAATTAATTTCATGGGCTCTTATTGGTCGTGTAATCATGATTTTGCTTTGGCCATATTGTCCTAGTCACATAAGGAATCAAATCAACCTCTTTCTATTCCAGAAAGAGTAATGCGGAATGTAATTATCATGATGAAAGGAGCTGAGTTGTTTCTTTCCAGAACGAAGGTGAGGTTGGGGGGACGGGAAGTAGCGACCTTAAGCTTTTAGGTTTGTGTACTTATCTTAAAAGCCCCTTCTTGTCTATATATGTAGCAATCAATGTAATATTAAGATGAATAAAAAAAAAAAAAAGAGTTTAAAAAAAAAAATTAGAAAGCTCACTCCTATTTCTTTATACCTGACTCTATCTTTCTTGTCATTTCATTCATTGTTTTTCAACATTTTACAATTGCAATCTTATTCAGGATCCATGTAGTCAAGATGAGTGTATTGACTTCTCTGCAAAAGTTTTAAAGATATAATTTTTTATGTAACTTCTAATGGTATAAATCAATCTCTTTCTCTTTATATCCATGACACAGCTCAATGTTAGAGTTTTATTTTCATAATTATTTGATGTAGTTACTGAAAAACAAAATTGATTATACAAATGTTAAATAATTTTATAAGAAAGTTAAAATGACATTTTAACAAAATTGTATTTAAGTTCTTAAGTTGTACTATTTCAAAGAATTTTTTACTTAATTTTATATAATGAGATTAGCTAACATTTGTCAACCTGGTTTTTTGGTTGGACCTAATTAGCAAAGCTACATCAGAGATATATTTTAAAATAACTCCTAATTAAAACTTACTAACTTCAACTAAAAAGAAATATGTTAATAAACCGAGTAAAATATACGGGAAGTTTGCTACCATGTCCCAAAATATAATTTATTTTGGAAACAAAAAACAGGACATTCCTCGTTAGTTTCACCAACCCAAGCTAGGATAGAGATAAATTTATATTTTCCAATCCCGTATAAATCAATATTTTTTTAGTTAGTTCTTTAATATTAATAAATAATATAATAATAATAATAATAGAAAATAATTTATAATTTTTTTAAAATGAATTCTTATATATTTTATTAAAATATAATTCTTTAAAAAAAATATATAACTATAAAAACTAAAAATTACTTTTAAATTTTTAATTTAATTTATTCAAAATTTAAAACGAAATTTATATCACCTTTCGCTTACAAGAGTTGGGATCGAAAGAGCTGACTTGCCTACAATCCCATTGTCCATGTCATGGCTAAAACCGAAATAAAAAATATATGTGGATAAAATTGCTCAACCAAAATAAAAACACCGAAAACCAATAGTAAAAAACAAATCCGAGTATGTTGTGTATTTCCCGTTGAACAACTACCTCCATATCCAATATGCAAAATGAACATTCGTTAACACTGTAAGCTCAGAAGAAAATTAACTTAAACTGAGCTTCAAGGAGAAACAATTGCGATTATATACAACAACAACCAGGTCTCTCTAACATTGCATGGCTTCAGGCAGGTTCAGCACACAAAATATGTCGTAAGTTGTAACCACCTTGATCTCTCCACATGAATAGAATTTGTTAGAGAATGGAGCATAAAGTTGTGTAGAAGTCCAGGGAATTAAGCAGTAATATTCTTATTATCTCTATCGTTGTGCTGCTAATGATCTTCAAACAAATCCTCTGGGGGGTCGTAGATGATCATATCTGGGAAAATTTCTAAGAAGTCATCTTTTACTTTCTCTCTTAATTCTGGATAAGGAATGAGCCCTTTTAGTATCACACGAAAAGGCAATGAAAGAGGAGGCTCAGGAGACTGTCTCATTTCTTCATATATCTCCATTGCCTCTGAGGGCAACCCGTTATCCAGAAAAGCTCTGATAATATCTCCAAACGTATGCTGATCAAACAAAACTTGTTCCTCTTTCAAATCATTCCAAACCCTCTTAGCTTCTTCCACCCTTTTGTTTCGTGCAAGCATCATCAGCATGTCCCTATAAAAAAACATGTCTGGCCTGTACCATATTTCTTTCCGGACTATTTCATACAGCTGAGAAAGGAATGAAGGATCTGTCATTAAATGGTCACTGAACATCTATATAAACATCAAGTTGGTTTACTTTTTGCAGTCTTTTTTATTGGTTTTACTTTTTTGGAGTTCAATTTATATGTTCACCACACATTATGATTAAACAGGTAATTTTCAGTCATGAAGTACAGTAACATGAGGGCATGAAACAAAGCAATTCAAGAGAAGTGGTTAAATTAATGCATCCCGGTGCTGAAGGCTCTTCACTGTGATCATAAGGCACAATTTTACGAGGGGTGAATGTATTGCTCAAAAGAATTTTTTATTTTTTTTCAGAATATGGCCCAAAAATATCTACGAAAAATATTAGTTGGACAGTTGATCTTCATAATTTCAACCATGATTGCTTAAGTGTTTACATCTGCTGCAGTTTGCCTTGTCATACTTAGGCAAACCCATGTATACTTCATAGACTGAGCTAGTAAAACTATATGCTTCAAAAACATATTCAAAAGATCACATTATGGTGTCTAAACAAAAATTAATAGTATCAATATAAAAAGTATTTAACATTCCAATTTCATAACAAAATACAAGTAATACTATTACCAACCAAGAATTAAAAAGAAAAATAAAGTAAATATTTTTATTGAATAGGGCGAACAGATTTCTTCTTTCTCAAAGAGTCACTGCTTAATAGACATCGCACACATAACTTTCTTGATCCAACTGTTAATACATAAAATGATGATTAAAACGTAACTTAACTTCATAAACCTAATATATAACTGTTGAAAATCCATATTTGCTGAACTCCATATGACCTAATGACTTGAGCAATCCTCCTTCTTTGATCTAACTTTTAGGAATGAATTAGACTCAACTCATTCTCCGTTTTAATATAAGAGTCTATCCCAGTCTTGACTATGGATCACTCACAGGTGCCTAGTTTTACCGACTCTAACACTCTAGATATCCATTCTTAGGCATGAGGAGGGTGTGCTAAGATTCTACATCAGCTCAGTACGTATATGGTTAAGACCCCGTCAGTTCATTCTCCATTCAGAAGTAAAACTGAGATAGTTTGACCCATGTATCTAACATGAACTAAGACTGTACTTTTTGTGGAACAACCATGTAGAAACTAGGCTCACAAACCAACGAATTGAGAGTTTATCAAATTTGACAAAGTTCACCAAAAACACAGTTTAAACATGATTCAACTTGTGTTTGTATGATAGAATCATAATGTGTAAATGTGTAAGAGTTAACTCAAGAGGCTGACAACCATAGTTTCTCATTAGTTCCCTCTATTGCTCTCTTACATCTTCCTATCCCTAGAATTGTGTCAGGTGTGTTCAAACCAGATAAAGCAGGCACATTGCACATACATGTAAAATTGCAATTTTTTAAAAATTCTACAAAAACCTCTAGTTTATTTCAAAAAACTTACGTTGTCACCCCTTTCAACATTAAACATTACACTGTTCATAAAATATATCAATTTAATGGGGAAAAAGTAAGGAATACAAGAGTAATTTAAGAAAATATCGCATTGCAATTTACTCTTCAAAATTAATATTCAAGGCTCTTTTTAGTCAGTAAAATAAATACTCAAGGTACTAAAATAACTTAGCTTATTTTAATTTTTCTCGATTCTAGGAATAACGCGACAGGATATAGAGTTTCAGAAACTAAAACGGTGGTTTCCTCTTCGATATGTGGAAAGAATAAAAACAAGAGAAAGATTGAGATCGAAAAACGGAACCTTGATGCAGAGGAAGATTTGGTTCTGTCTCTGGAACTCGGCGAGGACGGCCACAAGGTCGGACTTGAGCAGGCGGGAGACGCTGGACCGGATGAACCGGTCGAGCCGGACCGGGTCGGACCGGAGCCTCTTGAGCTCTTTGGCCACCAGCAGCCCTTCTTTGCCAATCTCCTTCTTCCGCCGCCATATCGAAAGGCTTGGGCTCGAGGCCCCACCCGAAACCCACCGGCCATAATTACGGGTGCCCGCTCGCACCACTGCAACACGCAGCAGCGCCATTAACAACAAACACTGAAAGAATCTGAAAGGAAAGAGACTAGTGATGCTATTGCACCGCCACGGCAAATCAAAAGCATTTTTTTATTAGGCTTAATTATGTTTTTTTTTCTGATTAGAGAAAATAAAGTTGATTCTAATTTCTCAAATATTTATAAACAAAATCAACCTCTACTTACTCGATTTAAGGTTCTAAATTTTTATTTTTCTTAACAGTTTCCAGTAGAGTAGTTTTAAATATGAAGAATCAAAATATTTTTTTTAAATTTGAAGAATTAATATAAGAATTTTATAAACTACAAATTTAATTAAAATGTGTGTTATTTAAAATTAAAAAAAATATAATTTTTTATATTATAATTTAAATTTTGAATGATTGAAATATAATTTACTTAATGATATTACTAATTGTATTCTATCATTTTTTTTAATATATACTATATTTTTTTCTCTGAAAACAACAAAAAATGAAATTACTAAATGTATTTTACGTTCAATTGATGTTTTTCTAATATGGTTTTATGCATTTAAGAAATATCATTGGGGATTGGTTCAAAATGAAATCTTAAATATCGATATGCTTAAAAGATAATAGTTATAATTAGAGCACTAAACCAAAAAGTTTATTATATCAGACTGAAAAATACATAATTTATTTGAATGATAATCATGTTTATATTAATTATCATCCAAAAATTATAATATATTTTTTCATCACTCATATAATATTAAATAGGTTCTATATTAAAAACTTTATAAAAAATCTTTGAAAATTTTAATTTGAAATATTTTAAAAAAATAGACTTTTGATTAAAATGACTTTAAAATTATTTATTCCATAAAATTAACAAGAGTAATATTATTTTATTATTATTATTTTTGAGGTGGAAGAAGAATATATCTTCAATTAATAACAAAGTTTTGATAGATTCTCTGAAACTATGTGCCCAAGAAAAAGCCCAAACTAAAAAGTACAGGCCCAGACAGTTTTCTTACCTGTTGTATGGAAACATATTGCCATGGCATGCCCCACGTTACATGCTTTGAAGAAGATGTTTTTGAAGCAAAGAAATGATGGAGGAATCTGTTGCAGGTAGCATCAATTGTCCTGTGACGAAGGTCAGGTGGGCCGAGTCACAATTGAATCGTAGCGCTAAGTACGTTAAAGTAAAAAGAGTTAGCACTCGACTAATGGCTATAGCTTTTTGGCCTAGTGGTAGCGCTCGATCCTAACAATTGGTATCGAGCCAAGGTCACGAGTTCGATTCCTGGTGGGCAATTATTGAGGGGAGATTGTTGCAGGTTGCACAATTGTCCCGTGGCAGAGGCTGGTGGGCCAAGTCACAATCCAAGAGTGGGATACCTTGTAGGACAATTCGCTGAGGGGAGATTGTTGCGGGTAGCATCAATTGTCCTGTGACGAAGGTCGGTGGGCCGAGTCACAATTGAATCGTGGCGCTTGGGTCGTTAAAGTAAAAAGAGTTACGCTCTGACTAATGGCTATAGCTTTTGGCCTAGTGGTAAGCGCTCGATCCTAACAAATGGTATCGTAGCCAAGGTCACGAGTTCGATTCCTGGTGGGCAATTGTTGAGGGGAGATTGTTGCAGGTTGCACAATTGTCCCGTGGCAGAGGCCGGGTGGGCCAAGTCACAATCCAAGAGTGGGATACCTTGTAGGACAATTGCTGAGGGGGAGATTGTTGCAGGTAGCATCAATTGTCCTGTGACGAAGGTCAGGTGGGCCGAGTCACAATTGAATCGTGGCGCTTGGGCTGTTAAAGTAAAAAGAGTTGCGCTCTGACTAATGGCTATAGCTTTTGGCCTAGTGGTAAGCGCTCGATCCTAACAAATGGTATCAGAGCCAAGGTCACGAGTTCGATTCCTGAAATCTTGGTTAGAAGATCTAGCAGAACAATTGTAGCACCACAAAGGTATTCCCCTTCATTGCATTATTTGTTGTTGACTGATGCTGGTGAGCCAGAGCATTTTGCTGAGGCTATGCAGGGAGATGAATCTATTAAGTGGGAGCTAGCAATGGAAGATGAGATAAAGTCCCTTCAGAAGAATAAAACATGGTCTTTAACCAAGCTACCGAAGGAAAGAAAGTTTTGCAAAACAGGTGGGTCTATAGGTTGAAAGAAGAACCGGATGGCGACAAAAGATATAAGGCTAGACTCGTAGTGAAAGGGTTCCAACAAAGACAAGGAATTGACTTCACGAAATTTTCTCTCCTGTTGTCAAGATGACTACCATCGAGTTATCTTGAGTATAGTAGCTGTAGAAAATCTTCATTTGGAGCAGTTAGATGTCAAAACTGCATTCTTACATGGGGATCTTGAAGAGAAAATTTTTATGACACAGCCAAAAGGTTTTGAAGTACAAGGCGGAGAAAATCTTGTATGCAAGCTTCATAAAAGTTTGTACGGATTAAAACAAGCGCCGAGACAATGGTACAAGAAGTTTAATGAGTTTATGAGAAACTCGGGATTTCACGAGATGTGAAGAAGATCACTGTTGTTATGTGAAGAAATATGTTGATAGCTATATCATTCTTGCCTTATATGTTGACGACATGTTGATTGTTGGAGCTAATATGGCAGAAATTGACAAGTTGAAGAAACAATTGTCAGAGAGCTTTGAAATGAAGGATCTTGGTCCAGCCAAGCAAATTCTTGGTATGAGAATCTCCCGAGATAGAGATAAAGGTATTTTGAACTTATCTCAAGAAAAATATATAGAAAAATTGCTTAGCAGATTCAATGTTGGGAATGCTAAAACCAGGAATACACCTTTGGGAATTCACTTAAAGTTTTCAAAGAGGCAATCTTCTCAAACGAAGAAGAAGAAAGTCACATGTCTAAAGTGTCATATGCATCTCAGGTAGGAAGCTTGATGTATGCTATGGTTTGCACCGGACCATACATAGCACATGCGAGTGGGAGTTGTGAGCGATTTCTATCAAATCCCGGAAAGGAGCATTGGGAAGGAGTGAAGTGGATATTCGGATATTTGAAAGGCACTTCAAAGATGCATTTGTCTTTCAAGAGAAGTAATCTCATTTTACAGGGGTTTTCCGATGCGGACTTGGGAGGTGATCTTGACGGTAGAAAGAGCACAACGAGGTTATATTTTTACATTGGGTGGTACAGCTATCGGTTGGAAGTCTAAACTTCAAGGAAGGGTCTCTCTCTCAACCATCGAAGCGAGTATGTAGCTATCTCGTAAGCGGCGAAGGAGATGATATGGTTGAAGAACCTTCTAAAAGAATTAGGAAGAGAACAAGATGGTTCTCCGTTGTTTAGTGACGATCAAAGTGCTATTTGTCTTGCTAAAAATCCAATCCTTCATTCCGGATGTAAGCACATTGAATTGAAGTATCATTTTATCGAAACCCGATAAATGATGGAGACTTGAGTTTGTTGAAGATTCCAGGTGCGGAGAATCCCGCTGATATGTTGACCAAGACTGTTACAACAACTAAGTTGAGGCTTTGCATTGCCTCAACTGGCCTTCGAGCAAATTGATGATGAAGGCACTACACTAGGTGGTAACGTAAATCAAACTCCAAGTGGGAGAATTGTTAGTATTATGGTGCTTGATTTAGTCCCACATCGATTAGGATTGTGAGATGAGGTTCTCTATTTTGTTATATAAGCAACCCTATGTAAAGTTTGAGATACACACAGAAATAAAAATACTTCCTAGTGTAGTCGTGGACGTAGGCATACATATTTTAGCCGAACCACGTTAAAATTCTTGTGTCCTTTATTTTCTCTCCTTTATTCTTTCTTTTATTATTGTCTTGTTCTTAACAATTGGTATCAGAGCCAAGGTCACGAGTTCGATTCCTGGTGGGCAATTGTTGAGGGGGAGATTGTTGCAGGTTGCATAATTGTCCCGTGGCAGAGGCCGGGTGGGCCAAGTCACAATCCAAGAGTGGGATACCTTGTAGGACAATTGCTGATGGGGAGATTGTTGCAGGTAGCATCAATTGTCCTGTGACGAAGGTCAGGTGGGCCGAGTCACAATTGAATCGTGGCGCTTGGGCTGTTAAAGTAAAAAGAGTTGCACTCTGACTAATGGCTATAGCTTTTGGCCTAGTGGTAAGCGCTCGATCCTAACAGAATCCTGAAAATTCACTCACTGCATAACAGCCACATAGCCAAATAATTGAGCATGTGAGAAATCAATTGAACCACTTCTTATTATTCAGCATGCATGCCTTCTCTTCAAATCTTTTTCTTTTCACAAAATGAAACCAATTTTCTTCAAAATCTTCATATAATATATAATAACTGATCATAATGTTATTGTGATGAAAATCTATCTTACATTATTCTCTCCATTATCCACTAAACATTGTTTAATTAATTTTTGGTGGAAGGTATTATCCTTTTTTATTATTATGATTAATTATTAAGTCAGATATATTGAAATTATATCTTAAATTCATCACGATTTTATTCTTAAAATATGTCTTGAAGAAAATAAAGTATATATAAATTATGGTAATGTTAATTTTAAATGATATAAAAATATGAATATTTTAGAATAATTAATATATAATTTTGACATAAAAAGGAGATAAAATGTGACACAACAGAGTGTTCCATTGAAAGCCCGTGAAAGTGAAAGCGTAGCACATGGCTAAGCCATGTACTTTACCTACTCATAAAATGCGACAAACCATTTATGCTCCACTCATTTCTATGCATAACACTCACCAAAATATGTGTCCCTATGGTGGGACTAATATAACCATCTTTCCAAATAACTAAAATAAATATATTTATGCAATTCAAAAACACACTCTAAACAAAATTACATAATCCATACATTTTTTTTTTTTAAGGCCCGTTTTGACTTTTGGGTGACTTTGAAGGTGCAAATATACAAAGTCCTGGGGCTTCTTAAATGAGCTGTGAATTTACGTGGACAATTATTTTTCTGTACTGAAGGTTTTGTTGGGGGAAGAGGGAGGAAGAAAATGAAGGTAGGGGAAGAAAAGAAGCTACAAATTCTAAAGATGGATTTAATATAAACACCCTCTCCACCCAACAAGATGAATAAATTGACTTAAAAGCACTTAAACAAGGTCACATGGGTCTCACACCGTCCTCAGCTTTATTCACATACATATCTCTAAACGAGGCATCATCACAAGCTTTTTCTTTCCCCTCCAAATTCATGTCCAAACATATATCAAACATGTTTACAATACCCATTCAACGTGTTCCCAGTTTCAATCCCCTAATATTCAACAAATTCTTACTTGTATTTTCAAAATTGCTACTTCTTTTCAACTTCAAACCCACAAAATACAGACAAACATGGCATGCCAAGTTTTCATCATGGAAAGAATGAAGAATGAGAGTCCACAAACAAATGTTCCTCTTCACATGCTTCGCCTTTCATGCCTCCATCAACTTTAAACATGTTTAGCTAATTTCGTGTAACAATTCATCCTATAAAATTCATTGGGATCTACAACATCCCTTTTCAACCAAAATTTAGATTTTAAATTTATAATGTTATTAATATTCATTATCACATTATTTTTAGCGTGAATTTAAACATGAATTAAGAAAGACTCATACTTTAAAATTTTAAATTAAAAATAATATTATATTTTCTTATATAATTAACTTATGTACTATTTTTTTAATATTTTTAAATAATTTAAAATATTCTTCATATCAAATTCTAATAGGATAAAAATCAATTCATTATACTGAAAATAAGACTCAACTATAATAACCATAACTTATGGTTACCAAGTTAGGATAAAAATACTGGCAAAATTCTTTATTTTAAATATTCAACCGTGATAGTGTAGGACACGAGTATACTAAGAACATTCTTTTTTAAGAGACCATGTGTTATATAATGTAGAGTTTCTCAGTTATGGTTTGAATTTTTCCTACAATCTAAGCCTTCGACCATGTACGTATATTTTTGTGTCCTTTGTCGGTCTCCTTTTAAGCTCTTATTCACTTTCCTCTAAAACAATAACTTTTCGTACCATTTTATTACTGCTCCCTAATTGCGGCTTCATATATTTCATTATAAGGTTTATTAAGAGTGAAAAATTCATTAATCATAGCTGGTCACAAAAAAATAAAAAAAAGGTTTTGTACGTATAACAAGGTAGGGAAAGAAAAATAGTATTTGTTTTGATTATTTTTGTGTGCTAAACTAATGTGTACGCACATTACTTGTTTTCTATAAAACGAGGTCTTAGGTACATGAAACTTCTTGGTGGGGACTGTGAAAAAAAAGAAGAAGAAAGGAGTTAATAAAATTGAAGGTTGATAAAAAAATAAAAAAATATATTAGTGAGGACCAATGAAGAATTGAAACTTTCCTTGAGGAAATCGCACACGCATTGAAAAACATGTGATCATGTGATGGGTGGGACTATTTACTGGTTCCGAAGCAAAATTTGGAAATTTTTCTTAGGTTTAATTATGTTTCGTAAACTTGACATTTATAATTATTTTGATTTAGTTTTAAAATTTCAAAATAAAATATTTTAATTTTTGAAATTGAAAATTTATTATTTTAATTATTAAATAATTAATTTAATTTTTTTCTAAAACTATTTGTTATTCTTTAAATTTAATGTTAAACATTTTAAATTATATTTTATTAATTTTGAAAAAAATTAATGATTAAAAACATTAAAATTAAATTATAAACAAAAATTATAAGATTTGTTTATTTTGGGTAAAATTTCATTAACTGGTAAATTATCTTTAATAAGAAAACTGAAATAAAAATTGTTGTTGGTGGACGTGCACGTAACCTTGGGCTGGACCAGAACTAGTTGGTTTTTGAAGCCCATCTTATTAAATTCAGTCAAGTGGATGAGAAAGAAAAAAAAAAAGAGAAAGAGAAAAAATAAATTGATAGTAAATTTAGGTCATTATAATTTATTTTGGTATTTTTAGAAATATTAGGTGTGGGTTAAAATTTGAAATTTCTATCTATTATGGTTTTCGCCAACTTTAAGGGAACTTTGTTAAACTGATTATATTATAGGAAAAATGATAAAATAAATATTTTATGCAAATGTAAATTATTTACAATTAGTTGTAGAAAAATATCTCATTTAGTATTTTACATGTTACTTAGATAGTTCTCGTCAATTTAAAAAAATAATATTTATTTTATCACTATAATTATTCTATGAACACGTTAATGATAACTCTGCACTTACGAAACTTTATTCTAAGTATTTTTATGAGAGATAGTTTTACTACAAAAAATAATAATAAACTTTTGTAAATGTATTTTATGACAACTTTAAAAGTTTGATAAATACACTTTCTTTCAGTGCTTTCTAGAGAGTAAAACTCTAATGTAATTTTTGCATAATAAAACCTAGTTATAATTGTTGATGTTTATGCATAAATTAATTTATACATTTTTCTATTATTTTTAAATTTGTGTATAAACTAATTTTAGTCTTATAAAAAATATATAATTTCACTTCTTTCATCTTCTAAAAATATCCTTCAATCATACACATAAAATGTTTAAATGTAGTGTTTTCATAATAATTTGCAAGGTTCAAATCACACATGTGGTTATAGTTATAATACAATCATACATCAGATTTTTTTTTTCAATATTACCATAAGATAGAAGTAAAAACGTGGGTTAAGAATTATTTGAATAGATTTTTTTATTTTTTTTAAATGAGTTTTGATTTACTAAATAAATTGTTATTATTTTAGATTAATCACTTTGATAAATTGAAATTATTATGAATTAAGATCAATCTCTCTTTATATATATATATATATATATATATATATATATATATATATATATAAGTGAAATACTTTTGAATTAATTTCTAATATCAATGAAAAAATAATGAAAAAATTTATAATTTATATATTTTAAAAATAAAATAAAAATTTTAAAATATTTGTTAGAACAAATTTTATTAAAAAGGGACATAGAAGGCTTATAATGCCTTGTTTCCACGGTATATATAAAGATTTGGTTATAATGTACCAAATTGTAATTATCCATCCTACCAACATCAGTGCATGATTCTGACAAAGACTCGTTGCACATGTGTTTAATCCAACTTTTCATAACACATATTTTGGTACATATCTCACATGTGTAATATTTGTTATCATTCAGTATTTTTATGTTAAAAATTATTTTTCTCAATTATTTTCAACCTTTATTTTACATTGATTTGATTATAAATAGTTTATAATAAAATAATTAAAAAATATTTTTAATTTCCTTTCATTCATATGTATTTAAATTGATGAATTTAGTTTTAAACTTTTACAGAAATATATGATTTTATTTTTTATATCCAAAATTAATATTTAATAATGATTTATTATTGTTATAAAACCAATAGAAGCATAAAGTCGACATTTTGTGTAATTTTATTAATTATTTATATTTAATCTAATACATAGTAATGATTTTTTATTATTACTCGATAAAACTTAAATTTATATTATTTTTAGTTTAAGATTAGTTAATCAATTTTCAAAAGCAGAAAAAAATACAATAAAAATTATTTAACTCTTAAATATTATATATTAACTTATGCAAATGTGATAAGCTAAATTATTAACACTATATGATGTTTAAAATACACTAATAACTTTTCTCTCAATTCTCTATATTTATTATATCTTACTCCTTCTTTGTTACATTGTTTATAAGAATCGAACAAGTTTGAAGTTAAGTACATTGGGTCCAAACAAGTTGAAATGCAAACTTTACATATATAGGGATGTTAAATAGAATAGTGATTTTTGTATTTGATGTAAATAAAATTATGTAGAAGTGAAATTAAAATAAATGTAAAAACTGAAATGAAGATTCTACATTTTCCCATATTTGCTGTAAAGGCAAGAAAGAAGAAATTTGGAGTGGAAAAAAGAAAGTACAGAAACCCATGTTCAATAACACCAAAGTGGCCCCTCGCTACACAAGAAAATAAATACTCATCCATACACACATAACACAATCCCATGCCCTATATATACTCTCTGCAACCATCCCCTTTCTCCTCTGTCAATCAATTCACTCTTTCTCTCTCTCTCTCTCTCTTCTCCTCTGACACTCCCTCATTCAATTCAACAATTTCACCCCTCTGAACACACTCATACACAACCCAACAGAGTGCATGTCTGCTTTTCCATAGGATCAAGTTCAAATATTTATGGCTAAAACTATCACATAAATCCAACATTTCAAAACCCAAACGGACTCTTCACCATCCATAATTCTAAATTCAACTTACTTTCCACGCTCACAACACAACGCAAAGAAACATGATAACATGGAAAGACCTGTACACGGTGCTCACGGCAGTCGTGCCTCTGTACGTGGCCATGATCCTCGCCTACGGTTCCGTGCGCTGGTGGAAGATCTTCTCGCCGGACCAGTGCTCCGGCATAAACCGCTTCGTCGCGATCTTCGCCGTGCCCCTCCTCTCCTTCCACTTCATCTCCACCAACAACCCCTACGCCATGAACTTCCGCTTCATCGCCGCCGACACCCTTCAGAAAATCATCATGCTCTTTGCCCTAGCGCTCTGGACCAACCTCACCAAAACCGGTTCGCTCGAGTGGATGATCACCATCTTCTCCCTCTCCACGCTCCCCAACACGCTCGTCATGGGCATCCCCCTCCTCATCGCCATGTACGGTGACTACTCCGGCTCCCTCATGGTTCAGGTCGTCGTCCTTCAGTGCATCATCTGGTACACCCTTCTCCTCTTCCTCTTCGAATACCGCGCCGCCAAAATCCTCATCATGGAACAGTTCCCCGAAACCGCCGCCTCCATCGTCTCCTTCAAGGTCGACTCCGACGTCGTTTCGCTCGACGGGAGGGACTTTCTCGAAACAGACGCGGAGGTCGGCGACGACGGCGAGCTCCACGTCACCGTGAGGAAATCCAACGCCTCGCGACGGTCCTTTATGATGACGCCGCGGCCCTCCAACCTCACCGGCGCGGAAATTTACAGCCTCAGCTCCTCGCATAATCCCACGCCACGTGGCTCCAACTTCAACCACGCCGATTTCTTCTCCATGATGGGGTACCAGCCGCGCCACTCCAATTTTACCTCCAATGATTTGTTCTCTTCCCGTGGACCCACGCCGCGACCTTCCAATTTCGAAGAAACCTCTATGCCTCAGCCGGTCACGGTCGCTTCTCCCCGCTTCGGGTTCTACCCGACCCAGACCGTGCCCGCTTCGTACCCGCCGCCGAACCCGGAGTTCTCCTCCGCTCCTACTAAACCTACCGTTACCAAGAACCAGCAGACTCCTACAAAGGGTGCCCACGATGCGAAAGAGCTCCACATGTTTGTGTGGAGCTCCAGCGCGTCGCCGGTGTCGGAAAACGCCGCGCTTAACGTGTTCGGGGGCACCGACCTCGGAACCTCCGAACAACCTGACCAGGGTGCCAAGGAGATTAGGATGTTGGTGGCTGATAATGCGCACATACAAAATGGGGAAGTAAACAACAAAGGTACTGGTTAAACCGCTTTTTTTTCCTTTTCAAGTTAAAACTTTTCTTTGTTGCTCTAATTGCAACTGCAACGTCATAATTGACCAAATGTAGCACGAGTATGTTTTAGATTTTATTTTTGAGTGTTTTTTTTTTTTTTTTAATTAGAAGCGAAGTCTTATTTCAGTTCAATATTCGCTCGATTTTAATTTTAAAAATTACAATTTCAATAAACTTTTCAATTTCTGTTTCCTAAATTTTCAGAAAACTCAAGTTAGAATAGAGAATCAGTATTAATAAGAGAAGAATGAAAGAAAAAAAAAGTTCTATTTTTTAGTCCAGAAATTTCAACCATTCATCTGAGACTCTTTTGTCACATTTTATTGAACAAATATTAATAATTATTGTTATTCTTATCTCTAAATCAATCGTTAATAATAGATCCGGTAAAATTAATGGATTTTAATAAATGTTACCCAAGACAATGTAAGAAAGAAAAGGGCAAGGCTAATTCAGACTGGAATATTTAACTTTTGTTCTTATTGTAACCGCAACAATTTTTTATAAGAAACATTGCGACTGTGATTGTAATTTGAAATTTAATTAATTTAATTCGAGATTTTCTAAATTTTGGTTGGTATAATGATTATGATGATATTGGGGTAAATTTTTGTTTAATATTATTACTATATGATAAGGAGATTGGTTTGGTGTTAAACTGAAGGTGGTTTGGAGGCGGGACTTGGAGCGGAAGAGTTCAAGTTTCCGGTGAACGGCGGAGAACAGGTGGAGGAAGAGAAAGAGAAAGAGGGGTTGAATGGGGTGGACAAGTTGGGGTCGAGCTCCACGGCGGAGCTCCAGCAGAAAGTTGGCGGAGGAGGGGAATCATCGGGCGGCGGAAAGCACATGCCTCCGGCGAGTGTGATGACTCGTCTGATACTAATCATGGTGTGGAGGAAGCTTATCCGCAACCCGAACACGTACTCCAGCCTCATTGGTGTGGTATGGTCCCTGGTTGCCTTCAGGTAGGTGAATGGAAGTCAACAGCATTGGAAAGCTTTTGACTATAAAACCATCTTATAAAATAATTAGCAAAATGTTTGATTCTACTTTCTCTTTCTCTCACTTTTTGGTTATTTGATTGGAGTAACGTTGTAATTATTAATGGTTAGTGACACATGGTGTTGTTGATGGTTAATGATGACGTACAGGTGGCACGTGCACATGCCCAAAATAATAGAGAAATCAATTTCCATACTGTCTGACGCTGGTCTTGGAATGGCTATGTTCAGCTTAGGTGAGTGGTCGCAAATCCACTCTCCAAATCCATATTCTCCCCCAATAATTTCATTCTTCTATCCACAACACATTTTGCCTCCACTTTTGCATCCACACCATTATCATTTTATCATTATTGCAATTGTGTAATCACAAAACTTGGCAATTACTATTTGACAAGTAAACTAAGATAAAGAAATGGGGATATGGATGAATGAATGAAAGGCATGCTGGTGATGTTAAGTTATGATCAAAATGATCTTGTTCACTTGTTTAGCATAATGTCCCGACACGTGGGGTCGGGTCATAAACTAGGTCACTTTTGGGAGGACAATGGTTGTGGTGAGGGGTACCCTTTTGGATAATTAGGCAATGGTGGTTGAATTAGAGTTAATAGTTTTCTGCAAAATAATAGAATGTTGTGGATAGGGTTTCTGAAATTAACCAATAATAAGTTGTTAGTGGAACATAATATAAAGATGGATGGTCTTTGTTTTACGTGTTTGATTTTTGTTTTATAGGTCTGTTTATGGCACTTCAACCAAAGATAATAGCATGTGGGAACTCTGTGGCTACATTTGCAATGGCTGTTAGATTCCTCACTGGTCCTGCTGTTATGGCTGCAGCTTCCATCGCAGTTGGTCTCCGTGGCACTCTCTTACACGTAGCTATTGTTCAGGTTATTAACTTCAACTTTTTCTCATGCATTTATGTCTTCACAAAATTGGTGAAACAAAGTGAAGTAATGTCCCAGTTTAAGACTTTAAAGATATCATCCTTACATTTATGTCACACTTGCACTAGCATAGTGTTGGAAAGAGTGGTAAAAACACAGTCTCCATACTTCTCTTTATGAAAGTTTTAAATTTTGCAGCACAACTCTTCACAATTGTCCCAATACTACCACTAGAGACTTCAAAAACAAGTCCATGTTCTAGATGTGTTCTTTCTAATGTCCATAAATAAGAACTGTGGGAGTAAGTTGTTAACTTTGTGAAAATGTTGTGGTTGCATTAGGCTGCACTTCCTCAAGGGATTGTTCCATTTGTGTTTGCTAAGGAGTACAATGTTCATCCAGCCATTCTTAGCACAGCGTAAGCAATGAAACCTCTTTATTTTCTCCATCACATTCTTGTTGCCATGAACAACCAAGTTGACCTGTTTTTTCTTCTCTGATAAATTCAATTGCAGGGTTATATTTGGGATGTTGATAGCCCTGCCTATCACTCTGGTCTACTACATTCTCCTTGGTTTATAATATTCCTATTCCCAAGTGACCAATGTTGGAGGAAAACATTGAGCAAGTTAATTTCAATCTTTGATGCTTTTTCAAGTTAGTAAGCATGCGTCCGTGGCACATTGGGGTACTACTACACAAACTGGACGAAACTATCACTGACAAGTAATTTCACAACACAGGATGTTTTTTCGAATTTTCCGAAAAATTCGAAACTCGAGAGAAAATTTGAGAGTTCGGAGAGTGATGATGTAATTTTGAACAACCTTAATGAGAAAGGAATAACAGAGTCACACAAATGAGGGAAGGTAGGGTAACCAAATGCAGAATCAATTTTATCTAAAAATTGTTTACTCTCTATCCCTTTTGTAAATTTTACGGGAAAAATTTTGTTTGAATCACCAAAGAACACGATTTAGTAAGTAGAGTAAATTAGATGAATAATGAGATGATACGAAAGTTATTCTTTTAATTTTTTTTTATTTTTATATTTTTTTTATTATTAAAAGTCTTTTGTAAAAATTGAGAAACTTTATTTTACATATGTTGAAAATTTCTAGAAACTTATAAGAGTTTTTAGTATATTGGAGAACAAATTAATTAAATATTATAAATTAACTTCAACTCTAACTAAACTAACTTATACACTTAACTATGTTATTATTTATTGTTGTTTAGGTTTTAATTATAAAAATAATTTTTTTATTATTAATAAATTTATTAATCTTCTTATAATAATATTTTTATTTTTTTCTTCATTCAAATTACTTATATATATTATTATGTTTTCCCTTTCTAATATATATAATTTAAAAAATACAAATATAATTAATATAATTGTGAACTTCATAAATAACATGTAAATAAAAACAAATAAAATTTGACGATAATAATAATAATAATAAAATTAGAGGGAGTATGAGAGAAGGAAGTCGTCTATTCCTTTTCATTCTTTATTTCATTATCATGGATTTTTTTTTATTCATATTAAAAGTAAATAAAACTTCCAAATACACATTAAGTATGAATTATAATTATTTTAAAATAATAATATTAAATAAATGTACAAAATTTAAAATATAATTCGAGATAAATAAAATAATTATAACATAACCTGATTTATATTTTAAAACCGTGTAGATCCTACGTGAACAAACTAATTCTAATTTGATTAAAAATTAAAAAATATTTAAATAAAAATAAATTATAAAAAATATATTTTTAAAATTTAAATTATTATATTAATAAAATTATTTTTTATTTAATAATTTATATGTAAGTTATAAGAAAATATAAAATAATAGTAAAAAAATAATTTTTTTATTATCATAGTTTATTTTTTATTAATTTATTGATTAAAAAATAAATAATTGTAATAATTAAATATTAGAATAAATAATTACTACAAATTTATTATATAATATTTACTTTTAGAATAAATAAATATTTTATTAAATTAATTTATCATATATATATATTAATAAAATAATTATTATTTTATAAAAAAATATAATTTATAAATTTATTATGTTAATTTGATTCAATTTATATTATAATTTTTTCTATCTATTTTAACCTATTTTTTAAATTTTCAAATCGCTGCACCAAACTAAACCTACACCCATCTTAAACCTAGGTAATGCGTACAAAACAAAATAAAAATCTTATACCAAACATTCCAAACATTAATTAACAATTTTCATTGGCGTGGAGCACATTCAAAGCAAATAGTTTCGAGGTTCTATGTTTATCATCCCCATAAATTGAGGACAATCTCATCTTTTCCTATCCCACCATCAAAATGAAGCTCAATCCAACGTCACATTCATTTCTCTTTTGTTTAGTAGAAATCACAATATTTTAATGATGTATGATCTATACACACCATCAAATACTCATGCAACAAGTGTATCTATTTAGGGGTTTTTGGGGACTTGTGTTTTGTCGAATATTACTTAGGGTTAGACAAGAAGCACTAAATCACGCTAAGACCTCAGTCGTGAAAATGATGGATGCTCGCTCTTTCATTACTTCATACACCTCCAAGACGCCGTGGCTGGCTAATATACTCCTTGTTTCCACCTCCAACATGCCTTTATTTTCACGACATAAATAACTCTATTTGGAGTGTTCACGTGTGCTCATGTTTCTCATATAAAAATATATATTAGAAAAGCCTTTTAAATTTATTATAATAAAACTTAAATTATCAAAATATAAATAATTCAAAATAATTTTATTTTTTTATTGCAAAAGAATCAAATTTAACACCATGCGTTCCTTAAATTTTGGTCATGGTTGGACCATCAAAACACCCATAAGAACACAACTCTTTTTTTTTTCTATCTTTTGTAGCATTCATCCTGAGAGTGACCTTGTTTTAGTAATTAATTGAGGTACCTGGACCATTCATTATAATTATTTAAGAATATTTATTTTTCAATTATGTGAATGTGCAATGATTATTTTTTTATTAGTTTATTGAAATATTTGTATTTACACACCGAGATTCCTGAAGACTTCATTCATGGTTGTGAGAATCTTTCACACGTGTATCCAAACCATAGGGTGAGGTTTTCATTGGTTATTGTTTCTCGATTTTAATAAAAATTATTTTAAATTAATAAAATTAGATTGTAGTTTAAAAGATTATTTTTGTAAAATTATATACAATATTACATTAGCGTAGCTGTTAACAAATGTTGTATTAGTATAAAATTTACAGTTAAACAAATAATTTTTATCATATAAATTATCGTATAAAAATTATTTTATGTCTACTTTATATTTGATTTCACATAATATATATTTTTTAAATATACTAAAATGTAAATTATTTGATCATCTTATTATGTTTAATTTTAATAAAATTTAAAATGGACAATTCTTTTACACATTCTCATATTTATTATCATGTGCAGCAAAACAAAATCAATAATTCAATTTTCGACATCAAAACTCTGCAACTTCCATATTTATTGGATTCCCTTGTTTTTTATATTCTTTTCTACGAACTGATTAGTCATTCTCACATTAAAGTTTGGACATTTGTCAAATTTATATTTTCTATATATCATTTTCATTCCCATTTATGAGTAAAATGGATAAAAAATAGAATGAAAACATTAATAAATTTGAAAATTGAATATATATATATATATATATATATATATTTATATTAGCTTTTATTATTATATTGGAGATATTGTTGATTTTAAAATTTTAGTTTATGTTTTATTTTTTAAAAATAAATTGTTAGTTTAAGAAAGAAATATATATAACTTATTTTTTGTTTTATTTTTAAATAATGTGTGATTAAAAAACATAGTCCTTACCTGAGAAATAAGAGAATAGAGTGAGATTTTATTCTCTATTTTACCAGGTGTTAAATGGAGTGAAACTTTATTATGATAGGTGTTAATTTAATATAGGAACAAAAATATATTGATTTTATATCCATTATAATTAGGGTTTATTTTTATATCTGAGATATTATTCATTTTAAAATTTTAATTTATCATGATTTTATTTTTAAAAAATATGTATATAAATTAAATATATATATATATATATATATATATATATATATATATAAATTATTCTTAATCTCAACTTAAAAAAAAAATAACATCATACCCCTAACTAAGAAGATCTTAAATATTTATTATTGGTGAAATTTCAAATTTCCATTTCTTCCATTTTCGTCAAAATCAATGAAAAACAAAAAAAATCTTATTATGAATAAAAATGTGTTTATTCATTTTATTCCATAAAAATAATAATTATGTCTTTATATATATTCCCTTCAATCCCATTTTTTAGTATCATGAATTTTTAAAACTTATTTAAAAAAATGAAGTGTAGTTTCAGTGAAAGATGAAGTTGTTGGTAGGAAAGTTCATAAAACAAACACATGATACAATAGTTATTCTTTGACTGAACATGTAGCTTGACAGTGGTTTGAACAAATAACTGAGTGCAATGATGGGGCGATGGTTAGATAGTCTAGAAAAAGCAATATATGGGGTCCATATTCATGAGGAAGCCCATATTGGGTTCACGTGTGTGCTGGGGTACACTGTTAGAGCGTTGGATCCATGCCAGAGATGGACTGTTTCATTATTGCATGGAAGCAAAAGAGAAGGAGAAGGAGAATGAGAAAGAAAGAAAAAAAAGAAAAAAGAGAAGCTTGGAGAGGATTAGGTTACAACTAAGGTAGGGACTGTGAAGAATGAAGTTGTGGTCGAGTCGAGGACTTTCAACATCTTCTCACTTTACAACACAAATAAAGGAATGACTGGACCCCAAATTTGTTGCTTCAATAAAGCTATCAAACTGTTGGATAAAAACTATTTCTTTTTAAACATAGTTAATCTCTTAAACTAATGTTTTTTTTTATCACACACAATTAAGGAGCAAATTCATCCATGTTTTTTTAATATATAATATTATATTTGATTAGAAAGCAAGATCTAATTAACAAACCCTCTTATAATTTTAATCTTAATGGGTAATGTGTGGGCAAATAAAAAAAATTAATAATATAATCTCATCTATATTTTAAATGGGTAAAAATATTTAGTCTAATATAATGGATTACCTGATAATTTTTACCTGATTATTTAAAAATATATTAATATATATATATATATATATATATATATATATTATCAAAATCATTAACTAAAAAATATTTAAATAAAAAATATTTTAAAAATATAAATTATATTAATAAAATTAATTTTTTATTTAAGATATTAAATAATTAATTAATTAAAAAACATTTAAATAAAAATATAAATTATATTAATAAAATTAATTTTTATTTAAAATATAATGATTTAATATATATATATATATATATTAATAATTTATTAATCTAAAATAATAATTAATTTTCATTATTTCGTCTTAAAATAAGAAATTCTTGTGAAATTTATGTATAATATATATATATATATATATATATATATATATATATAATAAAATATAGATATATTAAAGAAAATATAGATAAATTCAATTTAACTCACAAGATATATTTAAAATGAAATCTTATTATACCAGATCTATGTAAATTGAGATTGTTATAACTCTATAATCTTTATAGTCTGTGTTTATTTTTTTTCTTTATTAATTCAAGTAACTTGTCATGTCAGTAGCCATTGCAAACACTGACTAAACTCCAACAAGAACATTATTAATATATTTTCTACTGTGACTGGAAATAGATTAAGATTACACTGTCACTCTTTCTTAAAAAATTATGGTACACACTAAGGACATCACGTTTTCTATTATAGTCTCTATCCAGTGTGCATGCTAGTGCGTTAAATATAGTTATGATTCATTCATACAGGGACCTACAATGAACCTATAGCACCATGTTTTTTCAACCACTGAAAAAGTTGATGGTGAAAAGCTAACTATTGATTTAAACTGTTAGATAATAATACAGATACATCACAATACATGTTAATATTAATGTTATGAGTGGTCCTTAAAAATGGTAGGGTAATGCAAGATCTACTCTGCTTCACTCGTGTGCATGGACTTATCAGTTTGTATTGGGACCAGTGTCTTTATTATAATCTCACTTACATGAAGTGTTTTTACCAAGGTGGAACTAAAAGAAGTATATATATTGAAAGGTGTGGTTGATATGAGCGTGAATAGATGCAAAGAAAAACCAATGAAAGTAGGGAGAGAGGTCATGATCTTTGTAGGACGAACCACGGACATGAGTCAAATGGTGTGGACCAGTGAAGCATGAGACCATTCAAAGGAGGTGGGTTGAGATTGATAAAGGACAATTAAAAAGGTTAAAGGAAAGAAGTCACTTTATAAAAACCCTCTTTCTCTCTTTCTTTTATATTTTCTCTCGTCATTTATGCTTCAAAATTACTAGTATTATTCTATTTTTGTACACGGGAGAGATGAACGAAACATTAACAAAAATGGACTGAAAATCATAATAATAAAAGTGCTTTAAAAATAAAAATAAATGTTTTATTATGAATTTTAAATATGAATGGTTTAAAATAAAACAAAACAATATATATATATATATAAATAATTTTAATAAATTTTTAAACTCATTATTTATGCGACTTGTAATATATAATCCTAAACTATATATACGAATATATGAGATCATATTGAATAAAAATAAATAATGTAGATAATATATTCATGAGAATATTCATAATTTTAATATACTATTAAGTAAAGAAAAAATTATTTAATAATTTTTTAAAAACTATTTTAAATAAAAAACATGATAAAAAATCATAAAAATTGATAATTTTTTAATAATAAAAATAAGTTATTTAATAAATTATTGAATAAAACATTTATATCTACTAGCGAAAAATAAATTATGATAAAAATATCTTTTATTATTTTTAATTTTTTAATTTATAAAAACTGTTTTAATAAATTATTATAAAATACTTTTTTTAAAAATAAAAAATATAAAAACTGGTTTTAAAAACAGAAACATTCTTTTCAAATTCATCTTGATCATCAATCCATTTATGTAATCTAATTTTTTTACGCATTACATAAAATATTTTTTATATTGTAAAAAAATTATTAGTTTTCTTCAAGGATATCTTTATAAATTAAAAAAAAATTGGAGAGGAAGAGTGAAACATAATAATAAAAAAGGTAAATTAAAATAAAATTTATAATTTTTTTCGAAGTGTATTTACACCTCTCTTTTGTTTTTGTTTTTTTTTATCATTAATTTTCCTGTCAAAGGGGCACATGTAACATAAGAAGGGATAACAATATGATATGTTTAAAATAAAGGATAATTTTTTGTAAAATTTAAAGAAGTTAAAGTCAGATTTTAATTAATAAAAAAATATTGAGATAAATAATTTTAGAAAAATTCATAAGAAATGTCAAGGTAATTTTCTTTAAAAAAATTAAATGGGAATGAAAATGTGCCATTGCGAAATATAACAAAGCCTTTGTCTCATGAGCCCATGATCCACTTTGGCCCATTACAAAACGACGTCACTCCCCTTTTCCAAAGGACAACTCGTTCGAAGGACAGCATCCTCTTGTATCAGTGGATGAGACGAGAAGGCAAACCAAGCAGCCAGTGCCATTGGATACTTCGCAACAGAGGTAACTGTTTTTTTCATTCATTCAAGACATGTTTCTGAGAAGGCCAGTGCCTCTTGTATCATTTTTTTTTGTAGGAAAGTAGTTGTTTTGAGTTGATGTTGTTTCTGGGGTTTGTGAAATTTTGATTGTAGGTGCTAAAAACGCGCGTTTCAATGTTGACTAGCTAATTCATTTCTCAGAGAACTAGCTCAACATGTTCCATCAGGGAACTTTGTTTTAATAATCACATCATGAAAAGAAAGTGTCACTGGAAAGAATTTTCTTTTATTTTTTCCTATTTGGGCTTGATTTTCTTATAAATTGTTGAAGAATGTGATGCGGGAGGTATGCCATTTTGTCTCTTGTTGCAAGCTTGGTAATGTGGTAACTAGTGTTTAAAAATTGACTGAACTAATTTGAATTGAAGCCTGATTATGTGAAATGCTACTGTCCATGAGCTTACACTTGGGGATTTTGTTTTAATAATCACGTCATGAAAGGGAAAACGTGTTAGTGGAAGGATTTATTTTTCAATTTTGGCTTGATTATATATGCATTTAAACTCATTTCAAACCCTAATTGATGTTAATTTTTTTTTCTGTGTCTTATTTGGGGGAGAGGGGACGATGTAATGTAATGACTATATTCCTATCTTCTTTTTCTGTGAGGTCTTGGTTATGGTAGTTGACAAATTGTTGTTGAAGGTGGCAGTGTTTTGTTTTTGCAAATTTTTGAAGAGAATGATGCTGGAGACGTGTCATTATGTCCCTTGTTGCTTGTTTAGTAGTTTGGTAGCTAGTGTTTAAAAATATCGACTGAACCTGATTATGTGAAATGCTAGAGTGTAATGTTTGAAACTTGGGGGTAGCTCAGCTGTTTGACAAAAATGAACATTGCACAAGTTACTGCATGCCAGCCTGGGATTTCTGTGAAAAGTATATCTCAGTTGCACAAGCTTCATTCAAAAACATGTGGTTTACGAAAGAGTTTTGTTCCTTGCTGTGTTCTACTGACCCTAAGAGCAAGACAATCATTTGGCTTGAAATGCCAGCCTATTTCACAATCTCGGAAACCTCTCCATATTTGCTTAGCTGGTGATAAAGGGCTGATGGGAAATGATGATGAGGTATTGCACATTCTTTTGAGTTAATCGTTAGTTTGTTGTTATAATGTCATAACTTGTCAATATGGTACATGTATATAATACTTTTATGAAATGATGGAGTAAAATCAATGAGATTCGAGGTACAAGATCTTTTTGACGAAGAGAAATCCCCAATCAAGTTACTACACCTGGGATATTTGTGAAATATATTATGGTTGCATGTTCTGGAAAATATGCTTACATCTTGAAGGAATATGATGGTACATCCAAAAAATATGGTTTAACGTTCCCCTTATAAAATCCAGCTTAAATTGCGCTAGAAAATTCAACATTTCTTGAGCTGTGTACTTACCCTTCTATTATAGCAAACCAATGTAGCCTGCTTAGACAATGAAAAATATTTTCTTTGTGTAGTTTGTTGTGTTGTTTGCATGAACACATATGTTTGTAGGTCTTGATTGATGCTCCTGAGTTATTATGAGTTGAATCATGGATTGATCATAAGGAAATATTGCTATTTTAGTTGAAGATTTGTGTTAGGAAATGCTAAAGCTAAGTTGCAGGAAGCTGTATATTTTATCAGAAATATTTTTAGCAGTAGACCAAACAGTTAGAATAGAATAGAATAGACTAGAAGCAACTCTGCTCTTCTCAATGCCTCTGAAAAATTGTTATTAATTTTGTCTGTCATGATGAATCTGTGGGAAGTGAAAGAGAACTATTCTTTTAGTTATGTAAATTTTGGTTGGCATATTCCTATATTTTACTGACATTATTGGTGTGTGATCAGAGTTCCCCATGGAAATCTATTGAGAAAGCTATAGGAAAATTTAAGGGGCAAAATTCAATAGAGGATGTATTGCGGCGGCAAATTGAAAAGGGTGAATATTTTGACAGTGGTGGTGGTGGTGGAGTGAAACCACCAGTAGGCGGTGGCAACAGTGGTAGTGGTGATGGTAGTCCTGATGGCTCTGGAGATTCAGAGGATGAAAGCCTTGCCGGGATGTGGGAAGAAAATCTCCAAGTTTTCTTAGCGACCCTTGGCTTTATATTTCTGGTACTCTCTCTCTTTCTGCTGATGTATCGGATGCACAAATTAGTTGATTTTTATTAACTCAACTCTTAAGCATTTGTTTTATTGTGTGTGAAAATGCAGATTATGAAAACTGGAAGGTGAAATGTTTAGATGGAAGTAACTTAAGAAAAAAAAAATCATAATTGTGTGTTATTATTAATGAAAAAAGATTTCCAACTTCCCAGTTGCACTGGTATAATGTAAATTAATGATAGAAGTAGCTAATTGCAGAAATACTTGAGAGTGTTAGAGGCTTTTGAGTTTGTAATAGATGTCCATATGCAAACTTCTGATGGTGTAGAATCACATTGGACATGAAAAATGATTAGAAGATAGTAGGACACAAGCCATTCCTCATTTCTTACATATGCTTTTTGCAGTACATTTATATCATCACTGGCGAGGAACTCACAAAGCTAGCTAGAGACTATATCAAATATCTATTCGGTGGAACTCAGAGTGTTCGACTGAAGAATGCCATGTATCAATGTGGCATACTCTACAATAGCTTGATGCCAACGAAAGTAGAGGAAGATGAGGACTCCGAGTTTTGGTTGGAGGAGGCCATTCTGGATACCCCAACTTGGTGGCACGACCCTTCCGATTACCGGGAAGTTCTTAAAAATTACTTACTATCAGGGTCAGATGAGGCCATTGACATCAGGAATTACTTGGGACTAGAATCTGATGAAGAAGTTAGGTATTGCCTGGAATCAGACTACGAAGACGAAGATGATGAATCTGACAATGAGTATAACGAATCTGACAATGAGTATAACGATGAATATGACAATGACTACAAAGAGGAATATGAAAATGAGCATAAAGATAAAGCTGAAACAAATTTTCCCTAGACTCCAAAGCATCCTCTGTTGCTCTCTTTCATGTATTTTCCCTCAAGTTTAATGAAGCCTTTTTATACTTTGTATCATCCTGGTTTTAGTCTATTACCCGTTCATGCATTTAGGTTTTATGTGAACTGAAGTTCTTTCTCTATACATATTTTGGAACCCATTTTCTTGTCATTCTCTGTGCTATTTTTCAACAATAGAGCCACCACTTGTTAAGTATTTGGCCACAAACTAAGCAAAATGCATTAATTTGCACTAGTTAATTAGCAATTAGTGGTTATTAGGATGCATGTAATAATTTCGTTATTCTTTTGTGCTGGTAAATTCTTTCTGGATATTTATCTTTATTCAGCATCAAGCTAGAATTTGAAGTATTTGTTTGGTGATATACAGAGCTAAGCCTACTAGGCCAAGTATTTAGGTTCGATTTAGCATGATATTTATTTGCTCTATACATGCTTGATAACATTGTAATCAGAAGTCATACTTCGATCAGGTGGTGCATTTTAATGCCTGCTGATAATAAAATGTTATTAAATTCTTTTCGTTTTAAATTGCTAATATAGTAAAATAACAATATCAAAAGGGTTGCATGAATCACTGGATGTTGTTAGATTTGATTAAAAATCAAAATTTTAGGTATGTTTTTTATAATAAGGTTTCTTTACCTTATATCTAGATAAAGCATTTGAAGGGAATAGTTAAAAAAAAAAACTTAAAACGCTGTGAAGTGAAGTATATTATTTTGGATAAAAAATTTGATAAGAAAGTAAAATTCTAGAAATTAAAGAAAATGTTTTAATTATTTAAAGTAAAATAAAATTATAAAAAGTATTTTAAAATTCTTTCTATTTTCTTCTTCTACCTGTATATCTTTCTCTCACTTTTTATCCTTTTCTTATGCTACTTATGTTTATCTCTTCTCTCCCTCTTTTCACACTTTCTTATCAAACAAATAATATTCAACAAGAAAAATTTTGAGTGAGTTTCTTAAGTTGGTTTTTGTGATCTCACGACACTTTTTTGTGAGCCGACAGTCATATGTCATTATTAAGGAATTTATACACAATTTTCTTATAATGGTGAGAAATTTTAAGAAACTACAACAAACTTATTTCTTTATTTATATATGTTTTTATTTTCGCCTAAGTATTGGTAAAATGAAATTATTATTTCAATTATCACGTTTAATAGTTAAATATTGATGAAAATTTATTCTATTAATTTCTTATAATAAGTTAAAAATAATAAAAAATTCAGAATACATAATAATATATAATTTAACACAATTACATAATAATATTTAATGTATGAAATCTTTTATCCATTGTAGTTTCTTTTAACACATTAACCTTGAATCTTTATTGAATTGTTAAGAGTGCGTTTAATTTAATTCTATTTTTTATTTTTTAAAAATATTTTAATAAATCAATATTAAAATTTATTTATGAAAATAAATAGAATTTTTTTATAAAAAATGGCATAATCTATACCAAAAATTCACAATAAAAGTAAAAAGTATTTTAATAATTACATGATGATAAAAAATATAACATAATTACTAATAAAATATAAATCTTAGTGATAAAATAATAAATAACATCTTTTATCATTTTTTTAATTTTAATTTAAAAAATTAAAACATATAAATAGTTTTTTAAAATTATTTTTAATAAAAAAGTGAGTTTAATTTTTAGAAATTCTTCCTCTTATCTCTCGTCCCCCAATCCATTTTTCCGAACAAAATGATCTCAACGCACCAGGCTCCCGTTGTGGCACCGCCGATCGCGCCGCCACCTCCCACCACTCCGACCAAAGTCGCAGGGTAAGCTCTCCATTTCAGGCATGCACTGCTTATCATTGCCTTTCAGTTAATTCTTCGTTATTCACATCATCTCATATTGAATGCATAACCGGTCTCAGTAAGTTTACATCGATTATGAATCTAGTTACTACTTCACAGATAAGATGAATGAAAAAATAAGAGAGAGAAAGACACTTTTCATAGTTCTCACGAATTAGAAAAGGATTATTGCTATTATAATGATCAATTCTATTGTTGTACAATTTGGGATCACAAATAAAGAAGAACTAGGGAACATAAACTAGAAACAATAAAATTATTTGAGTACAAAATTCTTCTGCTCTTTATTACCTTATGTGATGAGACCTTGGTATAATCCATGAACAATTCTTGTGCACATATGTATGGTCTGAATCAATTTCTTGAGAAATTAATCGTCAAAAGGCCACCATGCCCAACAAGCCAATCACCAAAACTGGCAAGAACACAGCCAAACTTTGGTGGCGGTTTGGTCTAGCTCCACTAAAATTCTCATCAACTGGATACAAGTTCCCTGGTGGACCTGTCATGTACAAGTATGCTGATGACGGTGGTGGAGGGCAGTATGTTGATGGTGGTTTCTTGGGTGAAGGTGGTGGTGGTGACGGATACAAGATCGGTGGTGGTGGTGACGGATACACGATAGGCGGTGGTGGTGACGGTGGTGGCGGTGATAAATACTCTATTATTGGTGGTGGTGGTAGTGATGGGGTGTAACCACCTTCACATGGTGAGCACTTGGTCTCATCAAGCTTCCTTGATTCCTCACCTTTGATGGGAGTAGTGACACAGATAAGCACAAGGATCAAATTGAAGATCTTTGGTGGTTTAGTTTGATGAATTTTTGTTGGCATGATTGGAAATTGGAATTAGGATTTTGGAGATTGACTAGGTGGCCTTGAATTATGGTTTTTGTCTGAGATTGTAGGGCTTGGATTTTGAAGAGAGGATTAATTGGAGGAAGAGAATGGGGATAGCACAAGGAGTTCATAAACTACAGATAGTGTATGGGAAATGTAAACTATGGGTAAAGGACCTTTTAGGTTATGGGGATGATAATTAATTTGGTTTTTTTAAGGATGAAAAAGTGGGGATGACACTTGCTATTATGGTCATTTCTAGTAGGAGGGACTCTATCATGTGGAATCTAATCTCTACTAGCATGTGGCAATTAGTGTGTATATTGGGCTCCACCATACATAGAAATCCATAAGACCTCAATAATTAACATTAATCTAAGCCACTTTTGGTGGTTGAGTTTTGGCACATGAGGTAGGTTTAATATTTATTGTTTCATCCAATTGTATAATTTTACTTGAAAAAAGAAAAAAATGCTCAACACTTGACACCTCAATGAGATTTATAGTTTTTTTTTTTTATGAATTGAGAATAAAAATAACATAAATGTAATGTGTGATGTGATAGAAAACTATAATAAATAATACGTGGGTATATGTTGAAAGAAATCTACAAAATCAAAATTTTACATTCTAGTTTATATAGATGCAAACTTTTGAATCAAAGTAGACACCATAGTAGCGAGAGGTATCAGCAAAAGATACGGCAAAGTGTGAGGCTTGAGAAAATGATAAAGTAACTTCTTTTTCTTTGGAAAACGGAATTTTCGAAAGCTTTTGTGTATTTTATTTTGTGAAGCTTCTTTAGCTTCACATGGCAAACCTTCCTTGAGAGGTATTCGATCTGCATGTGGCCACATGATTTTTGAATCAAATTATATTAGCTCATCATTGACCATAATATTCTATATAAAATTCAAGAACTTTCCATTTCATTCCAAAATATATTGCAGAACTTTTTGTACTATATATTCAATAGTATGATATAACTTGGCACTAGCTAGATAATAAAAAGAGTCATTATTCAAGTTAAAATTTGATAGTTCAATAAATGTTTAAATAACAAATAAATTTTATAGTTATAACCTCAATCAACATGATACTTGATTTGATTAAACCTTTTAAACTTAAATTTTTTAAGATTAGTCAAGGAAAAAAAACTCCAATTTGTACTCAAATTTTAATAAAAACATATCTCAACAAATGAGATCAATCAAGTTTCTTTATAAGATTAGTCAAGGAAAAGAAAAACTAAATTCAATCATAATATTTGATGCAATAAATTTTAGGTAGGATAAGTTTTTGGCAAACACATGTAATGTGGTCCACATGCATGTATTTGGTTAAAGTGGATAGAAGTGAGGTTGTTATTGTTATTATAATTGAAGAACAGGTTGAGGAAGGTGATTGTAGGACTCATCCCTTGCTATGTCTATTTTTGGTACCCCAATCAATTAGGGCATTTTGTCATTATCTACTGTTCAAGCTTCTGAGTCATCAAACTCCACTTGCGTATTGCGTTTTCCAATTCTTCTCTTCACCACTTCATGTCATAATTCATCTACCCTTAAGTGTTGACTCCCTTAGTAAAAATATACAAGGAAGGATCAAATAATATCAATGCAAATTACAGATTACATCAACAATTTAATTAATTAATTTATCACTTAAGCTATTATTATTTTACTTTTTAAGATATTTATTTCAAAAATACTTTAGATATGATAAATTAAGACAAAAAGACTAAAACAATATTATTTTTAAATTAAAAAAAAAAGGATTTTTCTAATATGAAGAAGTAACATTTAAGATTAAGATGAAAGTTTTTGAGAGGATGGAAGCAGAGGAATCAGCTCGGAACTAAAGCAAACAGAAGAAGACAAAGTGAGTAGTTTTGAATTGGAGTTGATGCTTCGTCCCATTTTCTTTAACATCTTCATGGAATCCACTTTTGTAAGAAATTGCAATTGGAAGGTTCATTTTGATTTTGCCAAGGATCATGCTCCCTGTACAATCCTTAAAGTTCACACTAAAACTCACAAAATAATATCCACCAAAATATTGATATATTTTTTAATCTTGGTAGAAACTTTATCGTGTATTAATATTTATTTTCCTTTTATTTATAGTATATAATTGGGTTTGCTCGATATTATTTTTTTATAACTTTTGTTTCTTATATTTTTTTCTTAAAAATAAATAAGAGTGAGATACTTTAGCATTAACGTAGGAAGGAATATGTACTCTAAAATAGTAGAATTCTCCATTACTATGAGTTTTTTAAAATACAATGTTTGAAACATTTCAACCCATAATAAATAATTTAATATCTAGGAGGAAAATATACAATAATAAATATTAGATTGATAAAAATCTTTAAAATTTATGTAAATAGATGACACTATGTATATAAAAAACTTAGGAAATATTTTTAAATATATTTTTAATTTTTTGAATACTTTTTTAATTTAATAAGAGTCTTAGAAAGATTTATTGAATTTATTGTATAACCCATTATGTAATTAAATTATAATATGTGAATGAGATACACGTCATATTTTACATCAAATTATAAGTTTTTGACAATTTTATTTTATTTCAACTTAGAAATTTTAATCTTTACTTCTAAGTTTAGGAGGTATTAAAAAAAAAAAGACAAACATTTGTTAATGAATGTTTTTAAATATTCTACATGTACTTCTATATATTGAATATATATTTTTATTATATTATTTTTTTATGGTTTTGTATGTATCATTTCGTTCATTTTATTAGTGTATTTGCAATGTTAGTAATATATATATATATATATATATATATATATATATATATATATATATATATATATATATATATATATATATATTCAGGAACGTAAGACTTCTATACACTTAGAAACAAAGAATTTTTACATGCTATCTACATCATCAATATATGCCTTAAAATATTTTTTAGCTAGCTTTACAATTAGTTTTTTTTTTTCCAAAAATTCCAGAATTCTTGTACAAATTTTTTTTTTTCAAGTCTCTCTACACAAATATAAAGAAAGAAGATTAGTGTGCATGTTTATTTCAAGAATTTTAAGTGTTTCACTCTATATGGATGACCCGTTATCAAATTCCTCTAGTGTTTATTTATACTGTGAAATTAAAACATAAAATTAAAAAGACACAACATGAAGTATCCATCAAGCCATTCTCATATTCATATTTAAAACATGCATTTTACAAGCACACCCATAAAAACTGAAAAGTTCCACAAATGAACTATGTGCACAATCATGAAGTTGACATCATTCTATCACAAACAAGCATATATAGCATTATTACAAATCCAACTTGGTAAGTGTAGCACACGATATATACTTAACAATAAGCATTGAAGCTTCATGACCACACTTGTTGATTATGCCTTGAGAAGATGATCATCAATGTCTTTGGTGACCTTAACAGCAAAGTCCAAGTATAAATCAGGAGATGCAGCAGTGATATTCTCAGAGAGTTTTTCATATTCCAATGTCCATTTCACAATCCCCCCATTCTCCTTTTCAATCACTTGCAGTGTGCACCTTAAACTCTTGTAACTCTCAGTGATTTCCCCATCGAAGAGGCTGTATGTTATTGTCTTGTTATCATCGTCTATCACTTCAATCTTCTCCTTAGCACTTCTCCTTTTTCCTTCTGCATAATACAAATCAAGATATATATATATATATATATATATATATATATATATAAACCATCGCAACAAAGATGAGTGTTTCAATTAATTAACTTGACTAATATAAACGTTAGGGTAGGCTTGAATTTAAAAAATCTAGTTCAAACATATTTGATTTCCTTTAGTATTCATTTTCATTTATTGAATGAAACTAGTTTAAATATTTTTAAAACTAATTTAAAATTTCATTTTATGGTTGAAAATTAATTTGATTTATATCTAGTTTTAAACTACAAATTAGTTTTAGAAAATTAAATTAAAGATATTTCGTTTAAATTGGTCAAAAAATAGTTATAATGATGATTGATCAAAACTAAGTGAAAAGTTTCCAATCGATAGTAAATTAAATACTTTTTCTATGAAGATTGAGTGAAAAATATTTTGATTAAGTTTGATCGAAAGGTACTCAAACTAAAGATGATTCGACTGAAAATATATAGGTCAATAATATATTTGGTCAAGATCAAACAAATTATGCCCACCAAAATTAACAACAAAACAAAAATGTTTCAATTTAACTCAACCAAAAATGTTTTTGACTAAAATCACCTATAAATATGATGATTGAGACTAACTGAACAAAAAATATTTGGTTCAAGCTTAAATGAAATATATCTCAATTAAACAAATCAAATATTTTCTGATCTAGATTAAGTTTTATATGTCCATGTTTAAGTTTTAAAAAATTACTTTAAGTGAATCAAACTAAAAAAAATATAAAGTCAAAATCTTAGAATCAATTTTAATTTTAAAAAAATCCATATAAATATTTGATATATACAGTAAAAATATAAGTAAGAGATAAAATCTTTTATCAAGTAAAAAAAATAATTTAGAATCCATAAACTTGATAATTTAAGATATTGAGTTAAATATGTCATTATTTTTTTATATAATACTTATATTTATTTAAAATAATCTTTTGTAAAGATAATAAAGAGAGTTAAATTTAACTGACCGATTATTTTATCGTGAAACGAATTGATAGTTCTAACTCATCAATCTATTTTGACCCACATGTTAAAATAAAATAAGTTAATCGTGACTTTATAAATAAAAATATTATATTATATATTATAATTTGATTTATAAATACTAATCAATTAGGTTTAAATGATCGATTATAATTAAATATTTTAATTATAAATAATATATGTTTTTAATTTATTTAATAAAAATATTAATTAATAAATAAAAATTTAAAATTTATTTATATAATTAAAGATATATTTTAAAAAAATTAATATAAATAAATTAAAAAATATATATTAATGCAGTGACTCGTTAACCCCTCAACCTTTTCACAAGATGAATTAAAATTTGTAATCCATCCTAATTAAACGAGTCAAATTTGTTTTATTTCACTTTATTTTTTAAATTTTAAAGACGAAGCGGGTTAAAGGCGAAGCGGAATGAATTGATTTATGATCTTAATATTTAATGTATTAACCCATGTTAATTAGATTGAATTTTAATATATATATATATATATATATATATATATATATATATATATATATATATATATATATATTAACCTTGATTTAAAATTATTTGGAGATATGCGACGATACGTATTAGTGAAGTGAAATTTGTAAACAGAAGTTAAAGAGAAGAAAAAAGCTTACCTATGGAAAACTCCCAGTGTTTGACAGAACCAAGATTTTCCCAGTCACCTTCATGAACTTGAGCTCCATGTATCCTCTCTGAGGAGATATTAGGAAGATTATGAATTTGCTTTCTAAAGACGTGAAAGAACTTTTCTGCAGAGGCTTCAATCTCTACTTCACCCTCCACTTTCCCACTCAGACCCATCTCTCTACTCTCTCACAACCAAAAATTACTTCTAAACAACCAAGCCAATTTCCCTTAAATACATTCATTGCGTGCATTCTATATTCTCTTCAATTTATATTTTTTAATGCTTCAATGTACTGGAATTCATAACTATTCATAAAACTGATATATAAAAAGTCAAAATAGTTATTGATTCATCTGAAGGTTATTCTATTATTTTAAATAACACCATAAAACAGCTACACCGCCCAAATTGGCATTAAAATGTGAAAAATTTTCTTCAACCAAATATTCGCTTACATAATATTTGATTAGAAAATGTTTCTGCAAATATACCGAATCTAATTTCTTATATCTAAATCTGTCAAGAAAAGGAAAAAATAGAAAGATGAGTAATTTTTTAAACACAAACAAAAATATCATTATGAAGATATATCCCTACAACAGCAAAACAAAACAAAATGTCATGGCAGGAGAAAGGGATGGTAGAGTTTACCATGTGCATATTTCACTTTCAGCTAAGAATTTCCAAAGAGCCATTGAATTAATCAAAGAGCATTGAATAAGTTGGAGAACAAAATTTCAAGTAATGTCATTTAACAATTGTTTGGATGGGACCGAAAAGAGGACAATAGTGGAAAAAACGACAAATTAAAAAGTACATTTTTTTATCCTTTCATTCGTAACATGTGAAAAATAAAGTGTAAAAATAATCGATTATATTTATTTTATTTAAATTGACTATTTTTTTAATGATTATAATAATAAATAATTAAATATTAAAATAATATTTTAATTAATCAAATTAATATTATTTTTTATAATCTTTTAATTTATTTCTCTTTATTTTTTATTCTATTTCTTTTAATTTAAACAATTTCATTTTTTTCTTTCTTTTCAATTCTTTTAAATTCGCTTTGATTCAAACATAAACATTTCTCGAGACTTATCAGAAAAATATTAACAAATACGTCACAAACTAATCATATAAAAAAATAAAATATTATTTTTAACTCAAAACCTTCAAAACATTTCTAATCTATAAGTTATTCAATTTTTTTTTACTTTTGCTCATTTCTAATATATTAGTAATGAACACTTCATATTTCGGACCATCCATTAATAATAAATTTAGTTTTCTCCTTTTCAACAAGGAAACATTGATGATATGTTAGAATCCATAAATTAAAATTTCAGTATGAAAAAAATTCATAAATATCTTATATGATTAAGTCGAGTTCACACGTAATAGTGGTGAGAGATACTCAATAACAAGAGTAAATAAATAAATAACATAAAGAAAATGAAAAGTGATAATTGAGAAGTGGCAACTAGGGACAAACGATATAGTAATCGTGATGTTGGAACGAAGATTTGTAGTGTTTGAAAGGACCAAGGTTGTTGTGACATTGAGAGGGTCCAGAAGGTGGCACAGGCCCTTTGGCTAATTGGCTTTCAAACGTGCTTTTGAAGTCCCTTAAGTCTCTCCTGCACTCACCTCCACTTGGAGCACCCAGAAGTACCAAAACTGCTACAACCAAACAACATCTCCCCAAACATGCCATATCTCTACCAATCCTTCATGAAGGAGAATATATAGAGAGAGTGTTGGGTTGGTTAGAAAACGGTGAAGATGAGGCATTGAATTTTTGTCCAACAATCTCTTCAAATCTTCCACCTTTTCAACGCCCCAACATAATAATAAAAATATCAAAACATGTTCTTTGTAATGGAATACGATGAGTACGTTTGAACAAGTTTCTTTACTATTTTTTTTTATAAATTAAAATAAATTTATGTATGTTAAAAATAATAATATTTGACAAAATGTATCATTTTTATTAATTAATTTTAAATAATAAAGAATTTTTTTTTTTTGAAAAATGTATCCAAATATTTAGTGTCTTTGACAGTTTGAAAAATCGTTGTTGTGAGTTGAATTTACCAACCAATGGCACTATGGTGATGTAGAAAACACGGCGAAAATTGATAAAATAAAAAGAGTGTTTTGAAAGTAATGTTCACCAAACTTCAACAACACTTGTGATCAAGTTCTACATTTTTGTGATAAAAAGTCTATGTATGTATGTATGATGATGAGATGAGATCACCATTTGTGATGATATGGTCAAATCATGATTTGCTAAAAAGAAGACAAGATACTACAATAAATGTAATATGTTCTGCATTTTTATTTTGACTATGGAATAAAAAAATCAAATGAACATAACAAAGACAATTTTTTTTATTCGATAAATTCTTAGGTACTTTTTTTTATCCAACTCAAAATATTAAAAAGATAGAAATATTTACATATGTTAATATTATTATTATTTTATTTATTTATTTATTTATTATTATTATTATTATTATTATTATTATTATTATTATTATTATCACATATTTTATTGTCTCTGCTTTTATCACAATAAAAACTCTTTTATTTTTTAATTCGAATATGGATTATAATTATCATCACAGCACAAAGTATTCGAAGAAACTCTAACATACTGGTAATTATATATGTTCTTAATTTAAAACTTAATGGTAAAACTCGTCAAATTAAAATTTTAAACAATTTAACATAATTAGTAAGACAAATTCACTTAAGATTGGCTAGTTTAGAAAGTAAATATAAAATGAAAAATGTATGGTAAAAGAAAATAAAAAATATTATTTTTGTTTAATATTTAGAGAAAATTAAAAAAAAAATTATTTTTCGTATATACATAACATTTTTAAAGAGAATTATTTTAAAAACTTTTTTAAAATAAATATATTATTTTTATGTGTTAATTGTGTGTTTATATTTTTTATGATATTTTTTTAATTTTTTTTTTACTTTTTAAATTTATCTTTTTTTTCTTCTTCTTATATTTTTATTCTTTTTTAAATATGTTCATAATAATGTTTTTTTTAAATTATAATATTTTTATTTATTTTCTCTTTAATGACACCATAAAAGAGTAATTAAAAAAAAATCCTTTCATAAATTTAAATATATGCATTATGTTGAAAGTCCCACATCGCCTACCTCATATCATTTGGTATGGTTTAAATACATGTTAAGCTACTCCACATATCGCTAATTGGCTTTTATGTTGGAACCTTAACACATTCAAAGAATTGTTCAATGCTTCCCCGACAAATATTCCCGCATTTACACGTTAATTTCCATATAAATGGATAATGATAAGTAATAATAACTGCATATTTTAATCAACTACTACTAATATTTTTTACTTCACTTTATTTAACTATACTTTCCTTTTTTAAGATTTTCAATTTATTATTTTTATAAGGTTTTTTTACGTGTAAATGTCAATTTAAATCTTTTCAATTAAGTTAAAAAAAAATAATCTCAAAAAAAGGACTTACTAAAAGTATTATATTAATTTTAAAATATAATTTTACAATTGTTTCATAAATAAAAAATAATTTTTCATTCGTTAAAGTTATATATAATTTCCCTAATTATTATTTTTATTTTTAACCTTGACATAAGTTATTTTATTTATTGTTTTTATGATATAAGAACCAAATCCATTATTATCTAAATTTGAAATTAAAACAATTTAATGTTATATAATCATTTATTGGTTTATCGTGCATAATTTAAAATACTTTTCTTCAAAAATCAATGAGAATAAAAAAATTTCGCAGCATCTCAGAACGCTGGTATGCATACACTGTAGATAGTCACAAAACGGTTCACAAAAGTGGCTAGCCACGTAAAGAATGAGTTTTTCCATTTCAGAATCAGAATCAAAATTCAAGTCGCATTCACAGCCTTGTGAAAAAGAGGTACCAGAAGAAATTTGATGCTAAAGCAGAGACCTCTGAGCCTAATGGTGCGAGATATACTACTCACTTTTCGGAACTCGGAAATCACGACTAATTGAAATTGAAGGGAGAGAAAAAGCCTCAAATCGCGTTTAAATATGGCTATAAGCTGCAGCATGCAAGGGTTTCCACTACAAAGTGCTTTTCACACCGCAGCGTTTCCGCCTGCATTAAGGTCTTTCTTCTTCTTCCTTGTCCCGCAACAAACTGCGGCGTTTCATTTCATTGCTTCTGAAATGTTTGTAAGAAACACGTCTCTCTCTGAAGCATTCTCACTTTTTTTACTTAATTTGGTTAATTGGTTACAGCTTCTCACTCGAACTTCCACCGCAATCAAAATCAAAACTCAGGTAAAATTACTTTTTTTTTTTTTTTTTTCATAATACTTGGGACGAACATTTTACAGTAATTTTAGAAACTTGTAAGAAAAAAAATAAGAAATTTCAAAAAGCTAAAATCAGCTTATGAATAAATTAAAAATAAAAATTTGTAGAAATTTTAGGTGAGAATTTCTATTTACTTATGTATAACTTGAGAAATCTCACACACAAACCAGATATATTATAGAAAATAGAAAATAGGTGACTCCTGAACTTGTTTTATATAGAATTGAGTTAGGTATAGTGACTTTGGAACCTTGAACATTAACCGTGGTGAACTAAATTACCCGGACCAATATTGGATCACTCCTCCTTGTTACGAGGAAGTGTAATGTGAAAAAATTCCTCTTCGTTGTAACGGGTATGATAAAAAATCTTCCTTGACGTTGAGGGACTGTGTTGAGAAATCCCACATCCCTGTTCAAACTTGTTTTATTAGTTATAATTCTGGAATAGGGTATATTGAGAACTGTAGTATATGTCATTGATATTTCAAAATGTTAGCATGTCTATTTTAAAATATCTTTTCGATATTCTTTAGATTTTATCCTAAAAAGAACGTAGATATTTTAGTTTTACTTGTTCTACTTGACTTGTCTTTGGTAGTTTTAGCAAGTTTATGTTTTCCATATATCTGTTTCATATGTTTTTAAGAGCTCTCTCCCATGTCGTTTTTTTTCTCCTTTATCTTTTTGAGTTTCTGGGTTATTCTCACTAAAGGGGTTGACTAGTTTTGTTGCTCCAACCATTGTTTGGATGAGTCTCTTGTATCTTGGAGGACGTATGCATCACATGGATAAGTCCATGTAGATAGTGTGTACTCACATCGCTCAGACTTGATCTGTTTGTGGACTTAGTGTTTGTGGGTTTGTGATTTTCAAGAATTTGTTTTGCAGACAGTAAGAACAACAGAAAGTAAGGAAAAACTAGTGAACTTTTCAAATTAAAGACAAACGATTTTCTGGCTAGTGTTATTTAGTGATATATATGGTACATGCTTGACAATGCTCTATTTTTAGTTTGTGAATGGCAATACATGCATAGTTAATACGGATTAATTGGCGCTGTTTGAGCATTAGACCTGGCAATTGGAATTAAATAATGAGTTACGTATGTAATTGATTAAGGCTCCATTTTAAACTGCTTATTTACAACTTATAAGAACTTATTTTGACATAAGTACTTGTGTAAGTGTCGGGATAGCTTATGATATCTCAATAAGTTGTTTTCAACTTATTTTAACAAGCTCTTATCCCTAATTGAAAGAAACTCTTTTATGATAGCATATGAAAACAGCTTACAACTAATATAAAAATAGTTTAATCCTACTCTCCCTTTGGTTATAAAAAAACTTATAGCTAAGTGGTTATATAAGAAGTACTTGTTCAAAAAGACTTTAATTAAATAGTTTATCTAAACAGGTCATAAATGCCTGGAAACTCACTAAAGTGTGTTTGTTGATCATCAAAGATGGTAGTCTTTTCATGTGCCACTTTATACTCATCCTTCATTTTCTGATCGAATTGTTTTAAATCACGTACAAGTGCAGGAGTGTTGTTAAAATGTCTGCTACTGAAGTCTCAAGCTCTAGGATATCAAACGAGTCCTTTGCCATAAAGCCTCCTGAGCACCCAACTTATGATTTGAAGGGCATTATCAAGTTAGCGCTTGAAGAAGATGCTGGGGATCGAGGTTTATTCCTGTACTTTTCAAGATTCTTTTCTTTCACTTGCTGTTATGATTCTTCTTGAGTTTTAAATCTAAAATTCACAATTTGAATTGTTAATCTTCACTGAATATTATAAGCAAATGTAAATTCTTTCATGATGTTGAGCTTGTGCAAATGAATAATGCCGATACACACTATTTTTTTGGAGATATAATGCATTCATGGTATCTATATTGTTTCAATTGTAGGTGATGTAACATGCAAGGCCACCATTCCATTTGACATGGTGGTGGAAGCTTATTTTTTAGCAAAGGAGGATGGCATCATTGCTGGAATAGCACTTGCAGAGATGATATTTCATGAGGTTGATCCTTCTTTGAAGGTATGGAAGTAATAAACAGAACGTCAATCATTATATGTGTGGTTGGTGCTTGGCTGAATCATTGTAGGATTGATTACTTGCAAATATCAGGTGGAATGGTGTAAAAATGATGGTGATTTTGTCGATAAAGGGCTACAGTTTGGAAAAGTTCACGGTGAGATAATTGTTAGGAAAAGAAAATTGCAAAAGCAAGTGGAATAAAACATTATTCATTTGTAATTAATTCATGAACGGCTTCTATTGAACCTTAGTAAGTTGTGTGCAGGACGGGCACATAACATTGTTGTAGCTGAAAGAGTAGTACTAAACTTTATGCAGAGGATGAGCGGCATTGCAACTTTAACTAAGGTAACATGTTTACTTGATCCTTTTCTTTTGTTAAATATTCTGTACTATGCTTGCATCTACCTAACAGATTAAGACAAAAATCAAATTGTACTTTGTTAGCTAACACGATACTCCCAGAGAGAATTCCAGACTTACGAATGGTCAATCACACTCAATACATCCCTTTGCTCAATTTTTTCTACTCGCTCTCCAATCCCATACTGTCCTTTTATCCTCTTGTGCTAGCCTCATTCCTTTCTTCCACACTCCATGCCATGTTTGCCTTTACACCCCAATTTCCGTATCTACTTTTTACTCATCATCTCGATGAAGGCTAATAATTTCATAAATTGTTAATAATATGACTTCTTACGGCTGTTTTTGTAAATCTATTGAACACATTATTGTTTCAAATATGGAAAATAAGTTTACTTGTGAATGCAGATTGGATATAACAAATGGTAATGTGCTACATAGTAATTAGAAGAGTTATCCTTTATTATCTTATAATTCTTGATTTCATTACAGATTTTTGTGTTTTTCCACAGGCAATGGCAAATGCAGCATATCCTGCTTATATATTGGAGACTAGAAAAACTGCTCCAGCTTTACGTTTAGTGGACAAGTGGGCGGTCTGGACTTCGGATCACTTCCTTGCAATTATTATTAACCATTTATACTTTTAACCACAAAGTTTACTCAATAAACTAAGATACAATTGCTTTTATAGGTATTAATTGGTGGAGGTCGGAATCATAGGATGGGTTTGTTCGATATGGTGATGATAAAAGATAATCATATATCAGCAGCTGGAGGTGTTACAGGTGCCCTTAAAGCTGTTGACCTGTATCTGGAGCAAAATAGTGTTCAAATGGAGGTTGAGGTAGTGTTTTCTTTCATTGTTTTACCCATTTCTTTTCCTTTTCTATTCTTATTGATCTTATCACAACTTTGAAAGTTCATGAAAATTGTTATGCCTGCGTGGATCCAACAAACTATTTATGTAACAACTGATTGGTTGATGCAGAAAAAAGATGATAAGAGCATATTTTACTGATAAGTAACATTGGAGTATAATTCATTACACTATGGAAAACCCCTTTTCTTACACTCAAAAACAAAAAGCATAGATAAAAGAAATACCCTGGGATTGTTGAGGGTCTATTTCCTGCCTGCCCTAGGGCCCTAACTCCTTATTGAATGATTGACTGGTTTCCTTTACCAGATATCACACCTCTATTGCCCTCTTTCCTACCTGCCACATGAATTGTTGTCACAATGGAAATTCTTGTCCTTACTGCCCTTGTAATTATGTAATGATACACTCTTAGGAACCAAAAATTGAAATAAGGAAGGAAATAAATGTTTTTTCTTTTATTGAAATGGATGAATAGAAAAGAAATACACACCTCCAAAGGTTTCCCTTTCACAAAAAGTCCATGCTCAATTTATAATGACAACCTATGAGGCACAGGATACGATATGTATCCGATATGGCCATTCACCTTATATTAAAAAGGATAGGATATTGTGCTTATATATATAATTCATAAAATATAAATTTTATTGTATATAATTACTGGGTGTTATTTAAATTGAACATATTAAATTCAAATATATGTATGAACTGAAAATTCAAATGTGAAATAAAAATTATAAATAATTACTTATTGCCTAGAGAAAGAATAGTATCAATTTCATCTCCTCTTTGAGCATCATTTGTAGATAAAACAACTTTCATGTTTGATTCATCAAGAGATAATGTTGTCATTCTAAGGTTTTTAATATTATCAAAGTCATGTCATGCATTTCCACTAATGTTCCACATTTTAGAGTTCACTTGGTTAAATATTCTTCACTTTGCCTAGCTAGAAGCTGCAAATTAGTATGCATATAGACCAAGTCTTCTTCTCTTTTAGGATTCAATTAATTTATTTATAATGAGTGAATAAGTACTTCAATTTTTTTCACAACAAGATGGCAAGTAAGGTTGTACAAGAAGCTTCAATGCTAGCTTTTGCACTGAAGGAGAAGGGCATTGCAACCATGCATCACCAACCAAGATTTGGAATCCAATGTCTACCTATCTTTTATTGGGTTAAAAGAAGCAAAACTATTTGACTTTGATAAGAAGCCATCATATTCAAGTGTAACATTTCTTCTATCCTCCTCACTAGTTGTAAAGAGTTTTTTCAAACATTTATTCCTTTCCTTAGAAATCTCTTCATCCTCATGTGATGAGATTCTATTTGAAGCCACTTGAATCCATTCTTCACTATAATTAAAAAATAAGAAAAAAAATCATATTATAAAAAAATAATAACTTTCTAAATACTTTTATATATAAATTATAAAAAAATGAGTATTGATAAGATAATTTTACCTGGGATCTAGAGAGTGAGTCATGTAATGAAGAGGAGTGAAACTTTTAGTTCATCTATCAATTAGAACACCATAAATAATTTCATAAAATGTTGATGAATTATTTTCCTCTTTCTCTTTTTGGTTATATATGATTGTCTTCACTTTTTCTATCATAGTATCTCATATCTCATAGACTAATGTGAGACTATCTGCATCACAAACTTTGAACATGCTATAGATAGGATCAATGAAAGATAAAATTTATGCAATTTTGTCTCACCATATATAATTTAAAATAAAGTCTTTTACAACTTGAACCTTGCCCACATCATCTTCTCTATAAGAATTCCATTCTTCACTAACTATGATGCATCAAAACGTATCCGTGTTGCGGACATATCTGATACGAATATGGCTCAATACTCTAAAGATATGTAGCGATAATGAATCAATAAAAAAAATTTATATAATCCTATAGTATGAAATAAAAATAGATTCAATGAAAATAGAGATGTTTCCGCTAAATCCAAACCAATTGATAGCAAACTTAAAACAAATTTATATTAGTTAAAGAACCTGCAATGGGTTTCACAGGGTTTGTAACATGGATACGTCCGTCCGTCTAACCAACGTATAGGTGCTTCCGAGATGACAACAAATAAGAATCTCTCTTTTTTTTTTCCCCTCTATCTCTAGCTAACTAAAATAACTATCTCATTAACATTCTAACTATCTGAACTCATTCCCCCTTCTGTTTATATTCTAACATACTCTCATCTAAAATTTTACCTTGTCCTCACATGTCTTGTAACAGCGGACGTAACTTCAGTGGTGTCCCATTTTTGTTTCAAGGTTTTTGTGTTTTTTCCAGGTTGAGACCAGGACTCTTGAGGAAGTGGAAGAAGTGTTACATTATTCATCCCAAACAAAGACTTCTTTGACTCGAATAATGTTGGACAATATGGTTGTACCTCTACCAAATGGGGATGTGGACATATCTATGCTAAAAGAAGCTGTGCAGTTGATCAATGGGAGATATGAGACTGAGGTATTCACGACAAAATTTTCTTAGTTAATTTTTACAGTATATTTTGGATTATTTGTAAGAATAAACGATACACAATATTTTGGTACGGATTTGATATACTTTTTATTTCTCTCATTTTTTTGTTTCTGTCAATTTGATGAGAAACTAGCTTGTTTAGTCATTTGTTTCTGTCAATTTGCTATATGGAAATACGCTCAGGGAATACTTCAATTTTGGCCCTTATGCCTTAAGGGAATTTTTGTATGGACAGTGAAATTTAGGTTGTCATCATCTTGGACTATTTAGCTTTTCTTGCATTATTATGATCATTATTAATTTGGGCTACTTAATAATTTCGGAATGTCAGGTATTTGTGGATATCATAAATTGGATGAGGATAACTAGTTGCTAACTTCTAGTGTCATTTTGTGATGTCAGGCATCAGGCAATGTCACACTAGATACTGTAAATAAAATCGGGCAAAGTGGAGTGACCTACATTTCTAGGTAAACTTTAAGTTTGGTACTTCCACATCATCATATCATAGCATCTGGTATTATAACCCATTTCCCTTTTCTGTTTTTATTGTCAATTTCACCATTTTAAATGTGAATTTTTTTAACATTCGTGAAAGTTAGTTGAGAGCAATGGATCCAACGCATGTAAATTACCTCTTTTAAAGATAATTGTTTTTTGGAACTTATGTCTCGAAATGTTCACAGTTTCTAGGGGTGATGAAACTGACTGTCTAAACCAATCTAAATAAATTTATCTGGTTAAAGAGTTCTTTTTACTTCATCACATCTATTAGTAAGCAGGTTAGCCGAACCCGATCTATATAAATGTAGACCAAATCATATTAGATTGGCCAATTTATCTAGCTATAACTAAAACCCGGAAGTTTTTTTCTCTTTGCAGACTAAAAAAGAATTCATATTTGCATATATCACGACATCTAAGCTGAATATAAATAATGCATGGCGTACAACTCTTCAAAATGTTAGCCAATGAGAGTCAACGAATATACTATTTTTTATAAATTACAATCTTCTGCATCATTTATGTGGGAATCCTTTTCTTGCTTTTTTCAAGTCAAAGATTACTGTGGTTTTTTCTATTTTGGCACAGCATGGTTGCAATTGTTTAAGAAACTCGCAAGTACTTTATAGTAGTACTATTTCCTAAAAAATTGAAAAGACTATATACTTGCTTTCTGACTTGGTTTTGTGGCAGTGGTTCGTTGACTCATTCTGTGAAAGCACTAGACATCTCTCTCAAAATAGATACCGAATTAGCACTCAAAGTTGGAAGGCGCACTGGACGAGCTTGACTATTCTCTGCTTAAGATGTTATCTATCTATCCATCAATTGATATATGCTTTCTTTGAGCTGGTTCTCACTCTGCTGCATGCATTTCTTGTTCATTTTTTCTTCCTATGTTGTGACTTTTTTGAGTAACGAATTGCTTCTCAAATAAAAATAATATATTAATGGTTCATGTCATGAAACATTTCACTTAAATGAAGAATAGCTAGTACTATAAAAACATAAACATTGAAAAGAGAGAGTAGTGAAGAGAAATACAGTAATTTTCGTATTTTATGCATAATCATATAATCATTTCATTTAGAGTATTTATCTTTCTAAAATTAAACTAAATTTATACCTGAACAATACTAATAGTATAAACAAATTAACTGATATAATTAAATATAATTATAACAGTAAAAAAGTAGAACTCAGTAATTTAACAATTTCATCTCAATAAGAAAGATATTAGTTAAGTTAATAAGTGTCACAGAGAATCTGTGTTTAATTCTTGTAGAATCCACTCTTGAAGAAAAGAGCATAATTCTAAGTGTGATTAATCTTCCAAAACAAGGATTAGTCCAATTCTGTGGAGAAGTAAAAGACTTCAATTATAGTAATTATAAAAAAAGTCATTAAGATTGTGAATATGACATGAACTACGTAGTTTGACCCTAAATCAATTGAGTAATTGGGTGGTTAGAAATATTGAGTATTGTTCAGTCAATTAGGGTTTAGGTTTAGCTTGTTTTTATACGCAACTTCATGACAAATAGTAAGGTGTGCTTCAAATATGGATCTGCGGACGGTGGTGGAGAATTAAAGATTTTTTAAATTTGCTCTGCTTAACGACTTTATATTTAATAATGGTTAGATTGTTAAAATTTCATGTACATGTTTTTAAATGGGACAAGTTGATATTAATCTATATATGATTAAAGTTAGGTGAATTTTTTAAATTTAGTAGAATGAAGTATTTAATACTTTTGAAACTGATAAGGTTTGCAAAAATTTAATTTTTCGAAAAAAATATTAAAAATGTCGTATACTATTTTTTTACCCCAAACCCTAAAACTTACATCCTAAATAAATTAAACAAATATATATTGTTTGAATTACTATTTTACTTTTAAATATTTTTACCATTTTTTTTTCATATTATACAGTTTATCTTATTTATTATGTCATATCTTTATAAATTTAATAAATTTTAAATTTTATAAAATAGTTAAAATTATAACTACACGTACTTATCCGATATACCCAGGTTATATGATTAAAATATTTCATAAATTAATTATTAATATATTAGTTGATAGTCATATTAGAAGATAATATTTAATAATTCAATATTTTATATTTTTAATATAATATTAGTAATAATAATTTTAAAAGAATATTCTTTAGATATTTATCCTATAATTAATATTATTTTATTTATTAATCATTTCAATAACTCATTTGATTTTATTATTTATTAATTTACATGAGTACTAAAGTCTCGTTTCAAGTGGATTTTCATCCAGAATTTTTTTATTGGGTGGATTCCACGATCATAAAATTTAAAAGCTTTACTTTATTAATCTATTTAATCATAGCCGTTATAATTATTTTTATAAGAATAATTAGCGTTTGTAATAATATAAATCATATTCGATCTGGGAGACAATCTTATTGTCCCCAAAATCTTTTTAGAAATGGAGATTAACAATAATTTACACGTATTCTCTTAAAATTATAATCGACTAACATTTTTAAATTAACACTACCTAAATATATATTTTTGCTAACAAAATATAATTTTTAAAATAATTTTTTTATCATTTTACATTTTTTTGAAAATATTTAAGGAGTTTAAATCTATCAAACAATTCTGATTATAAGTTCATTCCCTAACTTGCAATTAGTGTGTTTCATCAAACTATCTGATCTCTTTACTTCTTAATTAACAGTTAATATAATCTCTCTCTTTCTCTCCTTTTTCCTCATTCTCTTTCTTTACAGAACTACCCCTCCCTCTGTTCCCTTCATCTTCCCTCTTGTTCACATTTTTCCTTTGCTCCACCCAAACAAACTGGTTTCTTCACTGCCAAATTTAATACTAATAGGAAATTACACAATAAATTAGGTTTAAATTTACCTCTAAATATAATATCAAAATTTATTCTCATAAAATTTATTAAACTTATGTATCATAAATATATATAATAAGAAAAAGATATATCTTTATTTTATTAGAATTTATCAACTTTTTAAATTTATATCATTTATAAATATTTAATCGTACTCTTTGAGATATTCAATCCTTAGTATGCAAATATAAAAAAGTATATTAAAAATTGTATAACGATTAAATTTATAATTAAACTATATATTGTATAACTTTCACACTAATTTTATAAAATTGAGTTTCACTAAAATTTCACTTCTCTAAAATTAGGAAATTCTTCTTTTTGTTTCTTTTGTGGTTCAACATTGGGAATCCCAATACGGTTTGTGAGAAGAAAAGCTTGAGAATCTGAGGTTGTGATTCCTTCACCATTTTAATTTTTCTTTCGTCGTTCAATTTTTTTTTAATGTTGGAATTTCAATTTATTTTTCCTTTGCTATGTATTTATCACCATATTATTTTTATTTTCAGAGTTTATTCAATTTGTAATTTTGAACCACTTGAATAAGTTCATAAAAACTCAAGTTCAGAACTTAATTAACTTAAAAACTGCTCAAGTTTAAAATTGATTTCGTTGTGCCTTGTGATGACTGCTTCTGCTTCACCAGCAAGATTTATTAATAAGTTATTATCTTAAAAAAAAAAACATCTTATTATAGAAACACTATCATGAACGAAAACCAAATATCAAACAAGTTAGAATTAGAAAAAAAGTTATCGAAACTATTCCACTTTCACGGTGTGTTCAAATTATAGTTTACAAACAATTTTTTGGCCCGACCAAAAATAAAACAACTATTTTCCATTTCTATTCAACACGTAATTCAAATGCAACTCAGATCATGATTTTGCCAAATACGTTATTTTGTAAATGTAACTTCAGTTTCCAAACTAAGTTTTGGAAACAATTCTTTGTTGTATGAACAGAATTTGACCAATGAGATTTATTTTTATAAATATGTTCATAAGCTCTAGCACCATAGGATTTAGAAGCCTACACTTTGTGGAGTATCTAAAATCCCAGAAGTTTAGCTCACAATCAACGTTCCTCACTACTTTCTCTCAGCCTTATCTATCAAGTTGGTCCCTGATTGTGTTAGAATGACGTCAAATTCACTAAGAGTCCACTCTGCTACTTCATCTTTGTCGCTAACGAATATCTCAGTACCAGAATCAATAGACGTCCATATTCTTTTGGCAGGAGGAGTGCCTGGGTCCTGCATCACATGACAAGATAAATTAAAAGGTGTGGTGAATCATTAGATTCCAAGTAGTACAGTAGTGGTTCAATTATTGACCTGATAAAAGTAGAGTCTACTTGATAACCCTCCAACATCAAGTTCCCAAGTCCTTGAATCTCCCACCCAACCATCACCTTTTTTGGTGGGATAGCCATAATCACCCCATATAGGGTGAGGCAGCAACTGAACTATCTCTTGTGCCTGAGGGTTGCTGTAAGGATCACAAGTGCTCACTGGCTGCTCCAACTGTTGAGCATTCCCAGGAGCACAATAGAAGTGATACGCTGAATAGGGGAAATTGGTTGTGTCATTCCTATAGATTTTTTTGTTGTCTGGAGTTATATGAAATGGTGGACAGTTAACCAACCCTGTGGGGCTGCACCAAGCTGGGGTTTCAGGGTTGATGATCATCTCACTATATCTAGTGACATCAGTGAGTACATCTCCATCACATGGAGCACCATTGTTCTTCCAACAGCTTCCAATGTCTAAAAGGTAGAATTGGCTCTTGGCCCCTCCACCCTTCTTGATATCCAAGCTCAACCTCACCTTGAAATTTGGTGACTCTGGAAGCTGAATCATGAACCAACCCAAATGATGAATCATGAAATTAAGTAGATTGTATTGCATGCTAATTAAACTATTAATTAAACAGAAATGGAAATCTTGAAATTGAATTTTGAAGGATATGTTGGACTGGAACTCACGGTTTTTAGCATTCCCCTTGTGTCATAGTGGTAACCTCCAGAGAATCCTTTGGTTGCATCAGCTCTAAGGTATAACATCAACCAAGGGTATTTCTTTGAAGTCCTTAGCCTGTGTTTGAACACCCAACTCCCAACATTAACTTTCTTCTCCCAAACTACCTCATAGTAAGATACACCATCGTGTTCAACTCCACAATCAGAATCCAAATCATAAGTACCATTGAATCCCCCTTGCATTAATCCATCTTTGAGCCGTGTCTGCTGATGACACAAGATGGGTTGGTTCATGCAACCTTGTCCAAAACAAGGAAACCGTCCCGGACTAAAAGGGGGTACCTTTTTGCCGTCCTTAGGACATAACCCAGACCTGGTGTCATAGTTTCCATTTTTCAGCATTACCATCCAAAATTGCCATGACCTTGGCGTGTCTGCTACTTCACACATGGAACCCAGATACAATTCCTTTTCAATTGCATAAAGGTCTGTATTATTGATATATTCTGGTTTTAGGCCAGGAAATGAGCTCCCCACCCCCAGTCTGTTGTCAGATTCTGTGACCTTGTGCGTCAGAGAACCTGGTCATCACAATTCTCAGAAAAGTAAAACACATTGCTGATTTGATAAAATAAATAATAATAAAAAACTAAACTATGTGAGAAATTATAGAATAAGAAGAAGACATAACATGCAGAAAATGTGACCCAACATTGAGGATCAAATGTGCAATAAACTGAACTAATATAATTTATAGGACTGTGTTTCTCTGTCAAGTGATTTGGCTTACCTGAAAGATCAAAACAGTCAGCAGCTCTAGGGCTACCCATGCGGGGAGCTTCTTGACCAACTTCATTGCAGAAGTTCCAAGCTTCAAAGGCCACCCTCAGACCATCTCTCTGCATTCCTGGGTCTCCTACTGCCGACACATGACTCTGCTCTGCGGACACAACAGAGGCACTGAACACCAGCACATTCATCAACAACACAATCAACATCTTCATTGGGAGGCTCAGAGACAGAGGAACATGGTAGAGGGTCTAATCTAATGTTAGGAACACTTTAATCAACGGAACACTTTTCACTTTGTTCATGTAAAAAACAACACTGGCACTAAGTATAAAGTAGTTTGCAAGGCTTAAAATTTGGCAATATTGGAAACAACAAATGAGCTAAGCAGGAAAATTTGTGGTCCATTTGATCGTTGTGGTGTATAGTCGTATACGTCTGGCTCAACAAACAAACTAAAAAACCAACGTATTACCAAATGTTGTATCCCATGGATCGCATCACATATGTTGTTGTGTTAAACAAAATGGTTACAGCCAAACAAGTTAGGTGAGTGACAAACACATGGTAGGTCCCATACCACTCAAGTGCTGCACCTATATTTTGTAAAAGTTGCGTTGTTTTATTAGATTTCGTAGCAAATTAATATTTTTGTGAAATATCTGCACCCTTTTACTCTTACCCCAATACCCTCCTCTGCCCCTCTAAACAAAAAAGTTTGCTTCTTTTGTCGTGAAAAGAAAAAAACACTAAGTTGTTCCACACGACCGAGCATTTGGGTTGGGTTTTAAGGCACTTACAAATTTGAAATAATAATAATAATAATAATAATAATAATATTATTATTATTATGATAAAAATATTTCCAAAACCCCTCTCTTGTATTGAATATGATAGCACAATATATACATGAAATACGTAAACATTCTACGCTATAATTACGCTAACCATTATAGTCAGTATCCTAAATTTGTCTATTAACAGATATGACATTAATGTCAGCATCATCATGCATCGTCATCATGCCAAGCTAAATATGGAAAAAATTAATCGTATATTCTATGTTTATCACCCTCCCTCAAGATGGAGTATGAAGGTTGTGAATGCCCAACTTGCCTAAAAAAGAACCAAATTTAGTGGCGCCAAGAGATTTGGTGAAGAGATCAGCCAGTTGATGATGAGTGGACACATAGGAGGGTTGAATATGATTGTGTTGTATTTCATCACGAATAAGATGACAATCCACTTCAATATGTTTTGTCCGTTCATGAAACACAGGATTCTTGGCAATGTGAAGGGCGGCTTGGTTGTCACGATAGAGAGTCATAGGGTCGGTGTGAGTAATGCCTAGGCTCGAAAGAAGGCCTTGAAGCCATTTCAACTCACATGTCGTGTTGGCCATAGAACGATATTCTCGCCTCGCCGGATGATCGAGAAACCGTATGTTGCTTCTTGGTTTTCCAGGAAACGGGGATTGACCAAGGAAAATAAACCAACCGGTGAGAGATCTTCGAGTTAGAGGACAACTTGCCCGATCCGAGTCACACCAACCATAAAGACGAAGGTCACTCTCTCTTTTAAAAGCACACCCCGACCTGGCCGCCCTTTAAATAGCGTACCACGCGGAGTGCACCCGCCAATGCTCCCTGACGCGGTTGGTGCATGAATTGAGATAGGACATGAACACCGTAAGATAATTCGAGTCGTGTAAAACACAAGTAAATAAGGCGACCGACGAGACGTCGATATTGACTCGGGTCAAAAAGTAGTTCGTCATCGCCCAATGTTAAACGATGATTTTCTTCGATTGGCGTGGACACGAGTTTCCCTCCAAGCAATCCCGCTTCAGACTATGATGTCCAACGCATACTTCCGTTGACACAAGAAAATTCCTGTAGGAGATCCGGCAACCTCCACCCCAAGAAAGTATTTTAATTTCCCTAAGTCCTTCATACGAAAACATTGATGAAGATAATCTTTGAATTGCGCAATGTCTTCATGATGATTGCCAGCAATGACTAGGTCATCCACGTAAACTAACACAACCAGTTCGACATCTCCTTTGCGAAAGATGAACAAGGAGTGATCAGACGAAGAATGTTGAAACCCATATTGAACAAGAGCAATTGAGAGCTTGGCAAACCAACACCGAGGAGCTTGACGAAAACCATAAAGGGACTTGCGGAGACGACACACCATACCCTTTTGAGACACCAAGAACCCTGGCGGCATTTTCATGTACACATCTTCCTCAAGATCGCCGTGCGTAAAAGCATTATGGACATCCATTTGATGAAGTTCCCAGTCTTTGGCTACTGCCACCGCCAACACCGTCCGAATGGTGACCATCTTTGCCATCGGGGTAAAGTCTCGTCATAGTCAATCCCCTCAACTTGGTGATTTCCCAAGACAACTAATCGGGCTTTGAAGCGTTCAACGCTCCCATCAGAATGATATTTGATTTTATAAATCCACTTGCAACCCGTAGGCTTCTTCCTCGCTGGTAGAGGAGTAATGTCCCATGTTTCATTACTTTGGAGGGCCCGAATTTCACTAGCCATGGCATCTCTCCATCTAACATCCCGAACAGCTTCAAAGAAATGCACAGGTTCTCTCTCCGCATGAAGGGCCGCAAGAAAGGTTCGATGGGGGAAGGAGAATTTAGCACAATTTAAGTACTTTGTCAAACCGTAAGGCATACCCGAGGAAGCCGAATGTGGAGTGCGAATTGAGGGACCGAGTTGTAAAGTGGTGTTAGTGACATAATCACGAAGCTTCACGTGATGGCTTTCGTACACGAAGACCTTTCCCCGTGGATGCAGGGACAGTATGCTCCTCGAGAACCTCTAGTTCCGTCATCATAGAGTCAGCTTGTTCCGGTGGGAGAACGATCCGGGTGGGAGGCTCTTGTTCATGGCATTCGGCCGTGGCCCTCCCCGAACTCGCTCGTGGGCACATCTTCCGTCGTGGGGTTAACGTCATCAGCCTCCACAACGTGTTCTCGCATTGTTCATTGCACCAAGTCCAGGCAATGCTTCCTCGACAATGCCAACATCAACAGTAGGCAATCCTACCTCCGAATGTCTACTGTGGGCAAGAGAGGCAAACTGGAATTCATGTTCTACAAACTTAACATCTCTCGAAGTCCAGAAGACTTCTCTTTCCAGATCAAACAATTTCCACCCTTTTTTCGATTGAATATCCAACAAATACATTCTTGCGACTTCTACTTGCAAATTTGTCACCTTTCCTATCTTGGTTATGTGCATAACACAAGCATCCAAATACCCGTAGATGGTCATAAGTGGGTGGCTTCCCATTCAATATTTCATATGGAGTTTTTCCATGGAGAACGGTTGAGGGTGTACGATTGATCAAGTATCCTGCGGTCAAAATGCATTCTCCCTGAATTGAAGTGGAAGTTCTCCCCGAAATCGTAGAGCACGAGCTACATTTAGGATGTGTCGATGTTTTCGTTCGGCTCTCCCATTTTGCTGAGGTGTTCCAAGTGCATGAGGTTTGATGGAGTATCCCATGTTGCTGAAAATATCGTTGAAGACACATAAACTCGGCTCCATTGTCACTTCGTAATATTTTGACTTGTTTCTCGTATTGTCGTTCTATTAATGCGATGAAATGCATTAAGGTTTGTGACACATCTTTCTTATTATTCAAGAGATATATCCACACAGACTCAAGAACAGCCATCAACCAAAGTGAGAAAGTAAGATGCACCACAAGACGAGGGAGTTCTATATGGACCCCATACATCACAATGTATTAAATCAAATATATTGGATGCTTGAAAATCACTTAAAGGAAATGTGTTTCGCATTGCTTTGATCTCTCACACACTTCACACACACGAGTTGTATCCGTATTTCTATTCACGCTCGTTCGGATGCGGAATTTTTCTAACAATCTGGTAGGCAGGATGTCCCATTCGCTTGTGCCAAATCTCTAGTTGATTTTCTCGCATTGGTCCGATACGCCTTTATGCCACTCACACCACGATACCAATAGAGTCCCTCTTTTCGTTCACCCGCACCAATCAGCATCCTCGAAGTGTGGTCCCGCATTGCACAAAATCTATCAGTAAAATGTACTGTACATTTTACTTCATTCGTCAATTGTGATACCGAAATCAAATTGCAATTCAATTTCGGAACATATAGAACATGTTTAAGTTTCAGTCCTCCATCAAGGAAAACCGATCCTTCTTTGTTTGCCAGCACCAATTCACCATTTGGTAGTCCCACTGGGCACCCTTCCAAGGCTCGACTCTCCCTCAAGTTTTCTAGTGTTCCTGTCATATGATTAGAGGCGCCACTATCAATAATCCACAAGTCACATGCTTTCTTACCAGCTCATCTTTTCAGCTTCATTTGCCTTGCGAGAATTCAACATTGCTTGTCAAGATCTCGCCATTGCTCATTACTCGCTCCTGCGACTTCCGGTTTTTCGGTTGAACCAACGTTATCCGCACCAGTGTGCGCCATATTGACGCGAGCCGTTCCTCCTTTTCCTCGGAAGGTTCCCTGTTCTTTGTTGATTTTTTTCATCGCTTTTATCGGTTCGTGGTCTCTCTCCCCACCATTCCGGGTAACCAATGATCTTGAAGCAATTGCCTTTGTCATGTCCCTTCCTTCCACACTCGCATGCAAACAACTCGATTTTTCTTTCGCTTCATTGCGCAACTTGTTCCCTGGTTTCCGCTCGCATAGTCATTCCCACGATCATTCCTCGCTCTTCTTTAGACCTGGTGATTGTTCTCACCCTTTCTTCTTGCACCATGGTGCCATACACCCGATTCAACGAGGGTAATGGATCTGTTGCCAAAACATTTGACCGTGCAGTTCCATAGCCCTCATCATCTAGCCCCATCAAGAACTGATGAATTTTTTCTTCTTCTCTTCGTTTCTCAAGTTGCGTCATAATATTACACTTGCATCCCCCACATTTACACTGTGGGATTTGCTCGTAATTTGTCAGTTCATCCCACAACGTTTTCAACTTCCCATAATAGGAAACCATAGTCATTCCTTGTTGTTTGCATTCTGCCAACTCTGACTTTAGCTGCTGGATTCTTGGTCCGTTCACGATCGAGAATCGTTCCTTGATGTCATCCCATAGGTCCTTTGCGTTTTCCATGTATGCAACAGTGGAACGCAAACTAGGTTCTATAGTGTTTAGTATCCAAGATACAAGCATCGAT